AACAGATGCCGAATGGGAACTCATTCCGTTTGGGATAACCAATTGGAAAAATGTAACCAAATTGGAATCACTAATAAACTCATTATAACAGACCTTGATAGTGATGAAGATTTGGGTCTGCTGTAAAATGAATGTGCAAAACACAGATACTCTTACTAGAAATGCCGCAAACTTTTTTTGAACGGAAGGTTCGATGATCGAATCAAGCGGTTCGAAATATTTCAAATTTTCGAACTTTCCATATCGAGAAATTCGACTGAAGTCGAATTTTCGAACTTGTTAAACTAAGAAGTTTGACGCTTTTCGAAGTTTCGAATTTATTACGCTGCAAAATTCGACGCTTGTCGAACTTTCAAACTTGATTGACTAAAAAATTCGATGATTTTCTAACTTTCGAATTTCTTGCACTAAAAGTTTGAAGCTTTTCGAGCTTCCGAACTTCCTACGCTAAGAAATTCAATAATTTTCGAACTTTCAAACTTATTAATCTAAAAAAATTCGAAAATTGCTGAACTTTCGATTCCTGAAAAGTCAAAAGTTTGACGGACTTCGAATTTTTAGGGTAAAAGTTAAAAGTTTGTTGAACTTAGAAAGACCGGCGGGCGGTTTCATTTGGTTTGAAGCAGTAAGGTACATTCATGATTTTTTTTTCGCATTTTTACATGCGGTGCTGCATTCCTTGCGAAAGACAATGCCATTTATTTGAATCATCTGGCATGCTTGGTTTTAAAAAAATAGATTCCCGAAGGAGCGAGGAAGGACGACGGGTTTTCGACAATTGTCGTTTGTGCCATATTTGAAGCGCTCTATAGCCGAAGCTATTTATGGTAGAGATATTAAACGTTTTGAGAATGACCTATGTATAGCCTATGTAAGTGTCGTCTTAAGATGTGATTATTGTTATTCAAGGTGAGTTTCGAAGAAATGTCCAAACATGTATCTACATGCAATTATGCCCTAAACTTGGTAATTTTTTTCGTCTAAATTGTTTGAGGTATCGCATTTAAATTAACACCACAGACAATACATATCATTACCATCTGTAGAATACAAAATAATGTATTTATTGTTTTTTCACGTTGAGGAATAAATTAACTAATGGGGAAAGATTCTAAAATTGTTCGTTCAGCACCTTATAAAAAAAAAAATTAATTTTTTTTTTTAATTTTTACGTTTTTGGGACGTGTTTCTTTTTGCCTGTACACATTTTGGTAGGAGAAACTTGTTTCGTTGTTCTGGGCCCCTGAATATGCAAGAATACAACACTTCCGACGGGTTCTTGATAGTTTTTTTTTTTTCCTCTCCAGCTTTTAATTTTTGCATTTATTGTTATGTTTATTTATTTATTATTTTTTACCAATGGCACAGTTATTTAGGTCGAGAAGGCATAACTTTGAATTTCCGAACCACCGAGCATGTGACGACTAGTGCCTTCTGACAACGAGTTTCTAACAATGACCATCTACGCTATCTTTTATGCAGTGAAGAGGGACAGTAGCTATACATATGCATAAATAATTTCAGATTAAAATAAGCTCGACCATGCCCTCTTTCCCGTATTAGGGGCGAAGCTCCTTAGGGTCTAGCCTTGTCCGTCTGTCCGTCCGTCCGGCGTCCGTGCTCACATAAAAAGAAAAAAATGTTTGCGCAGTCGACAGGATTCGAACCTGTGCGGGGAGACCCTAATGGATTTCTATTCCATCGCCTTAACCACTCGGCCACGACTGCGGGACGAGTAGGGGGGCTCTGAGATGTGGTAGTAACTCAAGAGCTGGGATTTCTGTCATGGATAAAACGTTGCATGTAGCCACTCAACGTCTATACAGGAGAGGGCGCTGCGGTCAAATGCGTATATAATCACGTTAAACTTTGCATGCATTGGCTCAACGTTTATAGGCGAGAGGGCGCTGTTGTCAAATGCGTATATAACCACGATCCATACCACACATTCTCTTTCTGACATGGATCGTTGACTTAAGCGGTGGAGATGCGTTCCCACGGCTTCTAGCGGATCCAAGCTGATCCGCTAGAAGAACCACTGGCTCTGCGTTTCTCCGACCATAAAGCAGTAATAATGAAGTCGAAACGCAACCCGGAACTCAGCACTACCTATGAGCAATAAAATCAGTATCATCAGCGCCACCAGAGCTTCGCCCCAATCAACATCATTCACCACGTGGAGATGCGGTCATTTTTTTTCTTTAACAGTCCGAAATATCCGGGGGGGGGGGGGGGGGGGGGGGGAGGAGGGGAGAAGGGAGGGGAGGGAGGGAGGGAGGGAGGGAGGGAGGGAGGGAGGGGAGGGGGGGAGGGGGAGGGGGAGGGGAGGGAGGGAATGGCGCCCCCGCCCCCCCCCCCCCCCCCCCCTCCCCTTCTTTCCTGTTTTTCCTCTTCCAATGCCACTGGTATGGTAGAACGCTCCTCGACCTCAAGTTGTGTCGGCTTCTGTGCTTTTTGCTCGGCGTTCCTTCCGTCCCGGAAAATAAACCTCCGAAGCAGTTACTAACTAAAAAATTGTCAAGGTGCAGGCAAGCTGGTGTATGTTGATCATGGTGCAAAATCCCGAGACTGGGAATAAAATTTGAAAGAAATAATGTAAGAAGAAAGAAAAAAGGGGACAGGACAGCGTCGCAAACTCAGCTGAGTTGAGTTTGAGACGTTGTCCTGTCCCCTTTTTCCTGTCTTCTTACACTTTTTTTTTTCAAATTTAATTCTCACTCTCAGGATTTTGCATCATCTACAAACTACAGCGTCACTCGGGCGGCATTTGATCGGATTACCACCAGCGTGCAAGGGGGTAGGGAGGCAGTTTGCCAGATCGCTTCAAGGTTTTTCGGAGCCTCAACCACCAGCATTCCCCTGGCCGTTTCGGACTGGATAAGTACCGTTAAATAGTGCGTTTGTGTGATGACTTCTTCGTGATGCACGTTAATGACCCCCCCGGGCTGGCGGTCACAATTACTGATCTATGGTCACACATCCTCTGCACTGGCAAATATTCCAGCACATCTGGGACACCCGTCATCTCATTTAATTGCCTGACCAACTCTGCGTGGTCTAAATATCACGTCCAAACTTTTCTAAACCTGATTTCGTGAAAACCAATGAGGCATGAAAACGTTATTTGAAACTGAAACTGTGGCGGAACATGAAAACCAGACTTCGAACTTTGCGCACTTGGACCTGAAAAAAATTTAAAACCTTCGAAGTTTTTTTTTTTTTTTTTTTAATTTAGCCCTAAAAGAGAAACAAAACCTTCAAACTTTTCAAACTTTATGTAGAAAGAAATTCAAAATCTTCGGTTTTATCGAACTTTATGTCTATAAGAGTTCAAAACATCCGAACTTTTCTAATTTCAGATTCAAAGAAATTCGAAACATTCAAATCTCTTGAATTTCAAGTTAGGAAAGTTCGAAATCTTCGAATTTCTTGAACCTCAAGTAAAAAGAATATTCGAAATAATCGAACCCGCGTTTTTGGAAACCGTGAAAGCTTCAAACTTTTTGAATTCGAAACTCCACGGTTTTTGAAAGTTGCGAATTTTTCGAATTCAAACCTCTGTACGGTCGAAAATATTGAAATCTTTCGAATTCAAACCTTTGTTCGGCTCGAAAATATCGAAACTTTTCGAATTCGAACCTAGGGTGGTTTGCGGCATCCCCAACTCTTACTACAGACTTTGGCGTGGATTATGAGTGGAGTCCATTCTAACAAATGAGACATGGTGAAGTGGGAATGGATATTAGAAAAGAAATGGTTTATTGAAACTTCTGATGTTTGAAAGGTAATAGATTTTAAAGATTGAAACAGTGCAATAATGATAATTAGTACAGCTCAATAAAAAAAACACCTTTTTTTATTGAGCTGTACCGATTGTCATCACTGCACTGTTTTGGTCGTACGAGCCTTGCGAAGTGCCAAGAGCAGTGAGGGCAGTTCACAGAATGAATGCCACTGCTACTGAACCAAACTTGTGTAATGTTCAAAATAAGGCTGCTGTAAAGGCTGCTGTAGAGTCTGCTAGAGTGGAATGGCGAACTACTTACAAACTTTCTAATATAGTTCATTACATCTGAGTGTACGCTACAACACAATCCGTAATAAACAAAGTTGGCTCAATGGCATAAATAGGAAGACCAACCAAATTTCACAAATTTCTATCTTATAATCGAATGCCTGCTGTAATCAGATCTATTGTAACGAAGTTATACTTAGTCGGTAATCAGATACCAATTGGAAACTACAATACCCATTGGGATGACCATTTGGAAAATGCATTCCAATTGGAATGACCAGTTGGTGGATTAGGTTCCAATGCAAAGCGCTAGTTCGTCTGCTTCTTTTGCAGGGGTTGTGGTGACATCAGAATGCCGAGCTCTGATTGGCTCTGATTGGCTCTGATTGAGGTATATTGGGTAGACCTAAAGGCAGCTTGCTTTAAGGTCTACCTACTATCCTTCCAATCGGAGCCAATCAGGGCACAGCGTCCTACGTTTCCTACAAAAGAAGCAGACTGACTTGCACTTTGAAATGGAAAGCTCAACTCCAATTGGAATGGCCAATAGTCATGACAAAGCTGATTGGATTTCATCTGTTCCAATTGGGATTTTTTCTATTCCTATTGGTACCAATTAAAATTCCAATGGGAACCAATGGGTATTTTTACTGGGTATCTCGAGGAACAATTATCTGCGCTGAACGGCAGTCAAGGAACACTCTCTAGTCTCGGCATTAATGCAGTAAAGCGGTGCAGAACCCTACAGGCCTTGTAAACAATAATGTATACACCAGGGAGTCTTTCCCATAGTTACGTATCAATGGATGGCACATATCTCTTGAAATAGTGTCTAAACTGGAGAAATGCATACTTTGGGGGAGGGGCAGTCGGGAAAATTGGGAGTTTGAACCTGGTTTGAGGAGCGATGGTCTGTACTTACAGTGTGTCGTTTGATGCTTGAATTTGGGCGAGGTTCCTTTCGAGAGCTGTCTCTCTTCTACAGAGAACACGGGCAGTGCGGGCACACCACGCCGCAAGCGGGGCCGTCCACGGAGACAGCAGCCGCCGCAGCCGCGCAAGCCCCCCATGCAGGCCTTCCTAGTGCAGATGGCGGACGGCCAGACGCTCATGATGCAGATCCCTGCGGCCAGCATCCCGCCGGGAATGGACCTGCATGACGTGGCGCAGAACATCGCCAACAGCCTCAATGCAGCTGCAGTGAGTGTGACTCCGCTTTCCCTCTCTTTTCATATAAATTGAACTCCGGCATTAGGTATCAGTCTGTTTACTGGTTCGAACAGCTATTAATGATCCGGTGCAGGAGTTCTCAAACTTTTTGATTTTGAGGAGCCACTTCTGGTTTTGGCACCGATGTAATGAAGCGGCACAAGAGCCCACAGACCTGTGAACAATAATGCACAAACTCTCAACCAAAGCCATGACACACAGGAACGGATCCGCCTTAGTGGCATTCCACAGCACCGAAAGGCTAACTAAATTCACTTCTTGATCACGTTCAGGAAATGAAGCTCTACGATTTCATTTAGCTTCTTCTCATTTAACCACCTTTCTGACCCTATATCTACCCTTCCCTTCTCTCCCTCATACCATGCAGCGTATGTCTTAAGTACAAGGTCATACCATGAAGCTTAATAAAGACAGTGTGATTCGCTCACCTTCCAGAGACTGTTTGGCTGATAGCTATGCATCAGGGGATGGCTCAGATCTGCTAAGATAGAGTTTAATCTGTAAAACATTGTGGTGGCTTAGCTCGGCTATTCCAGGATATACGTAGCGCAAGCTTATGTGCTATCAAGCGGCTTCGGTGCCGCGTCAGACTTGGCTACTGCGCAACGGAGGCACACAGCTGGGCATGCGGTGGCGCCAGTGCGTCTGCCACGACTATGACGTCACTCCTCTAGAATGCGCAGACCGGCGAGGCGCGCACGGCAGCGGCGGAGCCTGCGGCGGCGGCGTCTCCGGCGCGCCAGTTGTGCGCCGTGTGACGTCGCTGCTCCTCATGCTTGCGCAGCACGGCTCTTGGGAGCCACGCGAAACTGCTCAACCTCGGCCAATGTAGCTAATGCTACAAAAACACATTACTTAGGAATGGAGATGGTTGAGGAAGTTTGCGAGCTCGGGAAACCCTTGAGGTATACCGGGGAACCCCAGAGTTCCTAGGAACCCAGGCTGCAAACCTGTGTTTGGATCTGCGAGAATGGCAACAGATTTCTTGAGCCAGTTCGGGAAGGCGTGTCTCGGGCGTGACGGCAACATTGAGTGCGAAGATGACAATGTTCGTCGCACTAGGCTAGCTGGTGCAAGTCATAAAGGGTACAGCTGTTGGCATCCTTCTGTGCCAAGTGTGACAGCAAAAGGTTGGTTCACACATTTGCATTTGACTCTGACCGACTCTGCTGGCACTTCTTAGAATGGCTTGTGACGAGCGAATGCGGTCTTGGCATGGCCTCCGAGGTTGTTCGTGCACTCTGCTCCGGCCTGTCCAAACGCTCGGCTGCCCAACAGAAAAAGTGAGCCGAGCCAGTTCCCTAGATTCTCCGCATGTGGCGCTTATGACCAAACCAGCAACGGAAACAGAATCACCTCAAAGCACGCCGTCAAGTGTGAGCCCGCAGCATGAAGCTTGCATTTTCATTATTTTCATCATCAGAATAGAGAGGGAGGGGGTAAGTCAATCTCTGTTGATTCCTAATTTTTATTCGCTGCTCCCATCTTTGCTATGTTTCGCTGGATGGTAGCTCAGAATGCAAGATTTAGTATGAATCTATATTTGTTCTCTGCAGATACTCTCTGAGCCGGTGGGATAGTCATAGCGATATTTTTGTCAAAATACATCAGAGCAGCTTTCTGAACTCTACTTATGTGCATGGACATTTGTTCTACACCTTTCGCGCTTTGAAAAGATGAATCTTAAAATTTCGATAAACTTCTTTCTTGCAAATGGTCTGTGTGTTGCGGTGAGAGGCAGAGAGCACATATCACGCTGTGCCTAAGTTCCGTAGACTTACAATAATGGTGATGGCGATAATTCGCAGCTATTTCTTTCCCTTTACTAGCTTTACCCTCCCCTCCCCCCCCTCCTCCCGAAAATATCTTGGCGGTCCCTTCTACCGTATTTATTCGAATATAGGTCGACCTTTTTTTTTCGGAAATGTTGTCAAAAATTAAGGGTCGACCTATAATCGTGACCAAAAAATTTCGACCTAATTCGCGACCAAAATTTGAAACCCTACCGAGGGTATGGAGCTATCAATCACCTAGCCGGCGTCGCGGTAGAGCCGCGCGGCTTCTTGTTTCAAAAAGCTTTTGATGCACAAACACAACCGAACAGCAGCAGCCGACAGCCCGCGGCCGCCGGCTACGGCTCTCGCGCACATTCCCTCGGCGTCGGGTTTCGCCATCACGCCTGTAGCGTTCCCCTCGCTGGGCAAGGGGGAAGGGGAGGGAGAGCAACGCGATGCGCCATGCACTTTGCCCTCCTATGCGCTCCATTCCTCTCCCTCGCAAACGCGCACACACACACACAAAAAAAAAAAAAAAAAAAAAAAAAACATCGAAGGTACTTTAGTTTGTTTTTTTCGGCGGGTCACGTGTTGCTCACGGTGCTCGCAGCGTTGCTCATGTCTTTGTATTTGGTCTTTCGTTGCTCGCCCGTCTCCACCTTCTTTCGTTTCTTCATGTCGTCATTTTACAACGGTGTCAGTGAGGTATTGTTGCCAATTTGTGAGGATGTCTACCAAGCTGACGAAGCTTCGGACGATGATATGTCCGAAGTTCCGACGATGAATAAGTTTTTGACATCGCCCTGTGATTTAGCTGAGAGTGCTGTAAACAAAGGTTTGTTTCTTTTGCCCTAACTTTCCCCTGTTCCTTAAAAAAAAAAAAAAAAAAGGTCGACCTATATTTGAATTATTTTTTTTTATTCTCGGTGGGCTCAATAAATAGGGGTCGACCTATTTTCGTGGTCGACCTATTTTCGGGTAAATACGGTACCCTGATTTATTTTAATTTTTATCAGCTTTGAATTGGTTATGCCTCCCTGTTGGCACCGATTGAGGAACTTCATTTTTCTGTCTTTTTTTTACATATTCCTCACCTTATGTTACATATTGTTTGGTTTGGTTGTGAGCCCCACCAAGTGCCCCACAGTAACAGATTATATTGGCAAACGGAACGGCCCGAGGAGCGCAGCCAGCACACGATTAAAATCTCGGAAGCCATGGTCTGGGCATAACTAAAAGAAGGTTCTGCAGTATTTGAGGGATCAGATGTACTATGCACTGTAAACACAAATGATCTCGTATAGCATTATCGGAATTAGTATGAGTTCACAGGGAAGGAATGATATGTAAAATATATGCAGATGAGAGGTGTTCCAAGGCCTCCCAGTAGGTGGCGCCAGCAACTTCTCTCGTAAGCAGCTACGAGTCACTGCGACTTGGTCAATCGAATTCGTTGCAAATGTGTGAGCCAATCTTTATAGTTCTTGCTGGAATCGAATTTGTTTTTCTGTTTTTGTTCCACACAGCAACAGCAAGGCAGCATGGTCCTCCAACAGCAGGGACTGTCGACCACGCCCAATGGAGACCTGATGGTCACGCAGACCCTGACCGGTCCCACGTCCGAGGCACAGGCCGGTGCGCCTTCCGACGTCGGGGATGCTCCGCAGACGACCGAGCACCAAGCGAGCTCTGGCTTAGGTCTCTGCCGGTTCAAAGATTGCGCTCGTGTGAATATCCGAAAGGCTCTCTAAATGCTTATCATTCATAGCTCGTGACATCACGGCATCACGTGACATAATGTTGCATGGCCACGTGATGTCGGCTTACATCACGTGACCATCAGGAAAGCACATGGTCATGTAGAACCTTACGTCACGAAAGGTCACGTGACCTTACGTGGTGAAACTCTCACACTTTGACATCACCAGCTTGACATCGTCATTGAGGCTTTGTCCCAGGGGCATGAAAGTGCTACGAGTTGACCCTATTAAATGCTAAGCATTTAAAAGTGCAGTCCTGGCCACTGCACAAAGCCCACAGTGCTTCTTTCTGGTATTATTAAGTAATACGTAACTGTAAACCAGACACTTGCACATTGCCCTTGCGCGTGAATGATTGTTAATGTGGCACTAGTGACATTTTAAACTTTATTATAAAACTGTCGTTTATCGATTTCTTAAAGAGTTCCTTGTATTGCCCCATTTTTTCTGGAATTTTGAAGGCATAGGTGTGTTTATGGAACGAGGCACGCGGAAACTCTCGAAGCCAAAATTTTTGCCGACAACTGTAGGGAGGGAAAGTGCTACTTGTTTCCGAACCTGGCGTGGGAGGTTACGGCAACGAAGCGTCTCGTCAGCGGATTGATTTTGGGCGATTTCTGGGATCTTCACTTAAAATGGCTACTGTATTCAGTTCCCACACGTGTGGAGTTTCAGTTTGCTTTTAGGAATTGATATATGCGCACGGTAGATTTTGGCGGGCGTCGACGGAGTTTAAAAAGAAATTGACCTTGTAGTGCACGAATGTGCCAAAGAATAGCTGCAATAGACCTGTTGCAAAACGTACAGTACCACGACGGCAGGGAATTTCGGTAACCCTCGGTACAGATCACGCGCTTTCTCGCTCCGCCTCCGTGACTCGCGCGCGTCGCGGCAGCTACCGCCAGCAGCCGTCACAGTCATCCGCCATCCCGCCCATCCACCAGGACGTCGTTGGCGGCGTACCGTATCTGTGGCAGCGTAAACGCATTGCGAAAGGTGATTTGAATATGTTATTGGTTGTAACTTACCTTCACGTTTTGTAGTGTCACAGAATGCACTTATTTTGCACTGCGACCGTGGCAAGGTTCGACTAGGTTCGACAAAGCGTTGGTGCACCAGACGAAAGAGGCAGTGCGGTACGAAGGGGAGGGATTAAAAAAGGGGCAGACCCTCTCCCCCGTGCGCTCGTCGCTCGTCCAATCCGACTCGGCGACTCGGCTCTGGGGTGCTCAAACGTTCTTGCTATGGTAACCTGCGCCTGCTCGCGTATGCCACGTGGTAGCTGGAGGAGAGACGACCGAGTACCCCCATTCGCTGCGTGGCGCATTTGGGCTTTTGGGATTTTTGCAAAGGGTCTATTGAGAACTGCCTTAGCAATGTAGAGTTGACTTGCGAAGTCGAGGAAAAGACGTTTCCATCACAGTTTCCGACGAGCGCGCAGCGAAGAGCACACAGCTCTTGGCTGTGCGTGCGTGACTATTAAGCATTGCGCGGGAGTCATTGTTAAAATGACTATAATGCAATGCCCTCCGACATTGACAGAAGTTTTTTGCCTTGTTTTATTAACGCAGAATGTGTCTAGGGGCCGAGATCCCTAGGAAAGTGTGACTGAATGCCACGAAAACTCTTAGGAAATGTGCAACAGTCACTTCAGAGGACAATCTGTAAAAATGTGGTAGGTTGAGGAGAAAGGATGAGATTCTAAACGTGCCCCAATGGGAATCAAACAACCCCACGATTGTGATCTCGACATTAAATCGCTGCGCCAATTAGTAGGTAGACGGTAAGCTTGCTGTTTTTGTCTCTACCATGGTGGTACCTAGTAAGCATTAAAATGTGAACGCTCCACATCGGATGCGAGCGTTCAGTGCTGACATTCGGCAGCTGGAGCTTCCTTGCTTCCCAGTGACTAAGCCCAGGTGTTTGGTTATTTCGAAGTACTGACGTTAATTGAAGCAGAATTTTTTTGAAAGCTTTGTCAAGGGACAGTTAGCATTGCCAATAGCAAGAGCTCCAATGCCAAATGCTGCCGTAAACATGTCATTCGATACAAACGAGTTCTTATAAATTTTGTGTATTTTTTTGTCTGGTTATTATTTACTTTTGCTATAAATACTGAAAAATTGGTAACAGCAAAATAAATCTGAAAATTTCAAAATTTCACTAAAAATAAACTAAGAAAGACATCCTTCGAATTTCACGTGAAATAAGCTCCGAAAACATGAAATCCTAGCTATGACCAAAGAAAACTAAAAAGGAAACTGCATGTCCACTACAAACCCCAAGAATGTTGTGGAAATACATTTTGTGTACACAGACTTCATTCGTAAAATGAAGATAAATCAAGCATTCTTTTATTTCTTTTTCGATGCAGACGCAGCGGGGCCGGCATCCCTCGCTCCGGCGACCACCCTCCCGTCCCAGCTGGCCCAGCTGGACTCCATCCTTCCCCCGCAGTCGGTTATCCTGGCCATGGACGGGGTGGCAGACGGACTACTTCTGGGTTCCACGGCCCTGCTCACGTCTCCCCTCGCGGCGGCGGCGGCAGCAGCTCCGACGCCGGTCAAGAGGCGGCCCGGCAGGCCGCGCAAGAGGCCGCCCACCCCGCCTCCGCCGCCTCCTCTTCCCCCTTCTTCCCCGGCGGCAGAGGAGCCGTCTGCGGCCGGAGATCCACCGGAGACGTCTGGCTTCGTGCGTCCCGACAGCTCTGAAGAGGCCGGAGAAGACCCGGGCATTCCACGACTCTTGGAATCCGAGAGTGCAGGTTGGTGTTACGGCGAAAGGGGGGGGCGGCGTATTTTCTGGACTAGTCCACACCCGGCACATGGAGTATTGCGCGTTTGAATGTACTTGTTGAAGCGGAGCAAAAATAAGGACCGCCAAACTTGAGATAATAGCTTTAAATGGACTGACTTTCAGGTTTCAACAGCACTGTTCGGGTTCATTCCTTGGCAGAATCCGCTAAGCAATGGCTTGAGACTTCGTCTTCTTTTTCAGCATAGACCGTTCCACTTGTGTGAGAGGAGAGATGGAAATGGAGCCAGACATTTGGGCAGTTCTGTCAGTACTGCTTGTCGGTGCTGCCCAAACACCAATAATGATCAGTTTTTCGTCTGCTGTCAGGATGGGCGGGCATGTGCCCTTTTCCTTCTTCTACCCTTACCAAATCTGTTGAGATGCCCATATGTATGCAGATGTACTGCACAGGCTAAAATTTTTATCTACAGCTGGGAAGCAAGTTGCCCGTTGAGGCAGACTAAGTTCTAGGCTGTATAAACACACACCACAATTTTTATGCAGATCGCACTGCAGTCAAACAAATGGCGCCACCCAGAAAGCATTCAGTGGAACGGTCTATTGGTGAGATATTTCGGTGGCTCCCTCTTGTGTTTTCTATGCATGACGTTGCAGCCAGGATTATCGATATCCAGCGACAGTTTTGACAGTCTGTGTAAAAAGCCTAATGGAAGCTTGCCCAACGACTTTGCCGTGACATGTGACAGCTATTGCTGTGACTATACTCCGTTTCAAACATCGCGTGCAACGCTGGGAAAGCTACTGAAGTAGTGCGCATGAAAAAACACACAAAATTGTGTTACTCCGCGAGATTTCGTGGACGAGCGGTACAAGGCGCTGCTCCGGCGATGCCGACATCTCGGTGGCGGTGGTTCGAATCCACTTAGGGCGCAAAGGTTTTTTTTTTTTTTTTTTTTTCCTCGATCGATTTTTTGTGCAGGATCGTGCGTATTGCGGAAGTGCATATTTCAATTCCTCTTTTCTTGTTGATTTTTATTTATAAGAAGGTAGACTAGGGGCTGGTGTTCCGCTCAAACTTGCGCCGGCCTCGTCAAAACGGAAGAACGGTCGAGATCCAGGGCGTCTCTATTTAAAGCCGTTTATTTACATGGTAGCGTGAAAATCAGAGTACCTTGAGAGTGTGGTGGACGGTCCTTTATATAACGAATATTGTGATTAGGGGACCGCACTGCCATTGTTCAGACGGCTTGGCATTCCCTCACGTGATGTGACTTCATGGAAGTTTCCTTCAGAGTCAGAATACTCGCCGGTGTATGAAAGAAGTCATCCAGACGGCAGTATCTCGGTGCTCTGGTGCCGGCGCCCACATGAACCGGGAGTGATTCACAATAGACGCGTACACAACACACGGCACTCGAGATCAGGATCGAGTGTTGTTTCCTTTTCGAGGAAAGCAGGGGCCTCGGAATACAGGCACGGGCATGTGCGTCGTTTACTTAGCCGACCAAGGTTAAGGTGCCTCAGGCAGACGGATCCGACCATGGTTACGGTCCCGCAGGCAGAAGAACCCAGACACTTCGGAATGCAATCACGGGCACCGCCTGCTGTAAGGTCCCGCAAGCAGACGGAGCCGTAGGCACGATTCATCACCGACACAGTTCCTTCTTGAGGCTTGTTTCACTTTGAAGCCATAAGGCCAATTTCAACACCAGAAATAACAGGTGGCAGTTCACAACACTGTCCGCGTGCTCGGAACTTTCACGTTGCGAGGTCTTCGCTTCGGGGACGCCACCTTGCCAGACACTCCGGTGTCGTTACTGACCGTCTCCAGGACCTCACGGACCGACGTCTCCGGGAAACACGTTCTTGAACTTGCGTACACGTTGGCGATCACCTGCTTGCACTTTTGCGAGATCTTCACACAACGAATCTTCGAAAATATCCGAGCAGGAAAAGAAAGCTTCCCGCGTAAGACGCCATCTTCACGAAACCGGCGAGGCAGGGGCAGCCGTACAACCCGAAAACCCGAAGCGAGTGCGAGTGCCGCACGAACGAAAACGGAAAATAATTTGGAGTAGTTTAGATTATATTTTCCTTTTTATTGAAAAAGAATTGGTGTTCCCTCGAAATCATAACGCCACTATTAGTTACTAGCTCCAAAGATGTACACTTTTCGACTTTTTTTTTTTTTCAGGGGCCGCACTATTTTGTGGAGCGAACGTAGTCGCGGTCGGCTGTGCGAACCGGCGCGCTAGCTTTGACTACATTGCACGCTATGTTTGAAACGGAGTATAGTACTGTAAATTAACACAAGACTGCTCAATTTTTTTTTCTTTTTCATCGGGGGGGGTGCTTTTAGGACAGCAGCAGATTACACCGTAAATTGTTTTGTCATCAACGGGTAGTCTCGTCCACTACCTAGGGCCACTAAATCAGCTCTACTTTGAGTATCAGCGCTCCACTCCATTCACCACTTTTCTTATGGGCATCGCCGATTTGGTGCTTAGCACTGGCTGGATGCAGTTGGCGATTGGTGCAATTAAGAAATCTAGCTTCCCGATCTTGAGACACTGTGTCAGCTAGGGAGCTCAGGCGATAGCATTTTGCTTTGTTGCAGACTGTTTCAATGTTTCTCAAGGGAAGAGGTTAACCGGCAACAACGGTTACGAGCTTTGAGACGGCCAAGGTCTCATTATTCTGAACTGTAGCTCGTTTTGGGGCTCTACCACTACTGACATACTACTGCACTTGCCCTGTTTCGAGTCACGGTTGGCCGAGAACTGCCTGTGACCCCCTTTGTCCGTTGCCCGTACAGCCGTTGCAGAGGTGAACAGCACAGCAGAGGAATCTCCTGCCATTGCGAGCAGCCTAGCAGATGCCGTCGCGCAGGTCCTGGCGTCGGACAACGAGAACAACGCGGCAGAGAATGTTCCCGCAAAACAAGACGCTGCGACGAACGAAGACGGCGAGATTCGTCAACAACCGCCGCTCGCGGGTGCCGCGGTCGAAGCGGAGGTGCGTGCGTCGCTACCTGACCCTTTTTCTTGCTGCTGCTACTGCCATTTAAAGATATTTGTTGTCATTGTAGCAAATGCAAGTTTCTTTTCTATAAGGAGTAGGGTAGTACGGTAGCGCAATATGTTGAAGGATTTATGTGACTTCGTAGTCCTATATGAGATCATTTATTACTAGTGCAAAACCGATACCATCTGCCCTCAAGCTATTCACAGTGCACTCCTCAACATGACAATCCGGCAGCAGTTGTTACAAGGTTAACAAATAGCCATATTTTATTTTGGTGACATCTAAGTTTTACAGCGGAGCTGTTAAGGGCTAGTTTCCCTAGGATTGTGTGCCCCGCAAAGAAATGCCGACACAAAACTCTAGACAGCTACCGCCATCTATAAGCAATGGCGGCAACCAGACAACCGGTTTACCAGCCTCGCTTATAGATGGCGGCAACCTTTCAAGCATTTCCACTCTGGTTTTCACCCGAGTGGAAAGGTTGAATTTCTCTAGGCGTCGTCCTAGATGTCGTCCTTGAGGTAGTCCTTGAGGTCGTCCTTGATGTTGTCAGAGAGGTTGTCCTCGAGGTCGTCCTAGAAGTCATCCTTGAGGTCGTCCTAGAAGTCGTCCTTGAGGTCGTTCTAGACGTTGTCCTCGAGGTCGTCCTAGACGTTGTCCTCGAGTTCGTCCTAGAAGTCGTCCTTGACGTCGTCCTAAACATCGTCCTTGAGGTTGTTCTAGACGTCGTCCCTGAGGTCGTCCTAGATGTTGCACTCTAAGCGCTGTCCTTGAGGTCGTAAAAGAAGTCAATCTTGAGGTCGTCCAAGAAGTCGTCCTTGAGGTCGTCCCACCATAGTACTGCTTCGCTGGTCTTCCTTCTTCACCAAAGTGGAAAGGCTGAAAGTTTTTTGCATACCCATTATGTAAAATATTCTTGGTCTAAGTGATGTTCGTTAGTTTTATACTCCCTTTCATTCATTGCATTGAATTTTCTCAAAGCTACTGACTGGAGTGTGTTAGGGTGCCTTCATGTGCACTTCGCATGGGGTGATGCCAACTGCCTGTTTCCCTTTCCCACACCCTCGTCCACCGCCATTTTGTTCCTCATTGTTTCCCCGTGCGCCGGAAAGTGGCCTTTGTGTCCATCGGTCTTCCCATCTGAGGGGGGAAATGCTAATCCTCCCTCCGTGGGTTCCACAACGCTGCTCCGAACATGTGAGAAAAGGTGCTTGTTTCCGGGAGGATTATAAGCCCCATGGATTATCGCCGAGAACCAAAATGGCTGCTGGTTTGTCGGCGAATGGCATTACAAAAGGTGGCGTCACCCTAGCAAAGCACACATGAAGGCTCCCTAGAGTGTGTGGCTTTGGTAGCTCTATGCTCTACCGTAATATTCTGAGTCATCACCCACTTCCCTGCCACCTGAAATTCATAAAAAAAAGGTGGGGTGGGCCATGTCTCGATGGGTAAGCACAAAAAATTTAAACAAAGCTAGAATGTTTTTTGTATGTATCTAGTGCGGCTACACAGGAGATGCAATGAACAATGTTTTACTTTCGCGTAGTTAATTACTTGCATACGTGCGATGGATATCGCCGATTGGCATAAAACGCTAACTCTTGCTCCATGAACTGGAACAAGTGTATCTAGTACGGCTGTGTCCGCTTCTGCTCTTCTCGGTGCCAAGGAACATGGCGGCGCCTGAGGCATCTATATCACTATCGGCTGCAACCTCGGCAGTAGCGAAATGTGACTGTCCACGCAACTAAGGGAGCAGAAGAACGACATTCTTGCTTTCGCATTCACAACTCGTAAGAAGTGCTTAGGTGTCCTTGAAATTTGCAGCGGAACTGTTAAGGGCTAGATTCCCCAGTTTTGTGTCCATGAACAAATAAATCTTGACACAAAACTCCGCACACCTACCGCCAGCTATGAGCGACGGCAGCAACCAGACAACCGGCTTGCTGGTTGTCTGGTTGCCGCCATCGCTCATAGATGGTGGCAATCTTTCCAGCGTTTCCACTCTGGTTTTCACCAAAATGGAAAGGCTGAATTTCTCTAGGCGTCATCCTAGAAGTCGTTCTTGAGGTCGTCCTTGACGTCGTCCTTGAGGTTTTTCTTGAGGTTGTCCAAGAGGTTGTCCTTGAGGTCGTCCTAGAAGTTATCCTTGAGGTCGTCCTAGATGTTGTCCTCGAAGTCGTCCTAGACGTTGTCCTCAAGGTCGTCCTAGAAGTCATCCTTGAGGTCGTCGCAGATGTCGTCCTAGGATTCGTCCTTGAGGTCGTCCTCGGGGTCGTCCTGGAAGTCATCCTTGAGGACTTCCTAGACGCTGTCCTTGAGGTTGTCCGAGACGTCATCCTCTAGGCTTCGTCCTTGAGGTCGTCCTAGAAGTCATCCTTGAGGTGGTCTCACCATAGTACTGCTCCGCTGGTCTTCCTTTTTCACCAGAGTGGAAAGGCTGGAAGTTTTTTGTTTAGCTGTATCTTTTTCTTTTTGCTGACGTGCCTTGTGGGAATCGACTTACAATCGAGTTGATTTGCAGTCGTGTAAATATGGTTGTAATTGTTGTTAACAAGTTCCATTGCAAAAGTTGACACTGTTCATGGGTACCTATATGTATCAAAACAAAAATAGAAGTAATTTATAAAAATGGCTGACTATTGGGCCAACACATACTAAATGTCTAATTGAAATTATGTGACTGGTTGTGACCAGGTTGTACCAGAACCACAAGACGTTGCAGCGCCTGCGGTACCGTCTGCTTTGCCGGGTGCCTCTGCTACCGTTATTCCAGTTCCAGAGAAGCTGGTGCCTATTTTGATGCCCATGCCCAGGGTCGGTGAGTGCAAACTGTGCCTATCAGGGACACCCGCTGTCAGTACTTTGAAGAAACCTGGGAGCAGGAACAGCTGGAATAGCATTGGTACAATGGTCAATCTGAACGCATACAGAGCTAAACTGCCGAGGCTCGTGTTCTGTAGTGAGAAAGGCAGGTAAGACATAAAGAAGTGGGTGTATTGAAAAGCTGAAGTGATTTCCTAACAACGGGTCCATATTTTGCATAGCCCTCACTTGCTCATGAAACTATCTGCAACTTCTTTAATTGAAGCAATATGTGTAGGCACTCATGCTTGTCATTGTGACACAGTTTTTAGCGGAGGCCTCGCTCATACTTGTAAAACACAGCACCTGACCTCACTCACCCTCTCCTTCAGAGTTCTCATTACTGGGTTGCCCATCCTGAACCTCTCAAGTCATGTCCCTGAAATACATTGACGGGTTTCACGAGCCTTTTTGTTTAAATTCTTTCACAAGTCTCATGTACACACTTACCCCTTATGCCCTGTACTCAAGTCATGAGCTCTTGCACTTGTGCGGATTCACCAGCCTGCTTTTGCCACGATTTGGGCACATTCACTATAGTCGGTTACAAGTTAAGAGGTAGTAGAAGCCCCTCCCCATAAGCGTGATGCACCCGCTTCAGACGCCTCCGCAGTCGAGAAGATAGTTCGCTGAAAACGCCCCTTCTACTTCAATGGATGGATATTGACTACAGACAGACCTTGTAGCGGGCGGCAGCTTGCGCCACCTAGCCGAGGCAAATTACTCGCTCCGGAAGGTTGACGTAAAAAGAAGGCTTCAGTGCAACGAAAATTGTAACTTTTATAAGTAATGCATATATGGTTGTTGGTTTTAGCTTGATAACCTTCCTACTCGAATTAGGTACATTCCGTGTATTTTCTGCGTTTGTTAAAAAAAACCTGCGTTTCGGGTTTTGAAAGTTTCTGCGATTCGCGTTTTAACAATGCCAAAGTCGCCGTTTTCCGTTATGAATCCCAACGTGGAGACAGCGGAATGCGATTCCTCTGATTCTTCTTCGTCAAGAGAGTCTGGTGCAGCCTCGCCGCCTACGCCAAGGCGCCTCTACAAGAAGCATAAGAGCGGCGATGTCCTCAACCGAGCTGCACGGCAGCTGATAATGAACGCGTACGTTCAGGTGCGACACGAACCGCCTGCCAAGCCCGGCCAGCCCGGCCTCACTGTGGAGGAGTCCTGCATCAAAGTCAGCAAGCTGCTTGGCGTTGGTGTACACACCGTCCTCGAGATTAGGAAGCAGGCGAAAGAAACCGAGGGACAAGTTGTGACACCTTCTCGGAAGCGCCCAGCAAGTGAAGGCAAGACGCGGCGCAAAGTCAGGTACGGCGAGTTCACGTTGTGCGCGCTAAGATCGTGCGTCCACCGTTTCTTTCGACGGAACGAGGTCCCCACGGTCAAGAAGATAACGGCCGAATTCTGCACGAGCACTGAACTTCCCTCGTTGAAGGCTTGGACTGTGCGTCGCCTTCTCCACGACATCGGATTCGAGCATAACAAGAGGGAACGAAACTCCCGGTTGATTGAACGAGAGGACATAGTCGCCTGGCAGCAGAAGTACCTGCATGAGATCGCACGTCACCGACAAGATGGTCGGAAGATCTTCTACTTGGACGAGACGTGGGTGACAGCAGGGCACACTGTCTCAAAGGTGTGGGTAGACACGACAGTGGCCTCGTCTCACGACGCCTTCATGCGTGGTCTCTCGACTGGCCTCAAGCAGCCATCGGGGAAGGGCCAGCGTCTTATTGTCACCCACATCGGCAGCGATGAAGGCTTCGTCGACGGCTGCCTGGACGTGTTCCGTGGACAAAAAACCGGTGATTACCACGAGGAGATGGATGGCGCCCGCTTCGAGAAGTGGTTCGACGGTGTCCTCGACAAACTGCCGACAGGAAGCGTTATCGTCATGGACAACGCTTCTTACCATTCACGGCGGTTGGAAGCAGTGCCGACGACGAGTCCCCGGAAGGACGACATCCGACAGTGGCTGACGTCTAAGAAAATTTCATGGGACCCCAAGATGGTGAAGAAGCAGCTGCTCGACATTGTGGCCTTGGTGAAGCCACAGCACCTAAAGTATCGTGTGGACACTGCTGCCGAGACAGCTGGCTGCACTGTGGTCAGGCTCCCACCGTATCACTGCGAGTTCAACCCCATTGAACTGATATGGGCGCAGATCAAGAACGGCGTTGCTGCCCGAAACACGACGTTCAAGATTGTCGACGTGGGGAGACTCCTCAACGAAGAAGTTGACAAGGTCACCACTGACAACTGGATTAATGCTGTCAGGCACGTTATTGACATTGAAGCAACGTTCCGACGAGGCGGTGCCACAAGTGCCCACATCCAGCCCATCGTCATCCAGCTGGATGGAGAGGACACCCCATCCGAGAGTGACCTGTCTGGTGTCGAGCCCCTTGACGAAGCTTAAGGCCACCATTATGGAGAAAGCGTGGAACATCTCGGAACACAAAACGGTCCTTTTAAAGACCACTTATTTGCTTTAAGATCGGATTGTTGTTCTTGACCACCACTAACCTCCCGTGTCTCATGTTGTCATGCTTCTCTGCTCGTTGCCGAATAGCATTTCGATATGCAGCCACCAGACAAACTTTTTATTTTTGTTGCGATAATGTCTAAGCTGGTCTATACATTGCACTGTGCCATAAATCACCAGTATAGATTTCAACTTCACGAAAACAAAAGTTTGCAGCCCATCTACGGCAAAGACATCAGATGCCATATTGACCCTTCCCGCTGTCTAAAGATCTTTGCTACGCAGCAAATGGAATTTTGATTGCAAATAAGCTCTTTTTTGTCTAAGAAAAACGACACAACATATCACTGCCAGTGCTCTGCTTTAAAGCATAAATGGGACGTCTGTGGCCATTTACATGACTGAGGCTTCTGGGAATAACAAAGCCGTGTGTTAGCACAGTGGAGAGCGAAATCGCAGTACCAGTACTCTGTTTCTAAGTCTAAAGGGAACGCCTATGGTCATTCACATGACCGAGGCCCCTCTGAAAACAACAATAATGTGAGCCAGCACTGTGGGAAGCTAACTCTTAATGCCAATGACCTGTTTCGAAGCATAAACTGGACGTCAGTGGCCATTCACATGACCGAGGCCACTCTGAGAATAACAATAACTTGCATCAGCGCTGCGGGCAGCTAACTCTAACTGCCAGTGACCTGTTTCGAAGCATAAACTGGACGTCAGTGGCCATCCACACGACCGAGGCCACTCTGAGAATAACAATAACGTGCATCAGCGCTGCGGGCAGCTAACTCTAACTGCCAGTGACCTGTTTCGAAGCATAAACTGGACGTCAGTGGCCATCCACACGACCGAGGCCACTCTGAGAATAACAATAATGTGCATCAGCGCTGCGGGCAGCTAACTCTAACTGCCAATGACCTGTTTCGAAGCATAAACTGGATGCCAGTGGCCATCCACACGACCGAGGCCACTCTGAGAATAACAATAACGTGCATCAGCGCTGCGGGCAGCTAACTCTAACTGCCAGTGACCTGTTTCGAAGCATAAACTGGACGTCAGTGGCCATCCACACGTCCGAGGCCACTCTGAGAATAACAATAACGTGCATCAGCGCTGCGGGCAGCTAACTCTAACTGCCAGTGACCTGTTTCGAAGCATAAACTGGACGTCAGTGGCCATCCACACGACCGAGGCCACTCTGAGAATAACAATAACGTGCATCAGCGCTGCGGGCAGCTAACTCTAACTGCCAGTGACCTGTTTCGAAGCATAAACTGGACGTCAGTGGCCATCCACACGACCGAGGCCACTCTGAGAATAACAATAACGTGCATCAGCGCTGCGGGCAGCTAACTCTAACTGCCAGTGACCTGTTTCGAAGCATAAACTGGACGGCAGTGGCCATCCACACGTCCGAGGCCACTCTGAGAATAACAATAACGTGCATCAGCGCTGCGGGCAGCTAACTCTAACTGCCAGTGACCTGTTTCGAAGCATAAACTGGACGTCAGTGGCCATCCACACGTCCGAGGCCACTCTGAGAATAACAATAACGTGCATCAGCGCTGCGGGCAGCTAACTCTAACTGCCAGTGACCTGTTTCGAAGCATAAACTGGACGTTAGTGGCCATCCACACGTCCGAGGCCACTCTGAGAATAACAATAACGTGCATCAGCGCTGCGGGCAGCTAACTCTAACTGCCAGTGACCTGTTTCGAAGCATAAACTGGACGTTAGTGGCCATCCACACGTCCGAGGCCACTCTGAGAATAACAATAACGTGCATCAGCGCTGCGGGCAGCTAACTCTAACTGCCAGTGACCTGTTTCGAAGCATAAACTGGACGTTAGTGGCCATCCACACGTCCGAGGCCACTCTGAGAATAACAATAACGAGCATCAGCGCTGCGGGCAGCTAACTCTAACTGCCAGTGATCTGTTTCGAAGCATAAACTGGATTCCAGTGGCCATCCACACGTCCGAGGCCACTCTGAGAATAACAATAACGAGCATCGACATATCTTGCTATGTTTCGTCGACAAGATCTTGGTTTGGTTAGGGGTGCGCTGCTTAGTTGGTGAGCAAGGGTACGGGTACATGCACGGGGGCACGACCACCCTTACACGCTGCTGCGAAGCGGCATGTACGGGTGGGCTGGGTGGGTCCACATCTTTCTAATGAACTGCTGGAGACTGTCGCCGCAAAGCGTCGTGAACTGGGTCGGTCGGATAGTTTAATATGTGCTTCAGTGATAAACGCACAACAAAATGTTCCTACAGCGTGAAATTTTTGTGTCGATGAAACTTCACAGCACAGTGTGGCAGTATCAATGAAACGAGTCGTAAAAAGTTAATGAAACGTGTCGATGAAACAACAGGGACCCTTCTTCCCAATGGTTCCATGGAGGCTCTGACAATGAGGACTGCAAGGTTGCCTCCAAGAAGCTCAATGATTTTACACGAGTCTGTCTTTGCCAAGGTAGACCAGAAAGACGATGGCAGATTCTGAAGAGCTCGTTCGCGGCTACGGCCTGGTATGATCCAGAGATAAACATACATCAGAAATGCAATTAGGCGGTTTGAGCTGCTGCTTGATTCAAACATTGTTGATTTTATTGTTATATAAAGACAAATCATTCTGCCACCTGCATTCGGACCAAGATCAAGAGTATTCGGTATGTTTTCAATTCTTGATTTAAACAAATATTTCGCATATAAGAAAGCCACAATTCATGAAGCAGGAAGCTGCCCTTGAAATCAATTTTTATTGACCATACTTTTCATCTTTTACAAATTATTAAACCAACGCTGCTATCCAGTATTGTGAACACATTTTCCTTCTTAAGTAAATTGGAAAAATTGGTGCGTGTTTACCAGTAATACCTCGGGCCACGACGCAAAGCGAGTGGAGGTACAGGCGTCACGTACCCGGGTTTCGAAGCATAAACATACGACTGAGAGCGCCTCGAGAGCAAGCAGAATGTTCGGAAGCATTTGAGAGAACCGAATCTGCTTCCCTCAAATTCTCTGGTATTTCTTCCAAAAGAAGACATCAGCCTCTTAACGTCCAAAACAATATCAATTGAATGTTTGTAACATACGCATCACTGGCTTTATCATTTGTGTGCCACCTGTATGTAACAGCTCATTATTGCGAACGAGGGTGTACCCGCGGGTACTATCGCAATCATAGATTACCGTGCAGCCGATTGCGACGCGGAAACTTGAAAAGGACGCCACGTTTCAAAGATGAATGCATACTGCTTCGAAAGCGTCATTTCAGTAGACAGACTATTTATTAACGCCAGCAAAGGTACGGTCGAAATTGGGTAAAGACACTTACTGTGTTCGCGGTTCACTTATGCCCCTCCCGCACAGCCCACTACACTTATAAAGAAGAGTTTGGTGACCGCTGCATTTTAACGTCGCTCCACGGAAACCACTGCGAAGAAAAGCCGATGCCTTCACGATGTTGAGGCGCAACCCGAGGCACAGAAGCAGACGGCGTTCGACGTATGTACGATGCTAGGCCTTACTCCCGCATCGAAATTTTCGATGGCAATGCTATCGCTGGATTCTCACGCCGTCGCGCAGAACCTATTGCGAATAAAAGTGGACGCGGTTACGACTTAGCGACGTATGCTCGGGTAAGTGAAAAACCGCATTAAAAACAGAATAATTGCTGCAAGATACTCGAGTCGTAGAAAATCTGCCCGGCAGCCATGTTGAAAATATTCATTTGCCAGAACAAGATTGGTTCGGGCAGGTCGTGACGTCACGGAAACAACGGGACGTGATTGGTGGCGGAGGAATACAAGATTCCCTTTGAGGGGCTTTTGCCGCTACCTTCTTGACTTGTAACCGACTATAGCTTACATTCATTTAGTATGCATGTTCACCGGCATGCAAGACTGGACCTTGACAGGTCCAATCTTGCCCGCATGTGGGCTATACTTTACTTTCACCTTACTATATCTACTGCAATGGATGTTAGGAGCCACGTCGACCGACACAACACTCCACGCATGCCACGTAACTTCATGCTCCGCACATTGCTCCACCCTACCCTAAAGTGACGCGACATGCCGCGAGCTGTGAAATAGAATATTGGCAAGGGATGGTAAAACAGAGAGTAAAACAGAAAATTGGCAAGGAGATGAAACTACAGGGGGCACTCTGTCGATCTTCTTTTCCACAGACTGTGGTGTTTACGTGTTTACCCATGCAAGGCCGGCAGATTGGATGAGTTATCACCTTCCTCGATCGAACACAGGGCACAAATTGGACAAAAGTGTCGCTTCGCCATGTAGTACTCTCAGTCAGTTGGTGTTTTTCTGATCAGCCACGTAGGAACGCCGACGCAGCGTTCGGCTACGACGCCCAACTGCTGCTTCAGAAGCACAAAGAAGTAACTTGCGTTATCGTCACCGCGGGTTTAGTTCTGACCTTAGCCAACGGGGTGGTTGAGGAGCCTCCTTTCCAATAGCGGTTGTCCGAGTCATCCGTCGTCCGGCGACTGCAGGTCTCAAGTCGACGGATGCGGATCTGGAGCGCCTCCAGTGCCAAGTGTGCGAGTTCCAGGCCTACTACCCCAAACAGTTTCAGGAGCACATCCTGACCCACGAAGACTCAGTGCTCAAGTGCAAGTGCTGCCCCTTCGCCTGCTTCGACGAGAACGAGCTCATCGCCCACTACAAGGTGGGCACACCTCTCGCAGTCAGAACCGTTCCCAATTGCACATTGCCATTGAAAGTATCGTTTAATTTCTTTACTTCTTAATTTATATTTGTAGTTAAGACTTCAGATCGGATATGTAAACGAGACCAATGAAAGACGTATTTGAGAAAAGTTACCACTTGATATGTCATGTTGCAGATTTTTGTAGGCTATTTTAGGGAGCAAACTTTCCGGGGGAACACACTGTATTTTCAACAATTCTATTTATGCTGATGAGAAGGGTGGTGATGTTTGGCTCGTGGTTGTGCATGACTGTGTGGTTCAGCTGCGCTTAAGCCGAGTTTTAGCTTACAAAATGCTTTATTTGAGGGCAGTGTGAGCAATCGAGAAAATTTAGGTACTTGTGGATGGGAATACTTTGGAGGTACTCTGGGGGAACATCAATGTTCCCCGGAGCTCGTCTGGAGAGCCATGCTATTCTGCAGCGAGGGCACAACAAATCTAACCCACTTAAATCTCAAAAATCAGTTTCCATGCTCGGACACTATATAATTTAGTGCAAAATATGTGACCAAATGGCAAGTTTGTTTCTTTGAAAGTATTGAAGAACAAGCTTGCCTCAACCAAAAGTTAAAACTAAGAAACATGTCTTTCTTATAAATCACTATGCAGGTTTTTTTCGACTTAAAGTCGAAAAAAACCTGCATGCTGATTTAACCTGCATACTATATTGATGTATAATTCCACTCCTCTCTGTGATGCCTTCGGGCCCTGAGAGTATAATAAATGAAATGAAATGAAAAGTGAAAATGTGTTTCGAGCTCACGATCCTCGTCTTCGTTGTGCACATTTTGTCGGTAGGGTGAAAGCTTGGCCTTTGGTAACTTTGCAGGCAAGAAAGCGTTGCTGCATGGCTCGTAGGTACGTACGGTGAATTAGTAGATATACGTCTGGTAACAGTACTGACACAGGCACTCGGAGCCATCAGACTAATCCTTTGTTAATCATCCAATCTTAGAGCTAGAAAAAATCCAACTTCACACGAGGGATGACCTCGCAGAACACAAATTCCAAATGTTACTTTTTTCTTCGATCGTCGAAGCTTTGTAGCAACTGTGGACTTAGTGGCCAACGAGTCGCTGTTGCATCAAAATATTTTTCAGGACCAACACCCACGTTGCATCTGCCCTTACTGCAACCATACAGCGGAACATTCGTACATCGTGAAGCGTCACATGTTCCGACACACAGAGTGTGGCTGCAAATGCGACATCTGCGGCAAGATATACAAGGTAATGCGAAACTTCTCGCCAACCGAGTTCCATTCCACTTTTAACTTATTTGAACTGAATTTTCAAGGCTGAACAATCAATGTTGGTGAGCTGCTGCAATAATAGAAAGAATTTTACCTTATGTCATCTAATGGTCAGCTAATGGTCTGGATATTTATTGTTTTTGCATACTTTGGGGAGCAAAACCTGCAACTACCAGAGTTTATTGTAACTCTTGAATTCCTATATGGCCTTTTTGTGCATTTCTAATGTGCAGTTTGACTCCTAAACTGCTCCAAGACTGCTTTAAACATGCCCACTAAGTTTTTATTTCTTGTTCAAAGTCGTTTTAAAACTGTTTCATGCTTTGCAATCATCGTTTTACGAAAGGTTATCGATATCTGTTTTGCTCACTGTTAAAATAAACTATGTTTTGCTTAATCTCAGTCTCTGCCCCAATGTAATGCTGGTGGTTGGGGCCGGACACCAAAGTTTCAGAACTTACCGTTATATTAATCAAAAGTCAGAACTGATTTTTTATACATTTTCATTGAGAAAATGAAATCTGTTTCCTAGTGCCAGACACCATTCATCTCCATGTATCCGCAGGCTTCGTTGGCCGCCATTTTCTCACTTAAAATTTCCGAAGATTCCTAGAACTTTCGAAATTACAGTTAAAACTTTAACAAAGCTGAGAGGAACTGCAAACTACTGGATTAAATAGGAATCTTTACTCAATCGAAAGTGGCATTTTTGGCGGTTACATACCCGCCAAGTCTCCCGTATTCCTGGCTCCTGAATTTTGGCTGTTTCGCATGGTTGTATGGTTGAAAGAAAGATTGCCCAAAAAATGCAAATCCCCCCCCCCTCCCTGCACTTAAACAAAGAGTTTTTGTTGTCTCAACAGACAGCAGCAATGATATTGAGGCTCAGCTGTATCTCGCTAGCATGAGTAGTGCAATGAAAATTCATTGTTATAATTTTTTTTAGAAATATTGGCAATATATGACGGAGGGGTGGGTTGGGGGGGGGGGGGGGTAGTGGGTAGCTGCTTTAGAAAAAAATAGCGTACCTCCCACTCTTCGGCTCTCAAAATCTGGATTTGGTTTCCCAGAACTTGGCAGGTACAGTACTCAGTTCAATAAAACTAGTTTTAATGTAACGACATCCAGAGATCTACTGCAATATACCACACTCTCGCAGTACTCAAGCGCCAAAAATAGGATTTACTCGCATCTGAATTTTTTTTTTGAAGATGACCCGCACCGCTAGTATGTGAAGGAAACCTTAGAACCCTTGAAAAAATGAATTAAGGTTTTACAGTGGAGATGTTAAGGGTTAGTCTCCTCAGGATCGTGTCCCTCGCAAAGAAATGTCGACACAAAACTCTGGACAGCTACCACCATTTATGAGCGACAATGACAACCAGACAACCGGCTTGCCGGCCTTGCTCATAGATGGCGACAACCTTTCCAGCCCTTCCACTCTGGTTTTCACCAGAGTGGAAAGGCTTAATTTCTCTAGGCGTCGTACTAGATGTCGTCCTCGAGGTCGTCCTAGAAGTCGTCCTTGAGGTCTTCCTAGAAGTCGTCCTTGAGGTCGTCCTAAACATTGTCCTTGAGGTTGTCCTAGAAGTCATCCTTGAGGTCGTCTTGGCCGTCGTCCTGGAAGTCCTTGAGGTCGTCCTATAGACGTCGTCCTTGAGGTCGTCCGAGAGGTTGTCCTCGAAGTCATCTTCAAGGTTGTCCTCGAGGTTGTCCTAGACATCGTCCTTAGGCGTCGTTCTTGAGGTCGTCTGACCATAGTACAGCTTTGCTGGTTTTTTTCTCTGACCCCACAAGCCCCTGCAAGGGGCCACATGGAACTCTCATTGAGGTCCACATACTCCACCAGAGATGCAAAACTAGTGTTCGTTTCGACCCAAGCACGAATGATTTCTGCGTTTTCTTCGAGGTTGAACACTTTTTACTTTCTTCGAGGCCTCATTTCATGGCGACGTCGTCTCTTTCCGATGCATCTGGTGTGCACTTGTTGTATTCCGCCTTGCGTCAGTTGTGCACGGACGCTCAAATGTGACGAGACAGGAAAGTGAAGAGTAGAAAGATAGCGCTGGAGGTGCGACGACTGAAAACTTCTCTGCCGTTCTTGTCTTGGTAATGCACATGCTAGCGATGCCTTGCTGTTCCCGCCGCACCGGCAGTGCCCAATGTTAAATCTAACGGAAGGGCAAACTGCTACTGAACACGACTGAACACAACCGCACCAAAACCAAATGACTAGGGAACTTTATCAGTGGCATCTGTCGCGCGCGACACAAATGAAATGCCATGAAATGGCTAGTGCCATCTGGTATACAGTATAGACCACTTACAACGTAACCGCTTATAGTGCAGGACCGGGTATAACACGGCTTTTTTAAACCACCGGTTCTCCTCCCATAGAACTCCATGCAATTACATACCGCTTAAAATGCAGGCGCGCGAAGGGAACTACCTGTTATAGTGCGGTTTTTGGAACAGCGCGCCGACTGACCGGCGCTGCGAGCACGCTTCCCTGTGCGACACTAGATAACGGCGCGAGCCGCAAGCGGCACTCGCGGGGCAAGGAGGTTGCTCGAAGAAGCGGGGAGAAGCGAAGAGAGAGGCTTCAGTCGCCATAGCGACGAAGGGACGCACGCATGTGTCGTTCACGTGCATGCGTCCCTCCGCTGCGTTGGAAACAAACAACCGCAACGGCAGACCAATCGCAGGTCGAGGAGAAGTGTTAGCGCGCGTTGCATGCCGGTCGCGTGCCGGCTGCTTCTATCCGCGAACATGGCGTCGGTCGTGTTCGTCGACGTAGACGGCGTGGTGGAAGCCAATCGTTCTGCGTAAAAGCGCTATCCTTGACTGTGAATTTTCGTTGTGTGTCGCTATGATAACCCAGCACGTACTAGAAGGGAAGATCCACCTACTCGTGCGGCGATGTTCTAACGGCACTCTCAAGACGGCAGAAACGCCCGTGTCGTCGTGTTTGTTTACTTCAACTACAGTGGTGCTTTCTAAGCGTTTGTGTTTTCGAACATCGCCCGGATTTCTTATTTGGAGCATTTCATGCCTGTGGTCAAGTTGAAGGTATTACTGGCGCCTACCGTATAAAGGATAAGAATTTTCACGCGTTTTCATCGCCGGAGAAAAGTAATTAGGGTTAGCAATCCTGAACGCTCGCAACGTCCGTCCGCAACCCGCAACGCCGTTGAAAGGCTGTGCCAGGCAAAAGTCACCCATTTCTTTCAAAATGTGTGACACACTTGAGAGAGAAGTGTACTAGTCTGGTGAAATAAAGACTTTCCTCAAACTAAGCTTTATTTTTCATCTAACAGAAAATAAATTCTTTTACAAAGGTAAGTTGTCTGATGGCATGTATTTTGGCTTGAAAAAGTGATGTTTTGGTTATAGCGCGGTACCGCTTATAGTGCGGATTTTCGCGACTCCCGCGACATACGTTATATGCGGTCTACACTGTAATTGACTAAGGGCCCCGGTACCGAGTTTGTTTCTCCGTGAAAACAAAACTAGGGTCCTGAAAGTAAACATTCGAGAGAAGTCTCTCTGGTTGGGAAGCAACAATAATAATAAATATAAATATATACACCAACCAAATCCTAGTTTAAAGGCGGAACCCTACGTTTCAAGACCTGCTCGGTCTCTTCTTCAGGGGTTGACTGCGGCTATGGCTGTCGAGGAACAGTATTCAGTTTTCTTCTTCTGTGGCGGTGTCTCATTTGCATCGGGGAGGTGGCGAAGTCTGTTCACGTAGACGGTCGGCAGAGTGCCGAGGGATCTATTTATGTTTTCTGGTGTCGTTTAAATATTCCAGGATTCAATGAAAAGTCTATGTCTGGGATTGGTCTCATTGCCAAGGATGCTGGTGTTGGCAAAGTCAGTCATGTGGTCCTTGATGTCGCAGTGCTCAGCTACCGTGTTGCTTTCATGGTCAAACTTGCGAACGTCGTTTTTATGCTGGTGGATTTTCTCTTGAAAGTTCTTTGTTTCACTAATGTATGCGATTGAGCAGTTCGCACAGTGGTTACACAAGCAGCTTCATCTACCGCGTTGCCCGTCATCAAGCCCGACGTCACCAACACCTGCAACCCCAAGCAAGTACACAGCCATCCTACCACATGCATCAACAATCCCTACATAAAAGGTACAAAAGGAAGACTCGTGCTGCGTCCAAAGGATCGCCTGCTTAGGGAGAAAGCACAAGGCGTTATTTATAAAATTCCCTGCGCAAACTGTCCGGTCGCATACATTGGTGAAACAAAGAACTTTCAGGAGAGAATCCGCCAGCATAAGAATGAAGTTTTCAAGTTTGACCATGACAGCAGCACCGTAGCTGAGCACTGCGACGTCAAGGACAACAGGATTGACTTTGCCAACACTAGCATCCTTGCCGTAAGACCAATACCGGACATAGACTTTTAATGAATCCTGGCACATCCAAAAGACACCAGAAAAGATACGTAAATAGATCCCTTGGCACTCTGCCGACCGTCTACGTGAATGGACTTTGCCACCTCATTGATGCAAAACAAGACACCGCCGTAGAAGAAAACTGAATACTGCTTTTCGACGGCCATAGTTGCAGTTAACCCCTGAAGAAGAGACCGAGCAGGTCTTGAAACGTAGGGTTCCACCTTTAAACAAGGATTTGGTTGGTGTATATAATTTTATTTATTATTCAGACTAAAATCGCGCTATCTTTATGCTGGCATGCTAGCAACACACTTGGAGGCGTTTTAAACAGAAACATACGAAATTGCCCCTTATTGTATTCATTTCTTTTCTGGAAACTTGTCTTTAGATTGGGTCGATGTTCAAATTTACTGTATTTCATTTTTTTCAAGTTTTGAGGTTTGTGGGAATCTTTGGGGAAATTAAAATTTGTTTATGTAATCAGGAATTCCACAAAATCAAGTTTCGCAAATTTAAGTTTCAACTGTAGATAATGCTAAGTTCTGAAACTTTGGCATCTCGTCCTAACTGCTAGATTTTTATTTTGGGTAGAGATTTGGTGACGCATATTTCATTTCTGTGGTGGGGAAAACAAATATGCAGCTTCTTGCCACTATGTGCAAAGAAGTGACAGTGATAGCTAATATTGCACTTAGTAACACCCACTTTTATGCGTATTCACTCCTTATTTACTCAATCACACGCAACACTGCTTCGCATTCACTGAAGTACTTTGGAAAGGAAACAATCCGCGTACATAAGTCATCATCCTCGCCTAAGACTAAACGACACAGATGCTGTTACGTGGTCTGCTTTACATCTGATTGTACACGCAAATTGAGTTTAACGGTGAGGAATGTATCGCAAACTATAGAAGAAGTAGAAGACACTGCCGCAGGGCAAGAGTGAAGTGTGCATGCTTTGCCCACGATGCAAGAAACATGTTTTGGCGATGCTACTCACAGACGGAGCGTCCAGATTACGTTTGGCGTGCCTGACGCTTCTCTTGAATGTGGATAGATGACGACCGAATCAGGATGCCCATCCATCTGCTTCTTGCCTATTATATCAGTACTTCTTTATTATATCGACATGAAGAGGTTCTTCCTCAGAGTTCTGCTCACCTTCGCGGCATCACCGCGTCTTTGGCCGTTCGCAAACATGGGCCTCTTCCGCCTCTTCTTCGATATCACTGTGAGCCTCTTGGTCTAAGCACCGTCTACGTCAGCGCGAAACAAACCAGTCCTGGTTCGAGGCTAGCTCCAAACACAATCTGTCCGCACCTCCTCCCCGGAGAGGGTGGTGAGTGGCATCACCTAAATGTGTTGCTTGCATCGTGGCTTTGCCTAATGTGACTAGGCGGTACATGCGCAGGCGCGCGTAAACAAAGCTTTTTGTTTTGGGCACAATGCCGATGCTGCGAATGCAGCTGGGATGTCCCTACAACAGCTATCGCCGTAAAATATGGTTCCCCTTTCTTCCAAACTCCCGGAATATCGGACTGTAAATAAGATTTACTTCTTCCTTGCATTGCACGTCCTTCTGTACTTCCAGGACCAGTACATCCTCAAAATGCACGTCAAGATGGTGCACATGCCAGTGGAGGTGCTCTTTGAGTGCAGCGTCTGCCTCAAGAAATTCAACCGCAAGGCCCACCTCAAGCGGCACGTGCGCACCCACAACCCCACCAAGCCTTTCAAGTGCCAGCTCTGCGACTACAGGTTGGTCTGCACCCTGCCGACTGTTTGGAGAACACTCACTGCAGGATTTTACTCCAACGGAACTGCTAACTCGGATTTCGTGTTTGTGCACGGCACGTCAGGTTATGTGACATTGGGTCACGGTGCAAAGTCATGGTGTTGCGTGGCTTCGAGGTGTCAAGCCGTGGTATAACGCAACATTGAGACACGTGACCATATTGTGTGATGTCAGGTCACATGAGGTCAGTGTTGTGCAACACTGCCACATGATATGACGCGACAGCTTCACGGGACACTGCACTATTCGACGTGACATCGCTTGAAGACCCACCACTGTTCATACGTTGCAATTCTGCATATGGCGGTTCGATTGATATAGATTGAGATACAGCTGCCACATTTTATTTGTTTTCAACATGGAGGCTGCTCTTTAGTATCCACTGCTATCCCCTATCCACACAATGCGATGTAGAGCGTGTGCAAACGCGACCTTCAGCACTTTTTTGCAGTTTGCTCAGTCTTGAGTGACACCCACTTTTACCATTTAAGGTGCCTTAGGTTGGCAGATTCTACCACTCCGGTGTTTTGGATGTATTTTAGCCGTAAAAGAAAACAAGCATATTGTCTTGTACTGTGTCAGACTCCTTATTTTATGACCACCAAGAAACTTGCACCACTTGAAGCCTTTCGTTCAAGTAGGCGCCCTAAAGTTTTCTTTTAATTCAAAAAACGTCATTCTAGCTTTATTTTTCTTCTTTGGCACTCGTTTATCATTAGCTTGCCACAAGTAGTTTCTTGCCACACCTGACTTCAAATCTATCTAACACATTGTGGTCATCTTTGAAACAATTTAGTTTACGTAGCGAACAATGACACCTTTCAAAACAGCTTGACCTCTCTTATAATTCAATGACGGCAACAGAGTTAAAAAAACTTTGCCCCCGCTTTCAGAGGCTGCGAGCGATCTGACATCACCAAGCACATGCTCATCCACGAGGAGCCCAAGCACACGTGCGACATTTGCGGACGTTGCTTCCGCCACATCAAGAACAAGGAACTCCACCTCAAGCGGTGAGCGGCTGAGCCTTGGCCTAGCTTCGCGCAGGCATTGTGCCAACTTCGCGTGCTCTTAACACGGCAGAGTCACGAAGTGGTGTAGACCAACTGTTTGTTTACTAACAGCCACACGTTTGCCTACAGCACGGCATATCTGAGGTGCACGCTTGTCTATAAGTTGAATCATATCGTCTCTCCTAGTTTGTTTAGTACCATGGATGCACATCATTACAGTTGTATGACTGTTTTTGTCAGTATAAACTGCCAGAGACTGCCTTTATGAAGTAAGGTAATAATAAAACAGTGTATTGTTTACTCGAACATAGGTTGATCTCTATGCACGTTTGCAGGTATGTCCTCAGGGCGCCGCCGTCTTGCTCAGTTGGGGTTTACTTCGGCGCGTCGTAATCGGACTATGACGCGCGTCCAAGTGCATCCCAACTGAGCAAGACGGCGGCGCCCTGTGGCCATACTTGCAAATGTGTATACTCTCCAGAAATAACGAAAATAAAAAAAAAAGAACTTTTACAGGCTTGATCGTGCTGACAAAAACGAGGGAGCACAGAATTCCACAAACCACACTCCGTGTGTCGCTTGTGGAAGATTTTTCAATCTTTAATTATCTATTTTTATTTTCAATTATTTTTATTTTATTATTTTATTTTTATTGATTTATTTTTGTGACTCGTTTTATTTTATTTTAGTTATTATTTCTACACAAAAGCTGCCGCCCTCACCGGCGCATTTGCATTCAAATAAAAATCATTTATCTCTCCAGACCTGCTGTGGCTAGGATATCCGACTGCCACCCTGGTTCGAACCCTCTTAGGGCTTGAACTTTGTATATTATCTTTATGTAAAATATGAATGCATGTAACGCTCCCAGCGTGTCGCTTGTTCATAATATTTGCTACGATGGTCATTGCTACGCTTATTCATGACGATTTTCTCATAGGAAACGCCTTATAAAACACAATCTGCTTTAAAAAGTTGCTGCTAACATTCATTTTATGGCATTTTGAATCACCCTGCCTAGAACTTGTTTGTTGACCGCGCTAGCCATGTTGTCGATTGAACTTCTAGGTAATGAATTTTGGCATGTCACAACGAGTCGCTTCGCAAAATGGGAGGATGACGGCTATGTGATAAGACGGAGTCAGGGTCTTCCACTCCTGATAAGATCGCTCAATCGTATCAACATCGCAGCTCCGTGCCACGCCAATCATACCAGCCATTTGCGTCGAGCCTCGTCGCATCACAGCGACCGGCGCACATTAGCCTTCAGTACTTCGCACTGGCATGCTAGGAGCAGTGGCTGATGTGGAGGAGCTTTCAGTAAGCTTAGTGGGCTTGGAATGTTTGCTCACTCAACCCCTGATGTTAAAGGTCTTAAGGACGAAAAGTCTTTACCGTCGTCCTAGAGGATTACGCTAAATTTAGCGAGGAGTTTCCCCTCTATATTTAGCCTACAAATTGAAGTCGCAACCTATCCACCCAATTCAATTTTCTTGCTGAACTTGGCGGTGAGAAACGATAAACGCTGTCGCATTCATAGATTATCATCACTGTGGTTTCTACAAAATTGCCCTGACCATCAGTTTCAGTATTAATATTTAAAACTTTGAGGGGGGAGAGCGGGGCGCATTTTACTGATAGAGATACTTCAGCTGAAATGCTGGTTTTTGCAGTCATTTTATAGAAATTATATTTACCAGTTAAATAAACTACCAGGTCTAAAAATGGCAGGGGAGACAGGCTTTATCACAACTGAAGTATTGCGTTACGATTCGTTTTTCAACAATTTTTTGGGTACAAATTTAAAACTTTTATAATACAGACTACGTAGTCTGTGCATTTTATAGGCCTCCAGATGCTCCTAATTCAGTCTTGGAAGCACTACACGATTACCTTAGTACTAACATTAGACTCGGAACCAGACTAATTATTGCTGGGGATTTTAACTTGCCTGGAATTAATTGGGATGAGCTTGATGCAGGACATATGGATGTAATTGATAGCAATCTTCTTCTCAATATTGCGTTTGACAATTTTCTTACGCAAGTTGTAACGGTTTTCACTCGTGAAGTTGGAAACAGCTGCTCGTTGTTAGATTTAATATTTGTAAGTAGTCATTTACTCGAGTATGAAGTGTCTGTTTAGAAGGGTATCTCTGATCATAAATTGGTATTTTCATGTTTCAAAACTGCTAATATCTGCAATCAAACGAAGTGTTCCATCCAAGTACCTAATTTTTCTAAAGCGAACGACGAAAGTGTGCTAGATTACCTTGATTTGTCATTTTCTCGGTTTTCAACTTTCGATCGTACGGGTGACGTGGATTTTTTATGGGCTAAATTTAAACGAATTGTTACCTATTGCTTAGAACATTTTATACCCAAACGGAAGAAATCTATAAAAAAATTGAATCCTTGGGTAACCCGAGATATCGTACAACTCAAGCGTAAAATAAAACGCAAACGTCGTAAAAGAAAGGGAAACGAAGAAGAGTTCCTAGAGGTTTCATGTTTTTTAAAGCAAAAGTTGAGTTCAGCGAAGGGACGTTATTTTTCTGAAGCCCTACCAAATTTTATGAGAAATGCACCCGACAGATTCTGGCATCACTTAAAACCTCGGAAAGAATGATTAGAATATATCATTGAAAACAATGAAGTTGTGACCGATTCAAAAGATATCGCCGATAGGTTTAATAACTTTTTCCATAGTGTGTTTGTTAATACAGATGGTGCTACAAGGGACTTGAGCTTAAATGCAACAAGTAGTACTATGGGGGATATAATAATCACTGAAGAGGGAGTCTTTTCATTACTATTAAACTTAGACGTAAAGAAGTCAACCGGGCCAGACGAAATACCCAACGAGTTTTTAAAAAGATATGCAGAATGGGTTTCAAAATACCTTACCATTATTTTTCAAACATCACTAAAACAACACCAAGTACCCCCCGATTGGCGCAGTGCGAGGGTCGTACCAATCCTTAAAAAAGGAAGTAAGCATAATATTGAAAACTACCGCCCCGTATCTTTAACGTGCATAGTATGCAAATTATTTGAGCACATTATTTCTAAAGCATTATACAAGTATTTTGAATCCTCCAACATTTTTCATTCTAACCAACATGGGTTTCGCCAGAAACTATCGACGGTCACGCAACTCATAGAAACATTTGACGATTTTTCAGCTTCTTCTAATGAGAGAGGAAAGATTGATGCGATATGCCTTGACCTTTCTAAGGCGTTTGATAGAGTACCACACACTGAACTACTTCATAAACTTTCTTTGCATGGTGTAAATCAGAACGTGATATTCTGGATCAGGGCGTATTTATTTAATCGGGTGCAGTATGTAGAGGTTTACGGTGACCGTTCAATTGTATCTGAAGTGCCCTCGTGCGTCCCCCAGGGGTCAGTACTCGGGCCAGTATTATTTTTAATTTACATTAATGGTATCGCGGCGGAGATAAATCAAGGGGTTACCGTGCGTCTATTTGCGGATGATTGTCTGGTATATTCAAAAATCGAGGAGGAAGATGACCAGCGCAGATTAAGTGCATCTGTTGGGTCTATTCAGGACTGGTGCTCGAAATGGAAGATGAAAATTAATACACAAAAAACTGTTTTTGCACGAATAACTAACAAAACTAAGAATGTCCTTTTTTATACTTACGAGCTTGATGGGAGTCCTTTGGTTGAAGTTGATAGTTTTAAATACTTGTGTGTGACACTTTCTAAAGACTTAAGTTGGAGTAAACACATAAATGAAATATGTCACAAATCAATGAAAGAGCTTTGGTTTTTAAAGGGGCGGTGCAACGATCTTCGGACTTCGGTCAAAGATTTCTGGAAGTTGCCCCCTGACACTTCTGAAGTAAAGAACAGAAAACCGATTTCGCCTGCGTGTTCTAGTTTTTGCGTAAAAAAAAGATAAAGATTGGTATTTCGGGCACCCCTCAACTCACTCCCAGTCTTCAGGGTCACACCTGGTCGCACTCCCAGTGACGTCATTCGGAGTGCCGTGTAGCTTCCCGTGTGCTATCTCGGAGGACGCTCCCCCTCCCTCTCTCTGCGTACATTAGCGGGCGCTATGCTGCGGTTTAGAGCCGAGCGAGGTCACGTAATCTTCTAGCCGTAGTTCCTTCGGCTGCCACTTGGGGCTGCAGGTGGGGGAAAAAGCTCGACTTTTGCTTTGCGATTGTGCAGCGGAATCGCGACATTTTTAATGAAGGAAATGTTTTCTCTATCCTCTGGAACACGATAAACAACGTAAAAGTGACGAGATGCAAATTCTTTTAATCATAAAATCGTTGCACCGCCCCTTTAAGACGGAATCTGGCCAGTGCTCCGCCTAAAGTGAAGTTAATGGCCTACACAACGTATATTAGGCCTACCTTGGAGTCCGCTGCATCGGTATGGGACTTCTATAGAAAAAATCAAATTGGTGAACTCGAAAAAGTTCAGAGAAAGGCGGCGCTATTTATTCTATCCAAATACAAGCGACTTGATTCTGTCACAGATATGCTGAACAGCCTCAATCTCCCCTTACTTTCTGTCCGTCGAAAAATTGCTCGACTAAAGTTTTTCTTTATGTTTTCTCATCACCTGTATAACATTAACCCGGATTCTAGATTAACACATCGCGCATCGAGAGAACTCAGATACGTTAGCACTAATCAGTTTGAAGTGCCCAAATGTAATATTGACGCTTATAGGTTTTCTTTTTTCCCTAGAACTGTAAAAACCTGGAATGATCTCCCACAAAATATATTGTCATTGGACCGTTTAGATGATTTTGAGAGTGCCCTTTTGAATATGACTGGTTTGGAATGATAAATAGTAGTTAAATATTTTTTAGAAATTTCGTTAAAGATTTCGAGTGCTGAGAATTCATTTTGTTGAGTGCTATGTAATATATTGAATGTTTGTGCTACTTCAGCCCCTTTATTTTAAGTGAATGTCGCTGAATGTGTACTGTATTGTAGTCCTGATGTTGTATGTTTCAGTGCTCTTTTATACCCCACACCTGTTAAAGCCCCATACTTGGGGTGAACAGTATTCATAAATAAATAAATAAATAAATAAAAACGCAACCTAGTACTCTGACCAGAAGCTCATTTGTAAAGATAAGGTTCTGTGTTCATTTTGCACTCTATCTATTTTTATTATAAAAGGTAATAAGTAACATGGCCCAGTATCAAAGAGAAACCCTTAGTCATTATCATAGATGGACTAATTTAGCGATGCAACCACTTTTTCATTTTCGAGCTCCAAAAGTTGTCGGCAGCCGCTCCAAACCACTATTTTGCCTGCTACAGAACCTGCTACTGTAGGTCAAATACTGCTTCCATTACTGAAGATTGATTACCTCGTAATTATCGCCGACACCAGAGGGTGCCATGGAATGAGGAGAGGTGCTTCTCCTTGTCCAACGGCACCATCTGGTGTGAGCGATAGTTTCGAAGTAATCAATCTTTGATATTGATTTTAATAGGGAAGTCAGCCACGCATGAATGAACTGTTTGGTTTTCAGGATGTTTACCACAGAATACTGTTGAAGCGCCCATTTCGTTCAAGCACCCTCTATTAGCATTTTCCAAACTTGGGAATTCTACAAATCATACATTAAGCGCCCGATTTGACCGGACAAGCACTCATGTTTAGAGTAACCCTGTTTTCAGTAAAAGTGGGGTGGGCACTCCTCCAATATTTTATGGTAGAGCGCACTGATCTCTATGACATTTGTTGGATCACACTCGCCCGCTCCGCGGATGCGGCCAGTGGCGGCCATCCTTTTGGTAGAGTTATGTTAGCTCTAGCCAATGTACAGCTGGTGCAGCCACTATCATCCACCCATGGCAGACAGCGTTGTAGCAGTTGTGGTGGCAGGCTGCCATCAAAATAGTGTGGGTTATATTTCGTGCTTGATTGAAATTGTTTGACAAAACATATTCTCGAAACCTGGCGTGAACGGTAGCCCGATCTCCGGAGACCCGGTGAAAGTTTCACGAAATCGCAGCACCCGGGAAAAGCAGCACAGCACGCATCGAAAGAAGCATCGAAGGGAGACGTCGGTATGGCGTCTGCTTTCGATGCGAGCTGCGCTGCTTTCCGTTGGTGCTGCGCTTTCCTAGAGCTCTATCCGGGTCCTCAAAGACGGGGCTACCGTTCACGCCGGGTTTCAAGAATCTGCTTCGTCGAACAACTTCAATCAAGCACGAAATATCACCCACGGTACAGTGTACTAGACCCACGGCTATTTTAATGACAGCCTGCCGCCATTGCGCTGTCCGCCATATTACTATGATGGCTAGAGATAATATAACTCTACCAAAAAGATGGCCGACCGTGGCCGCATTCCCGTCCATAGGCGGAGCTGGTCAAACACGATCCAGCAAATAGACATAGAGATCAGTGGTAGAGCCCATACATTGTGTTGGGATCGTAAATGGGTTATTGCAGAAAGTGGTCCAACGGCCCTTTAAATGTGGAAAGGAACAAGACGGGGCAGGACGCTTACGGCATGCCACCCTCTGGTCGCCTTGCAGGCACAAGGGCCAGAAGGACTACAAGTGCGGGGTGTGCGAGTTCTACGGCTACACCTTCACGGACATCCGCAAGCACATTGAGCGCAAGCACTCGGATCCAAGGACCATCTTGTGCGACCGCTGCGGGCAGGCCTTCAAGACGCAGGCGTTCTTGAAGGTGATCACGATGATGGTGTTATCTTCTGTCGGGAATGTGCCGTCTGTGGGGGTCTGCTCGAGTTTCGTCGAGTCTTCTTTGTCGTTTTTTTCTGCCGAGATAGAACACGTACGTCACAAAATAAACTTCGTTCGTAAAAGTAATGCCGTAACATTTTGAGAGATGGTCCACCTAAAATCGAAAGCAAATCGGGTGAAAATAAAAAGTGGGCTAACATTCGGTGTGCGATGAGAAAAAGTTCAAAAGATGCTAGTTTTAGATTCTGTGACCTGTGAAACTTGGAATCACGGGGAGGGTCATTGAACCAAATTCGACCGTCATTCCCAGTCGGCAATGTTCGCTTGTCTCCCTCCGTGGTTAAGTAACACCATTTCTGCCGAGGTCACCATTGGCCAGGGCTTTGCAGTTACTAAAAGTGGGCTATCGTTAGGTGTTTTTTTTAAAACAATGGGAAAGCATGCCAAGAATAGGGGGTCGGTTATCTCTCGGGGTTGGGGGCATCTCTTGGGATACAACGTAATAATAATTGCGCTGCATGCATGTTTTTACAGCGGAAGGTTTGTCGGTATTAATGGGCACCTGCTGTTTCAGCTGTAGACTAGAAATTTAGCCAGTGCGGTACAATCGCTAGCCTGGCTTCTTTAACGTTTAACGTTGCACCATCCATACAGTAGCACCATACGCCGGAACGATGCTCATCCAAATCAGAACGGACAGGGGTAGGGATTGGATCCGGGATCCCCGAGTTCTGCATTGCGAGCTTTTGCGTCACGTGGTCCGAGCTAAGGTGCGCTATTCGACTCTGCCACCAATCCCCCTACAAAAGTAATCTATTTGGCACCATCTCAACATTGAGAGATCAATTTCAGCGATCCCGAAACATGGTTTTGTCGTTTGAATGATGCAGTTGCCCTTTTTTGAGTTGAAAAAGACGTGAGCGAGTTTGAATAATTTTGTACAAATGCCTACGTTGCCCCGATCTCGTGTCATCTATTCATGTTCACATTCCCAGGCAAGTTATGAGATTTTTTCATACTTTCTTCGTTAATCGAGTTATCTCAATTAGACCCATGACCCGCATACAACATTTTTATAACAACCTCGGTGCAGCTGATATCAACGTTTTCTTAACTCAAATATTTTAGCATTTTAAGTTCTTTCTTATTAATTTGTGATCTGTGTTTCTGCATCATTACCAAGGCATCAGCTGTACAGAAGTCCAGAAAATAACCGAATGAATAAATGCTTCTATTTTGGGGTCAATATGTCGAAATATAAAAAGGCTCTGGAACCGCTCCTAGCTTGAAATGAGTGTCGTGGCTTTAATATAGTGCTAAAAAATGCTTTTCTTCTTGGTGGTGGTGTGGGAGGGGGGAAGGGGAAGAAGGGAAGGGAAGGGAGGGAGGCGATTTTGTTTAGTGATATAATATGTCCTATCCCAACACTTAAAAAAAAAAAAGTTTGGTGAGTTTGGAGTTTGGAAATGTGGCTCGACGTTGTGCAGATACTGTATAAACTTTAAAGTGCATGTGAAATCATCTGAAGATCACGAGTATTTCTAGACAGAAAACAATGTGCCCTGTGGTGTATACGCCCGACCTACTCCAGAAAAAATAGCACTTTCTTTTACGAAGACCGAAACGTCGTTCGGCCCACAGCAATGAGACGAGTAAACCACACAAAGGATTTTTTCTTTCGCTCGCCGACATTTGCGGTGAATTTGTCTTCCGTAAACGAGCTGGGTTATTTGTGCATAAGGGGGCATTCTGCTTGTCTCTGGGTGCAGGAGCACAAGATGAGCGTCCAGTGCGAGGTGTACATGATCGAGCAAGAGCTCACGGAGTACGACCCGGCTGTGACGCAAATGACCGACTCGGCTGAGGACTGCACTGGCGAAGCGCAGGAGGACATGGTCACCGAAGAGCACCAGCAGTTGCAAGCCAATCACACAGGTGAAGACGCCGCAGAAAACTGTTTCCCCGCGAGAAAAACAAATTTAAATGTATCCAGTTAGCCCTTGGAGTGCCGCATCCTCAGACTTGTTCCCGGGTGGTTTCAGGTCGAAACCGTAACTTCCTCGTTTTCACTGTCGTCGAACACAGAGTTCATTGGTAAATTTTAGATCTCAACGTTCGCCATAAAGTGCGAGATAAAATGACCTAGATTCGCAGTTCTGTAGCAACGAAGGGGCGTACCAAAACAGAAGTCGCCTACACAGAACAAAAAGAAAATAAATGCCATCAAAAAGTGACAGCACAACGTATAACATGGTTTTTTTTGCTTGCTCATACATACCGCTATACACACAAAAACAAAAAAAAAATATATACAAGCGTGATTATGCTGACAGACTCGTAAGCCCAAAGACTGCAATGTGCTTTTCAGAGATAAAGAAAAGGGCATTGTCTGACTGCTCCGATTCCCGATAGCTTCTCGGTGTCGTCACAGCCGGCCGCTACAGCCAGCCGTAACAGCAAACGTTGCAGAACTCCTTGGAAATTGACTGATAAAACAGATTATGTGTGGAAAAATAATTACAGCCCAGTTGGGAGGGGCAGGGAGCAGACAGAACCTGAAAACACACGGGATTGCGTCCGAGTATGCTCAGGCATGGGACTCAAAGGGTTGACCGTTTGCCTTCCAGAGGAGCTGGCAACTCTGGAGCTGACAGATGAATCTCTGGCGACGCTGAGCAGCCTTGCCAACGGGCAGCAGATCTTTGTGCGCAAGGTGGACGGGGCGGACGGACAGTATGCCATCCTCACGACGGCAGATGGCGAGGGACAGGAGGTAATCAACTCCCAAGTGGTGCGATGTTGGCGCTTTTTATGCATAGGTTAGTGTTGAAGGTAGTCTTATCAGCTAGGTAAGTGCCTTGCACCAGCCTATTCCACCACACTGTGCTTGTTTTCACCAGGGGTTTGGAGATAATTTCTAAACGTTCCAAGTAACATTATTTGACCGTAAAATGCCGGGCAAGCGCCCACTCAAAATTAAGAGATAATTGTGGAAAAATCGGGATTGGGTGCTTGCTGGGTCATCAATTTTACATAGCTATGTACTGTGCATATTTTCTCAGATCTTGCACATTTCAGAATGGGCACTTAGTGTGGAATGTTCAGATGCACGGTATTCTACGGTAATTTTTAAAATGAGTAGTGTGGACACAGAGTGACAAATTGATACAGCCAATTCGGTGCTCTTTTGAGACAGGTTGACATCCTCGCTTTTGAAATGGTTGACATCCTTTGACAATAAGAACAAGAAAAATTTTTCAAACATTGGCAGGCTCTATTGCCTAAGAAAAAACTTGAATGTGCAAAATCTGTATTATGGATTAGCCATGATGTGATGCTTAAGTGAAATTGCACAGTCTGGCAAAGCTTTCACGAAAAAGAAAAGTAGGAACGGAAACTAACATAACAGTAGGAACGATTTATTGACCTACACTTGCTGCTACGTTTGTGGCAAGTATTGTTGAGATCCGCTCATTGGGGTGGTGTCCTTGGTCTTGAGCCATCTGTAAGTTATAACAGACACATTTTACTTAGCGGTAAGTTGGAGCACGCATATTATGCATACAATCGAGGGCAAGACTGATGACTATGTTGCCATTACACTGACATGCGACCAATGGAGATGCTATAACTTTTATGCAGAGTTTCACATTGCACCACCTATTTCATTGGTGCAACAACGAACATGTTTTGTCCCTTGTTTTGACAAAACGCGCAATTGTTGAGATAATTGTTGACTACCATTCATGGTGTGTCATCTCTTGACAAAGCACACGGTAACCGTTGACCACCACTCGCGTGTTTGTCATCCCTCTCGACACAACGTGCGGTAATTGTCAACTGCCGCTCACTATGGTTGAATGTCACGTCGCACGCAGATTACGTACATCAGCGAAGGTGGACTGGCGGTCGAGCTGGGACAAGCGGCCGTCGGAAACAGCGAAGTGGGCGAGGAAGAAAGTCCGGCTGCCGTCGAAGAATCTCGGCAGGCGGCAGACAACGCCGGGGACCAAGTTTCGGCGCCTGTCAAAACCGAAAGTGCCGAGATCCTGGATGTGTGAACATTACGGGACACCGCGTGTGCCTCCTCAAGTTTATGCGGTCCTTTGGAAGAAATGTGAACATAGCCGTATTTTCAAGGAACCACCGTTTGACTGGGCGGCAGCGAAAAGTCCTGGAGCAAGGACAGCAAAAGGGCAGCAAATTGGTTGTTCCTTTGTTGCCCTTAAAGCGTTATTTATTGTTAAAAACTTAATTTTTTGTTGCATCCCGCGAGGCTACGGAATGAAACGGGCAGTTGGAATTTTTCTCTGCAATGTTCTCCCCGAATTAGCGATACACCTTGTACATCAAGAAACAAGTATTTCTTTGTATTACGAATGGTAGTCACTAACCTCGCTATGTTGTCGGCTTATTTACATGTCCCATGCTTTTTCTGGCATCATGCAGCAGACGGGAGAAGTGGTAAAGTTGGGACGGTGCCCCCTCTAAATCGAATTAGGGGAGGACTAGATGTGCAGTGGATTACTGTGAAACATTTCGTGCCGTTTACTCGCGACTTGGGGGGCATTGTGTGGCTTGCCTCTTTGTGAGTGGGGCATGAAAGATGTAGTTTCTACGTCATTACGTCTTGCTTGTTGGACCTTGGGGGCGCTCGGTAATTTATTTCGATCAACTGCTGTACAGAATCATGAAGTGGAGCCCGTGCTGAAACAATGCACATTCACATCTCGTCTGTTTGCCACTACTATACTGGAAGGTGAAGTTAGCAAAATGGCCAAGCTTTGCCAGCATTGTCCACTGAAACCTGTACATACTGTACATACGGAAGATTGGTGCTTATTTTTCCATGTGTTAAAGTGTTAATTTGTGTCATAATTCCTCGTATGTTATTCTCGGGCACTGGAAAGCAGCCAGGAAATCTCCGAGTGCAAACTGCCAAAGGCTTCAATACAATATTTTGTTAAAAAAACATGCCTCTTGGAGCATCAATTCACAAACGCGTTTAAAGTTTTGGTGTTACAATTTGGAGGATGGCTTTCTGTTCGGCAAAGCAAGATAAAATTACAAGATGTGTCAGGCCAATAGGGCAACAATGGGACTTGTCAAAAATGTAACAAGTAAATGAAAAAAAAAAGTTTTTTTCTTGCAGGGTATTACAACCCATGCAGAAGGTGCTTGGTGGTACATTAGAACACTACCCACAGTGGCTATTGTGAAGCATTTAGGCATTGTATTTAAATTAGGCTAGGCTATGAGCAACCATTGAGCAATACCTCGTCCCTTTTCAACTTTATTTTTCTTTACAAACACTCATGCATTTAGACCACAACTTTTTTTGAAAGATTGCAATTGAACCTATTGCTTGTTCATGCAAACTGTCACAGTCTTTACCTGTTTCTTTTTCAAACTGCTTTTCACTTCACACTTATTTTCTTGGAGGGGGGCAAAGCAACCTCTAAAATATTTCGGAACAGCGCTCCAGCATGATAGTGGGCCACCCGAATTTGAGGTTTCTCTTATGTATAGTCAAAGGTTGCACAAAAATGGTGGAGCACCAACAGCAAACTGCCAGAAACATCCTACCTGTGACGTCATGACCTAGAGATCACCAGTTGAGAACCGTAAGTTAGATATCCATGCAAAGAACGGCAAAAGGTTGGAGGGGTCCCTTTTGTTTTGTCAAAACACGTTTCGTGGACACTCGCTAATAGCCTCATCCCACTAGAGTGGCAAACGCAGATTTTTGTCCAGCAACACCATAAAGTACCGTGTCAATGATGCTGTCCCACTGTAACGACTAACACCACCGACAAATGATCGACGACGGAAGAGTTCTTGTCAGTCGTTAAACGTGAAGCAAGCAAGCATCCCACCGAAGAACATCTCTCGGAGACAACTTATTCTCCTTGCCCGCTTGCACCTTCTGTTGCCTCTCTTACCGCCCTTTTACCCTTCCTCCCGTGGCTCGCTCTGCCGCTCGACCTTCATAGCTGCGTCCTACTAATGACAAAGAGCAACAAACGACAGCGACACACAATGAGCAACAGACGACACTGACCGACAGCCTGTTTGTCGAAGTCCGCCGTCCCACCTGGCGGACACGACGCAGAACACGCCGACAAGGAAACTTGATTCCCAGTGGGACTGAAGTTTAAGGGGTGTCTAAACAGGATATTCCGGAAATCGTGAAGCGACACTTCTCCGCCATGTAAAGTGATCGATCTGCTTCCATCCATCTTTTTTGCTGGGGGGAATGCTTCCCTCCGCCATGTTTACTTGTGTCCTTCACAGAGGCCTAGAGCATGCTCATCACGTGGGTGTGGACAGCCACCCGCATGCTCTGCTAGCTGTCAGTTGCTCAAGGCCTCCGCTGCTGTTAAAGTCCCGAAAAGGGGAGGATACACGGGAGTGGCAGAACGGATGGACAGGCAACAGATACACCATTGGCAGGGGGGGGCGTGTGACGCCATGTCCGACGAGTACGAGGTCGCCGAAAAGCGGAGGAGGCGAGGAGGGAAGCCGGAACGTTTGCGTGGTGGTGTTCAGAAAGAAAACGGACTGCCGGACTTCAACTTCCTTTTCATATGGCAGAGAAGTGTCGCCTCACGATTTCTCTAGTATCCTGTTTGGGCACCCCTCTGCGTAAATTGCAGGCTGTACAGTCGGGAGCAAAAGTTTGCGGGGCACGGGAGCGCGTGCCGAAATGCATCGTCGCGCCGCTGCATTAAGGAGACACGGTTTGCGCATGCGCGACCTTCGTGCTCGCAATCATGTCTCTCTCGCTCGTTTCTTTTCGACGCGCTCCTGATAACAGGAGTCAGCGCCAGTGCGTGCGTGCGTGCGTGCGTGCGTGCGTGTGCGTGTGTGTGTGTGTGTGTGTGTGTGTGTGTTGGGGGGGGGGGGGGGGGTGTAGCCAGGCGCCTTGTCACCCAGCGCGGCTGCTGAGGCAGCTGAAGAGGACGCGGGGCATGACAGCCAGCGATACGGCAACTTGCGCCCCTGGCGCCGACTCCGGTTATCAGGAGTGAGTCGGACAGAAACGAGCGAAAGACACATGAATGCCAGCACGAAGGGCGCGCATGCGCAAAGCGCGGCTTTTTAATGCGGTGGCGCGCCGTTGCACGGCGCGGCGATGCATTTCGGCACGCGCTCCCGTGCCCCGCAAACTTTTGCTCCCGACTGTACATTTCCCTACAGCGTGCACGCCGCTTTGCAGCGACAGTTTGAGGCAGCTTATTACAGAAGAGAGGTAGCCCGAGCTGTCAATGAAACGTCATAAAGTCAAAGTTCATTTTGTATCGTATAAAATCGGAGACACTTACCTCAAAACCACTACCAAAGCGACGCCGAGTCCAGTCGAGACTGTTCAGTTGTTCAGCACAGCTTGGAAGCCCATCCAACCCCAGAAAATGAAAAACAACGCAATCGGGACGGTGAGAGGTACGAGTAACATGTAATATAGTAATCCTTCCTCCATTCCTAGCTTTTGCTGACAGTAGGTTTTTTTAGATGCACGTCGGCGAAGGTGAAACGGTAAAACTTCGCACCGCAAACCGAAAAAGCAACAATTTCTGCGTAACAGACGCCATGTTTAGATGTCTCCTCGTTACGTGCGTTGCGTGTTGTAGTCATTTGCCAACTTTTGATTTAGTTTGTCGCCATACAAAACAATATTTTAAAACTGTTTTTTTACGTGTTTTAGGTATTTAAACAAATTAACATAGTCTTTACTCGTTTATCGCTTGACTTTGGTAGTTTTTAGCTTGGTTCAACTTCTCGTCATCCTCGTCTGGAAACAATAATGGCTGCGTCCAGCAGCATGGAGAGTACGGTACGTTTACAGAGTTCCCCACGTGAAATAAGTTCAAAAGGGACGATTTCGAATCGAAAAATTTCTAAGAAATCGGAAGATGGTCACGTAAAAAAGAGCCGGACCAACGACAATATGGATGGGCCAATCAAGTTTAGTCAAATGCTGGTGAAGCCGGGCAAAAAGTGGCATGAACAGGCAAGTGTGTCTTGGCTTTTGAGTTTTGAAATGCAGTCTTTAGAGTCGGTGCAGATACATTATTCCGAGTGAATTTGTGATTACAGCTGCCGGATGACGACATATCCCAAACTTTCAAGAATGATCCGGAGCTTGTCGCCTCTAAACAGCAGCTTGCAGAGCGTCTGCTGGAGCATGACAGATCGCTGTTCAAAAAGAGTAAGTCTGTCAGGTGTTATGTCTTCCAGCCTTCCATTTCTGGCCAATGTTTTCACGACCTCATCAGTTTTAGAATTTGCGAGCTCGTTTTAGGTTACGCGAATTCAGTTTATAGTTCCTCGTCGAACGTTATACAAGGTGTACCAACTGAGAGCTTGACAGACATGTGGCTGTGACTAAGCCGACCAACGCTCTCACTCAGCGGTATGCAAACTTTAACCTCAGTATTTATTTTCCCCAAGGACACTGACTAACATAAAAGCGTTACATGAGGCTGAGTCCGAAACAAAATCGCCTGAAAGGGATAATGGGTATCTATAAAGAACAAGAGCTAAATTGGGTGTCTGGTGTCTCGGCTGTAGATGAGGGATCTTGTGAATAGTACAACGGCTATCGTGAGGTCTTCAACGTGCATCACGCAGTGGTGGTGCCATTACAGTATGGTGGCAGTAATTTCTGCTCCTTGCAAAGGAGAATAAATTCGGTGGTGTGAAATGTTCGCTGCAGCAGCAAGAATACCACAATGGCAGCTGATGCAAGGTCAATGTGAGCTGCACAAACCATTGGGCCCCTATATCTTTCGAACCATAGACTTTTCCAGCGGCAGTCTTGAACGAGGTGACTTGCAGCGCGCTTCCCCGGTTTTGAGAGTGCACATCAATGCTGCCCTACTGCACTGGGCTGTGACTTTTCTCATCAGTAGGTTGTGGCAGCCTACATAGGCACAATTTTGGGCACCGTTAATGGCCAAATGGCTGCATTTTATTGTCTTTTTTGTGTTTTATGGCAAATGGAATTTCACGACACCTTTAAGAAAGCATTGCACCATCATTGGGAACAAAAACGTATAAACAAAAGCTACTTTTGGTGACTCTGTGCACGACAGATCGAATGCAACTACTAGAGTGTTTGTTTCATTTTATTCAGATTTTTTTACAATGCCATTCACACAGCCGTGTCAATCTACAAAGGTCTTAACTCTCGAAAATATTTCACTACACGAGATGGCCGAAAGGCACGGGTATTCCGCGCTCACAACACGGAGATTTCTCATCAATCGAACACTGTATTGTACATGCCCCACAGTGCCGTGTCATCCGAACAGGATTTACTTAAAAAAAGATCTCAATAACACAGCATATCAAATGTACAGAGTCAATGACAGTCACTTTACGACGATCGGATGGATTCCGGGCTTGTTTTAGGGTACAGTTTGAGGGAGCTTGTTTCTTTACACATCACCGAGGCAAAGGAAACGAATGTGTCTGTTTTGTACCCTACGTTGCACCCAATGAACAAACTTTTGTGAAGGCTGCAAAAATTCTCAGGAGATTATATCGGTGGAAATAATCCTCTAAAAAGAAACAAGCGAACGGCTTGCATCGCGAGCCCCTGTTCAACATTTATTTTTTCATTTTGTCTGCCGCGAAGGCAGAGCTAGCTACGAGTACAGCGCCATGAGCCCTGCACAGCAGAAGAAAGCACAAAAGGGCTGAGTGGCTTGAATAGGCAAATAAAGTAAAATCTTTCAAGAAAGGCCGGCGAACTCCTGACGCACGGTGGAGGCGGAGAGTCGCACTGACTAGGTTTCCACAGCCCAGTAGGGTGGAAGATATTTCTGGCTGATAGAGGTTGTGAAGGTCACAAAATGGCGGTGGGCAGAGAGCCCTTTTTGTAAAGGTCTGAAGTCTGCACACGCTGTGTAGCCAGCAAAAACAAACTTTGGTTTGAAGAAAAATATTACCTTAGATTGCCTGCACCTGGTGCAGAGTCTGCCCCGGTGCCTAATCCACATGTAAGACATTTTCATATGTGGCACACCTTGACAAATGCCTGCTTTATTAGCTCGCAGAAACGCTTGTATTATACTTAGCCATCACTAGCATTCTCTGTTGTTCACAAAATTGGCCACGTCTTGTTACGAGGAACAATCTAGAAGAAGTCAGTCCTTGTATTGTATACTCCTATAAATAGTCTACAGCACATCAACTTTTTCCTTTTTAAACGAGTATAGTCCGAAAAAAAATAGTGTTTGTTTCTTTTCTTTATTAAATTTTTGGGTTAGTACAGTCTGTGTTTGATTGATTGTTCAGGGGCACAGAAATGAGGGCGCAAAGGCAACAATTTCTGTTAAACGACCGGCTTTTAACGTTGTTTCTCTGCGTGGCGGCAGATTCCGAGTCTCGCTCACGCTCGTCGGAGATGCGCTGGGTTCAGACGGTCATCTCCAAGGGGGTCCTGGCGGACAAGGTGGCGGCGCACACGCTGCTCATTCAAGAAAGCCCCGTCCACAACACAGCCAGCCTGGATGCCCTGCTGGCCATGGTCACCCCCAAGGGCAAGAAGGAGTGCGTCATGGCCATCGGTCAGTCTCCAACTTCTTCCTTTTCTCCCGTCCGGTAGGGAGCGCACCGAACGACGCAGGTAGCCTAAGCCACAACTTCCCAAACTCGGTTTCCGGGAATCTAGAAGTTTTTCAGAGCAACCCCCGGGGTTCCCCGAACTCCCAAATTTTCTCAATCATTCTTGACCATGAGATAAGTGTCCTTCTATTTTAAGCACTTTTTCTCCCCCCAGTAAAGCGTTCCATCTCGCGAGCGTGCTTTTATCCCATGCCTAGACAGCATGGGTCTGTGGCCCGCACATTTCTTCGGTCTCCTCCCTTGGTCGAGATAGGTGACTCGGCCGGTGCGGTCACTATGCACTAATTTAAAAGATCTCGGTCATCTATTGATGCATAACTATGTGCCAAACACACCCGTAGCATGTGCATCATTGTTTATGGAGTCCGTAGGCTTCAACATCAGGAGTGGTTTCTCGGCTAGCAATCGAAAGAGATGGGCATTTCTCAAGATTAAAAAATTTTAGAACCCCTGGGCTAATCTACGGCGCGTGGCGTGCATCTCGGACTGTTGCGTTTACCATGCCCTCAATAGTGGTCCGCGATCCCGGGGGCGGCACGGAAGCGGGTGCAGCAGACGCCTGTTCCGGATTTGCTGCATCCCCCAAGCAAATCAGAGTGACAGAGCAAAGCATTTGGTTCATCTTCATTGGAGGAATGCACTCTGATCTTACATTTGTTGCGGGTCTCTCTCCGACACCCTGCGTTAAAGAACACATGCAAAGAAAAAAAACATTTTTTTTTAAACAGCTTAGATGGAAAAAAAAGTGTAACAAAACGATTTTACAACAAAGAAAAAAAAATTTTTAAAGCTATATTTACGGTGCTATACGAATTTGTAGTTGGCGCCCACGGGAGCCGCCGCTGGTCACGTGGTAGGCCTGCACGCCGCCACGCTGTGTCGCCGCCGCCGCAAAGTCATGTCGTCGCCGCACGCTGAACGTTGTGCGAACGCCGCTTCAACGCGTTTCTCCACGCCGCCGTCGCTGCCGTCGCACAAGTTCGTCTGCTCCGGGCGCTGCTGCCGTCATCTGACCGGCGCACAGGTCTATCACATCTGCTTGCGCTTTTTCGGGAGTTTCCTTTGGGCTCTAAAAGTTATCTATTAATCTTAGTTTTTTGTTATACTTCAAACAAAGATGAATAAGTTACTTTTAGACACCATACGAAGCTTTCGAAAGAGTGCAAGCACCACGTGATAAATAGGGGCCACTTTTCCGCGGCGCCGGCGGGCGCCAACTACAAATTCATATAGCGCCATAAATATAGCTCTAAAAATTTTTTTTCTTCGTTTTAATATTGTTTTATAACATCCTTTTCCCATGTAAGCTGTTTAAAAAAAATGTTTATTCCTTTGCATGTGTCCTTTAAGTTATACCGAAAGGAAATGTAGTGCTAAAGAGCAGAATTTGTGGTTGGTGTTTGTTTATGTGCTGCATAAATAGATTCTTCTCTTTTGCATCTTATTCTTTCTGAAACTGAAACATTTCTGTTGCAAAGATTTAACTGCTTTTTGGAGCCAAACTTTGTAACCAAGTTGTGACATAGGCTTAGGGACAGTGACTGGAATTTTAAAGCATGGAGTGCTTTTTAATGGAACCTCCAAATCCCAAAAGTTTTTCCGTCCGTCCGTCCGTGCATTTTCCACTAAATTTAACAGGAAAATTCTTGTCACGTGACCTATTCACAGTGGGAAAAATCATGTCTTCTGACCTAAGCATCCATTCAATTTTTCTGCTGGGAAATTGATGTCACATGACCTGTGCAGCCATTAAATTTTCTCGCTAAATTTAGCGGGCGAAATCAATGTCACGTGGACTAATGTCACGTGACCTACGCACAGATTCAATTTCTCCACTAAATTTAGCGGGGAAAGATTTGTCACGTGACACATATTCCCATCCCCCCCCCCCTTCCTGAGGTGTCCTCCCATCTGCCTCTTATTCATTTCGACTTCTGTGAAACTTCTAGATGCACTGCGGGACCTGTTCTTGTCTGACCTGCTGAGACCGGACGAAAAACTGAAGGCCTTTAGTCAGGTTGGTGCCACTTGTGTTCCTTGATGCCGCATGCGTGAGGGCGCAAAAGCTGTCATGAAGGGCGTAAGGAAACCGAAATTGAATAGCTTGAAACTATGTCAAGAAATAAATGAGGTGGTAGGAAATTTCTAGACGAGGTTAAGCTGCCTCGAAACAACACCATAAAGTAATGAGCAAGCAGTCACCCCACAAGGGATTACCTTTCACATATTTCTCACGAAATATCCTTTTGACAAGGAGATGCAGAAATATTAAAAAGGGTACTATGTCTACCAGGACTCCCACTCGCCTTCTGCATACCCAATGAGATATTGTGACAATTTTAAAAAGGGAGTAAATTAAAGATAGATGCTGTACCATACTTTCTATAGGCATTAACCAACTCATCCATTACTTTACTGTGGTCATAACATGATCTCAATAAACATAGTATTGGTAGTGGGAAAAGTTCACAACAATAATTTCTCTAATTGAAGTTTATAGTTGTAGAGGTTATGTTATCGCAACACTCTTTTTTTATTCACTGGCACCCATTGTTAGTACAGTAGAACCCTGTTATAGTAACTCCGCATGTAATAAAACTCCTGATATAGTAAAAGGAATCGCCAGTCCTGACCGCGTTCTCATTGCACTCTATGGCTCAAAATTCTGATATATTAAACCGTCAAAACTCGAATACCGGTTGTAGTAAATCACGGCGATACTGATGAAGTGTCATTTTTCTCGGTGAGATTGGTGCAGATTGGCTCGTAGAAACTCTAAAAGTGTGCGTTAACTACCAAAGCGCTACTGCGCTACGTCGAACGATGATGGCTTTTTGAGGGAGCATCAGCGGTGCGTGCTGCGGTCTTTCGCGATTATTTCCATCCTCGGGGGCATGAAGCAAGAAGGTGTTCGGGACTGAACTGTGCCTCACGACTGATCCGCATCGTATGCGAGCTACGCTCATTCAAAAGGCAAGTAACGGCTGGACGAAAAAGCAAATTGCGGATGAATTTGGCGTTTTTGTGGCAACAGTCTTGGCCTTGGTGGAAAATGGGAAGTGTATTGAAGACATAATTGCTATTAGAAACAGTGGAAACTTTAAAAAAAATTAGACAATTACAAATCTCATTAACGCGAAATTAGAGTGCTGCTCTTGAGGAGGAAGAGGGGAGGGTACGAGGGAGGGTATGCCCCTCCTCTCCTCCTCCTACCCTCCTCCTCTTCCCCTTCTTTCCTCCTCCCACTGAATTTGTTTATTGGTTACGTGACACAAAGTCACGTGTCGTCATTTTCCCCGCTAAATTTAGCGGGAAAATTGACATGATGTGGGGGGACCTCAACATCAATTCAGTTTCCCCTCTAATTTTAGCGGGGAATCTATGACGTCCATAATATAACACGCGCGGTTACGGCGACGACGCTCAACCCAGAAACGGGCGTTTAAGAGCTGCTCTCTAAAAGCTCCTGAGCTCCAAAAACGAGAATGTTGACACAGAGCCGCTTGAATGACTTCGACAAGCGCAATCTTGAGAGAAAAGGACTTCGAGCTATCAAACAGATGGTCTGAACGTTTCAAGCCAGGGAACTATGTTGATCTTCATCAGAAGTCAGGCAACAAAAGTGCTGTTTCTGACACTGCTGTTGCTGTGGGCCGAACAAGGACTGCCCAGAGGAAGATTCTGAACCCACCCCTACAACACGTGAACTCTTGTTGGCTTTGGACAGTTGGGAGGGCTCAAATGCAGCAGATTCAAATGGGCAACACTATGCCCACATGACAAGCTTTAAGAGCTTCCTTGTGAAGTACAATGCACCTACAAGACAAGCTGATATAACTGAGTTTTTCAGGTTCAGAAGACATTTATTGAATTCCAATGGTTCAATAGTGAGGGGAAGAAGAACTTACTGCAACTTGAAATCTATTTTTATAATTATGATGTTTGTTTTTGAACTAATAAACATTTTATTCATTTCCACAGTTTTTTTAAAGCTTCAAAAGAAATTTTAAGGTGCTCCCGATATATTCAAATTACTGCCTTGTCCCGACAGGGTTAGTATAAAGGAGTTCTGCTGTAATAACTTTATTTTCATAGATTATGATGAGAGGGCCCAAAAAAGGCAAAAAAGCTGCAGTAGGCAGCTTGACTGTCGGTTTAAGCGAGTCGACAGCTTTGGCACCGATTGTTTTTACTTTATTGCAGTGATTCTTTCCTTCGTCCCTGTTTCCAAGTTTTTCCTTGAACTTTGTTGGCTACCAACTTTTAGTATACCACCAACTTTTTGCCAGCTTTTGAGTGGTCGTCATTTTTCTGCCGCAGCGTCCCTTGGAGGATGTCAACGCCTCGGACATTGTGGGGGCCCGCAAGCTCCTCCTGTGGCACTTTGAGGACACGCTGAAGCAGAAGTATACCTCCTTCCTGCAGTCTCTGGAGACGGTCTCCTTTGACCAAGTCGAGAAGCTCAAGATGAGGGCGGTCACGTGCATGTTCCACATGCTCACGTACAACCCGGAGCGGGAACAGGTGAGTCATGTGACCCCCCCGGTGCATTCAACTGCGGGAGCACTCAATATGGGCCCGTGACGATTTACGGCTCGACGAGCGTTCAGGGCATGGCTCGTGTGTCGAATCGCTGGAGTGACAAAAATGGTCAAACCCAAACGACGTCTGGAAATTGGCGTGCGCTCTGCGCTTTGCCAACCACAGTGTGTCGATATAAGGAACAATGGTTGCATATAATTAGGGCTCCGTTTTGAGTTGTCTTCGGAGTTTATTTTTTGCCGAAAATTTTCAGTTCAGCGCAGTTTATTTAGGATTGATTCCCGATTTTCCGAAATTAGAAGTTTGATTTTGCTGTGGGTTAAATTTTTCAAAATGTAATATAAAAAATAAAAGACATTTACAAATCTCTGTAATTTCACGTTTCCAATTTCGCGTTTGCAAATTTTGCATGTACAAACAAATTTCGCGTTTACAAAACACAAAATTAGTGCGCAGCTCTTGCGGAGGAGGAGGGGAGGGTACGGAGGGAAGGGTATACCCCTCCTCTCTGTACCTTCCCTTCTCCCCTCCTCTCCTCCTCTTGTGTACCCTCCCATCCTCCTCTTCCATACCTTCCCCTTCTCCCACAGTTTCCCCACTAAATTTGGTTGGAAAATTGTTGCCACAAGACCTCAAGACCAATTCCGTTTCCCCGCTAAATTTAGCGGGAAAATTGACGTCACATGTGTCTGTGTCACGTCACCCATGAACAAATTCAATTTTTCCGCTAGATTTAGCGGGAAAATCGGATGTCACGTGACCTCAACACCAATTCAATATCCCGCTAAATTTATTGGGGCGGTAACACCGCCGCCGCAAAATGCGGAAACGGGCGCCTAAGAGCTGCGCTCTAAAACAAATATTACCGTATTTACTCGAGTAATAGCCGCACTATTTATGAACAAGGCCCTTGCATCTACTTTCTTACAGAATACATATACGTACAGCCAATCATTGCGTTGCGCATAAATAACATAGCGAATAACCAGATCGAGAACACGATTCTCCATACAAATGCAATCTTCACAGATGGTATCTTTGCACGAAGACGTCATTCCTGTCCTGTAAACAGCTGGAATCATGCTGTCGATCATGATGATTGGCAATCTGCGTGCTCGGCGGAAAAGCGAACCCTCAGGTTTCTTCATAAACAGTGCGCCTATCAGTCGAGTAAATACGGTATGCGGACACAAACCTGCCGTAAATTTGTAAGAACTCACCTGTATCGAATGGCATTTCTTCAGTTGGAGTGGACTTTCACACCTTTGCTATTGGTAATACTACTGACTTCCCTACAACGAAGCTTGCAATCAAGTGTTACTTTAATGAATGTCGATACTTGAAGATCACTGAAATGGGATTGTAAATTGGGTCCATTTGTAACAGCTAAACATGATGAAATGCAGCTTCTGTAAACACGGACGAAGAATCGTTGTCATGTTGTGTTTGTTTCTTGTTCTTCATCCGTGTTTACTGAGGCTGTATTTCATCATACTCTCACGAATGGCAATTGATGAGGCGACAAATGACTGAAGGAAACTAAACCTCTATTGGGCAAACTTGTGCTCAAATCAAAATAAGAGAAGGTTTTAAGCCTTCCCTGGGAGCCTAGAATATTCTGCCTCGATTCTTCTGGAACGATACATTCTGAGCATGGATAGGCTAAATGCTTCTCCAACCTTCTTGAATCTTCTACTTTCATAAAGAAAGATAGAACGACACGCAGTGCCGGGAATCGAACCTGAGCCACCTGCGTGTGAGCCAAACGCGCTGCCGACTTGACTATGTAAGTGCGCGGCATTATCCCTGAAATTCTCTGAGTAGACTCTGCAAAGCTTCTTTTCTTCCCACGCCATTTCACCGCTCCACCGTGTGGCTGTGCGGGGTGGAGCGATGAAATGGAACTTTTAGCTGCCCCCCTCCCCCCTATGATCATAGTTTCTGCTGTTATAAAAACACAATTCCGCCCTTTTTTAAGAAGTCCAAACTGAAACCTGGAACAGTGACCCAAAATTACAATGACCCATTATTCTGAACAAAACTTGAGGAGATGAACGCTGAACCCCCTTCCCCCAATGGTCCTAGACTTGAAAGAAAACTGGAGAGATCTCTCCTCCGGACCGCTGACCCTGTGCTCTAACCAAAATTATTTGTAGAATACCGCATTTTTTTTTTTTGCCATTGGGTTTATCGATGTTTGGTCTTTTTAGGATAAATCTGAATTGATTCAAATTTTACCGGCGAGTGTTTTTTGGATTTTATCTAATTTAGCCGAAAACTCGCAACCCTACGTTTAATGGACACCAGATCATGCAGACACTTGTTCTGGGTGGGAGTTGAGGGTGAGAAAGCTGCTCGTTTTCTCTCAATTTTTTTTAGACTCCCATACCAAGGAGAGAAAAACAAACACCTATTTCATAGGCTACGATTGTCAAGGATTAATTTCAAGCAGTACCTACTGAAAGTAGGAAAATCATTGCACCAGCTCTTTGGCGGTGCAACGTTAGAGAAAAGGATGAATGCGTTTTTTTTTTAAATGTTCTCTCTCTTCCAGAGGCAGATCCATGTTGTTTTTGTTGGCTTTGAGGGTAAATATAATCAATAGGAGAGGAACTGGGATGCTATGGCTACTTCTATTTGGGATGGCCTCCCAGTTCCAGCTAAAGGAAGAGAAAGGGGGAAAGCACAAAAAGGAGAGGAAGGGAGCCAGATGTGCTCTCTTGCAGGGTCGACATCTTCTTGGAGTGTTCTTGAACACATGTAATGCAGAGTGGTGTCCTCCCTCACTTGCCTCTCTGAGCGACACCTCCTAGTTGCCAAGGCTGTGGTGCTGGAGTTTCTAGATCCCCTACCATGGGCCAGCGGGGGAGCACAGACACGAGCGCTGCGTCACCATTCGGACGGGGCTCGTTGTTCAGTCACCGAGGACGTGAGTCCCAGTCGAACGCTGACGCAGCATTTGCCTCCGATGTGTGCTTTCTGCTGGGCCCCTATAGGGGATTTAAAAAGTCGCCCCTTTGCCGTACTAGCGTCACAAAGGCAGTGGTAACACGGAATGTGACGTGTTAGTGTGAAGAAACCCTGTACGCATGCGGAGACTGGATGGCGTGGAGTGGTGCTGTGTCGTGCTTCTCAAATCCTGTTGGAGTGGGAGACGCAGCAGATGGAGCGTGCGGAAAAAAGAGTGATTGGAACAGGGCGGTGCCAAGGAGAGCCCTGGCACCAGCCCGCAGCAAAAGAGAACCAAATGCTTGGAACTCTCTCAACCCTTTGCGGGGCAAAAAAGTCTGCTTTCTTTTGTCCACTTTTCTGTTGCTCTCCCTTGCGCTCTTTCTCGGGGGAAGCCCGGAGCACGCTTGTTTGACTGAGCAGTACGCCACTGTATGTCTGAACACGTGATGTTTTACCCCCGCCGAAGGTAACATGTAGGCACTTGAGGGAGAAGTTCGTCTGGCACTGGTGTTTAATCGGTGAGGAGACGAGCACTGCGTCAGTGTTTGGCTGGCAGTCGGCCTGTTGACTTTCATCGCTGGCACCTAGCCAGAGGTGGTTAGGTGCCAGCCATACGAGATATTCTGCGTTAAAAAGTCCGGCACCACGACCTTGGTACCTAGGAGGTGTTGCTCAGAGGCGTGTAATAGAGGAGGAGCATGACTTCCTCTCTTAGTTCCTCCTTGTGCGTTGTTTTTAATTTGGGAAAAAAACATAACGATGCCACTCCGATCCTCGTTATGGTTATGGTTAATTATCTTATGGATAATTACACAAAAGGTCAATTTCCTCCGTACAGTCCAGCTGGCCTATAGAGTGCAGTCATCGACCCTAGCTTCAGCAGCAACAAGAACAGTTTCAAGAATACATCGAAACGAAGAGATACCTGGCATGGTGTTCTAGCCAGCTTCCGTCGAGGTCACAGGAGACACGTCGAGTGAAAAACGGACGCGCACAGGTGCCATGGCAACGAGACACTTTTGGAGTGCAGCTCTTAGGTGCCCATTTCCGGGTTGAGTGGTGTCGGCGTAACCGCGTGTTGCATTATGGGACGTTTTCCATAATGACGTCACATGTGACGTTATGTGTGACATCACGAGGGTAAAATTTTCCCGCTAAACTTAGCGGGAATATTTCTCCGCTAAATTTAGCGGGAAATTTTCGCTAAATTTAGCAGGAAAATTAGCGAAAATTTCCCACTAAATGGGAGGAGGGCAGGGTATGGAGGGCGAGGAAGGGCATACCCTTCCCTCCTCCTCCTCAAGAGCTGCGCTCTAATTTGGCATTGCAAAAAATTGTAAACGTCTAATTTTTTTTTTTTTTTTCAGTTTTGTTGTTTGGTTGGTGAAGTTGCTGTTGGAATAGGCTACTGGGGCGCATGCCAGTAGGACATTGTCTGGTCAATTGTGTCGCAGCATTCGCTATGCTGAGTGTCCTCACCTACTGTATAGGGTGCCCGAAGCAGATCATCTGTTGTAGAATTAGCCGGAGAAATCGGAACCTGCGCATAAAAAGCTCAATCTTTCTCCGAATGTGCACTGAACAGGTCAGTCTTACCCTGGAAAATTTCGAAGCGCAGTTCTTTTTTACAGCGGAGCTGCTAAAGGCTAGTTTCCCAAGGATCTTGTCCCCCGCAAAGAAATGTTGACACAAAACTCTTGACAGCTATCGCCATCTATGAGCGACGGTGGCAACCAGACAACCGGCTTGCCGGCTTTGCTCAAAGATGGCGGCAACCTTTCCAGCCTTTCCACTCAGGTTTTCACGAGAGTGGAAAGGCTGAATTTCTTTAGGCGTCATACTAGATGCCACCGTCGAGAACGTCCTAGACGTCGTCCTTGGAGTCGTCCTTGAGGTCGTCCTAGAAGTCATTTGTCCTCGAGCTCATCCTAGAAGTCGTCCCTGAGGTCGTCCTAGGCGTCGTCCTTGAGGTCGTCCCTGAGGTCGTCCTTGAGGTCATCTTGGACATCGTCCTCGAGGTCCTCTTAGACGTCGTCCTCTAGGCGTCGTCCTTGAGGTCATCCAAGAAGTCGTCCTTGAAGTCGTCCTTGAGGTCGTCCCACCATAGTACAGCTTCGCTGGTCTTCCTTCTTCACCAGAGTGGAAAGGCTGAAAGTTCTTTTTGTTTAAAATGAGAGAAAAAACTTGCCAAGGTCAAGGTTGGGCATGTTTTCTATTTACTTGTGGTGCTATCTCCCATAGGTGCAGTGAGCAGACAATGCACTCTGTTGCCTATTTGCTGTGCCTGTCAGGAGATGGCGCCACAAGTAAATAGTGTTGCTAACCCGGTCGTCTGCAAACGCCTCAAACTATGACCTTGGCAGGTTTCTTGCTTTCACTTTTTTTTATAGAAAGAGAACTGTGCCTTCAAATTTCCCATGGTAAAATTGACCTGCTCAGCGCACATTCGGTGAAAATTGGAGCTTTCTATGTGTTGTAGGTGCCGATTCTCCCGGCTCGTTTTACGGTGGGGGGTCTGCTCGGGCCACCCTGTGTTTGCCTGCACCTGCACCACGGACAGGTGCAGGTGCAGCCAAACACGACAAAAGGCAATAAGTGCATGCTGGAGGCGGAGCTTCCCCTGCAAAACATAATAAGTAAGAAAAGGTTATAACAATTTGATCGTTTTTGTTATTCTCATAAAAAATATGCCTGAAGTTATTTCTTAAATTAAAAATATTGAAACTGCTAATTATTTTTCAAATGTAGGGTTTTTTTTTTCTTTTTTAAGAAGACATGCTTGAGGTCTTTCTTTTTTTTTTAAGTAAAGATAATAAATTCGATTTATTCCAAAGCTTTCATTATTTTGGGAGTTGGCACTTTTTCTGGTGAAGGCGAGGAATGGCAAGGGTGCGAAAAAGAGGTGCATCACCCCTGCTGTTCCCTCTTCAGCTGCTGCTCCAGCGGCTGGTGAACAAGCTGGGCGACCGGGCCCACGCGGTGTCCTCGCGGGTGGCGCACCTGCTCTCGCAGCTGACCAACCACCACCCGCTCATCAAGCCGTCGGTGGTTGCCGAGGTGGAGCGCCTCATCTACCGGCCCAACGTGGCAGCCAAGGCGCAGTACTACGCCCTCTGCTTCCTCAGCCAGGTGAGGGGGACAATGTGCCATCCAGCAACGCCTTCGGTGGCCTACGAAAAGAGTGTGGACGACCCTGTGTACAGCGGCGGATTCAGAGGAGGGCTCCGGATGTCCTGACCCCCCCTCCTGAATTTCGCATGTGTAAAATTTTAGGGTGGAAAAAAGAGAGGGAGGGCTCAAATATCTTGTACGCTGACTCCCCTCTCTGGAAATACCTGTATCTGCCCCTGCCGGTGTAGGTGGGGGGACAGGGGAAGAAGCAAGAAGTATGCAAAGAGGGAGACACTTTGGCTGGAGTGAAGTGTGGACTCTGCTCTACCGTTACAAAAGAGATTGCCAACAAAAAGGGAATTTGATGTTTTGTTTGGACGGCGTAAAATCGGTCTGCCTTTAGGGGTGTGGCGACACTGGCTTAGGCTCTTAACGTGCATCACGCAGTAGTGATGCACGACCGCACACCATTACGATGCTCATCCAGATCGAAACACACAGGAAGGGGATTGAACCGAGGATCTCTGGGTTTTGCGGCACAAACTTTAGCTCCATGTGTTCCGAGGTGAGGTGTGCTAGCCCACTGGCCACCGTTCTCCTGAATGGCCAATAAGCATGTTGTAGCTGGAGCTTGGCCAGTTGCATCTGACTAAACATTATAGCACCGTGGGGGGTTAGAAGAGCAGTTCAGCGTTCTGACAGTAGTCTCGGTCCGTTGGTTTGCTGTTAATTTTTTTTTATGCTTTCAAGTTATGATGGCAAAGTGTTCATGTTTGCCTACGTGTCTGCCTCGTTTGTTGCACTGCAGCAGCCTTAGATTCTGTCTTGCATGTGAACGATGCTGGAGCCACCAGATTTCCTACGCTTAAGAGCAGAGATTCTCACACCTTTTGATCTCGATAAATGCCAGTCTCTCTTCATTAAAGGGACACTGACAGGGTATTTATGCTCGCCGAGGTTTTTAGTTGTACGTGACATATGAGAGCTCAACTACCCAGAACAGAATTTGCAGCTCGAAATTCGGTTTCTTTCCGCCCGAAAACCGCCGATCAAGAACTGGCCGGTTCGAGTCTCGCTCACTCTCTTTTCCGCGGTCACGGGCCGTTTTCTAAGGTATCGATGCGACCACCAAATTTAATCAAAGTCGTGGGTCACTGAAGGCACACACTTTGATACCGTTCGCATACCGTGGGACTCGCGGGGACGGTGATGCCAGCGGACGACGGGCGTGGGACCTCTATTTCAGAACTGTCGTTCGCGGTACCGGCGAATTCTGTCTACCGTTAAAAGAGAAATTTGGGACTGATCAGAAGAATTGGTATTCATCCCGTACGACACGCCCGGCCACCAAGCCGATTTGCACGAAGACGTCGCCGAGCCGTCGCTCCCTTCTCGTGGCTGAAGACATCGCTCGCGCAAACGTCAAGCACGACGTGTCTACTTCGAGTTGAATATGCACGCGTACGATTTCTTTACTAGGTGCGAATGTCCCCAAAGCGTGGTGCTTCCCGACTTCGACCCGGGAGTGCTTTTGCTAGAAAAAAATCGACAGCAAACTTTCCAGCTTAGTTTACCGGCTGAATTATTACTAAAGAAAGAGATCCATCACAAACGAAATGCCCCAATAGCTCAGTGGGAAAGACGTCCGGTTCACACGCGGTAGGACAGGGTTCGATCCCCATTGAAACTTTTATTTATTTTTTTTTTCAAACATTTTCCGATGTTTACATATCTTTTTCTTTTTTTTTACAATCATCACTGAAGAAACAAACAAAAAAAAAAAACAAACAAATGTTGCGGACGATACTTCGCTGAATTAAATGGTATGGGATTTCCGTTTTGACAGCTGCGAACTCAATGTAATCACTTTCCACAAAATGCAAGGAGCATATAAATCAGGTAGCGTCCGCTTTCCGAGGTGCCCGTATATGTTCTACAGGAATTGCAGCCAGCCATTGGTCCCGATCCCGTCGATCTTTCGGAAACTCTATCGCACAATGCCACTTTTTTTCGGATGCAGGACATGTGAGCCAGCTCTTCACGCAACATCTTGGGTGTATTCTTTCGGAGCCGATCATGGAAATTCACCACGGGCACTCACTACTCATCTCCAACTCCTCAATGTACAAAACAACTCATCTTGGAGAACAACGAGCGGAACAAACATAACTGCAAAAAAAATCGCACGGCGAGCAGTTCCCGCACGCCGCATCGCGCACCGCATGTCGTGTCATCTGCTACCAAAAAGGAGAGAAAAAAAAAAAAAAAAAAAAAAAAACCGCGCGGTTGGGTGTAGTTACGTGACTTCCGTCACTCACTTTCTTTTCTCCACTTCTCCGACCTCCGTCGGGTTTCGGTTTCGGTTTCGAGCAGTTGCGTCTTTTGGCTTTATTAAAAAAGTACGCTACTCTGTTGCAAAATATTAATTGGGTAGTCGTCCGACACCATAATGAAGCGCCTGGCAAAAAATAAAAAAATTTTTTGGGGAGGTGTCAGTGTCCCTTTAATGGTCAAGGAACCCTTCTCGGTCTTGACACTGATGCAGTAAAGTAATGTAGAAGTGTACGGGTCCTGTAAGCAATAGTTATGCATCGAAGGATGGTGCAGATCTGATATTAGGCTTAAACCTTAAAATGCTTTAGGGTCATAGGCATTTGGGGAAATTTGGGAGTTCGGTGAAATTCGTAAGCATACTTTCGGGAAGCTTTGGGTTTATAGGAACCCAGTTTGAGAACCCATGCTTTGGAACGACATTACTGGGTGAGCACATATTGTTGGATGGGTCCAGTATTCCACGGCCCTTGCACCACGGGCTGAAGACGGAAAGAGTCGCTCTTCAGAGCTGCGTCTGAATTGCCAGCATAACTCTTGGAGCCCTCTGCGGCAAAATGGCAGACACCATGGGCCATTGTTGTATTAGGAAGCAGCATGTCGCATGATTGGGGGAATTAGTTCCTTGGTGACGTAAACAAGGTTAGAAAAGGAGCGTGTTATAATCCCCGGAAATCTTCTTTCTATTTTCTTTAAAGAATGCATACGAGGAGGTAGAATACTAGTAAGTAATTACCATAATGCCCCGAGAGATAGCCCACCTAAAATTCAGAAAAATCGAGTTAAAATAAGAGATGGGCTAACTTTTGTTGTGCAATCAATGAAAGGTGAAAAAAGATATTTTTAGGTCATGTGACCTGGCAGGCTTGTCATCTCAGCAAGGGGCAATGAAGCAGATATGACTGTCCTTCTCTGTCAGCAATGTTCGCTTAGCTCCCACCCTTCTAACCAACCCCATTTTCGCCGCTGTCATTATTGGCCAGGGAGCTGCACGTAAGTAAAACTAGACTATTTTTTGGTGTTTTTGAAAAAAAATATCAGATTATGCCAGAAATTGTTCTTGTGCTGCCGAGAACAGCCGTAAAAAGGCTTTTTTCTTTTGCCAGCTGCTGCTGTCGGACGACGAGGGGCCCCTGGCACGCAAGCTGGTGTCGCTGTACTTTGACTTCTTCAAGCGGTGTGTGCAGAAGGCCCAGGCGGACTCGCGCACCCTGCGGGTGCTCCTGACGGGGGTGAACCGGGCATTTCCCTACGCCCGGGCGGGGGCCCCCGAAGGAACTGGGGTGCCCGACGACCAGCTGGACCTCATGTTCCGCCTTGTCCACCTGATGGACTTCAACATTGCCACCCAGACCCTCATGCTCCTCTTCCAGGTGAGTTGCTCAACCGACGATAAGATTCGGAGGGACGCTGAGTTCCCCATAATAATTTTTGTGTAGGTTCCTGAATAGGACATATACTTATGTCGTAAAATGTTGCATTGATGCAGAATCCGTTTTATCATCCAATTTTATGGAGTTCTGTAACGTTTGGCTGTAGCAGATGGCTGTAACGAATGCGAAAAATTATGTATAAAAAGACTTCAGTTTCACGGCAGGCAATGAACTCGCCACCTCGTAATTGTGAGCCAAGTGGTTTGCCAACTGAGCTATCTAGGGTCAGGGATCAGAGCATGCAAAAGCAGTCATTTGCAAGGCGTGCAAACGCGTGGTCGCGTACCTCGTGGTCTTTCCTGCCATGCTGCACCATCTCACAGAATGTGTCGGAAATTAGAACGAATCTTCTTTTAGGTGGTTCTGTCGAGACGCCCTTCTCTATTTCCCTGGAATGCCCATCATACATTCTGTGCTTACCCGTCTTCGTCAGCATGATCAAGCTTGTATAATTCTTTGCATACTATTATATGCAGACTGTACATGTTTAACAGCTAAGATTTTATGTGGTGCAAACCACAGGGTTGTGCAGTCTTAACAAGAATGAGCTTTTTCTTGATCGTTCGTTAGGACGAGACGTGGCAAATTTTGTGAATGACTTAGCATGATAATGATGATGTATGTGCGATGCAAGCTTCTTTGTAAACTAGTAAAGCGGGCATTTGTCAAGGTTGGCTGTGCATAAGAATCTTTTACGTGCGGACTGTGCGTTGCATGCACAGTATGCACCAGGTGTAAGCTGTCTAAGGAAAAACATTTTTTTTTTCAACCAAAATTTCCTTTTGCGCATTACACGCCAGGTGCAATCTATAGTCCAAAAAATACAGTAAACCTTCTTTAACCCATTCGCTACCGCGCGCGTCACACGCTGCTGGGCTGTTGGTACCACACATTTTTCCCCTAAAACAGGGTCAGACTAGGCGTGACTGTTTTGCTTGTATAATAAGCTTTTACAGTAAAACTCGGCGCGGAAAGCAAGAAAACAAGTTTATTTGCATTCTTGAGTGGTTCGTTCAAGTCTCTAAATAAATAGGCCCTCACAGGTTCTTCCTCGTGTGAAAGATCTCGATGCACTCTATCCTCGGTCGCTTAGGCGTCGCAGAACCGGTGCACTCTTGTCATGATTCGGAGTCCGAAATGCTGTCGAAATCGCTCCCGTCGTCAACAGAATGCTCCAAAAACTCACTGTCCTCACCAGGCGTCCCGTTATCGTCGCCGTCGAAGAGGATATATATGATTTCATTGTCAGAAAGGCCACACCGCACACTGGACGTTGCCATCTTCTCCACGCAGGCAGCGATCGAGCGGGAAAGACGACACACAAAAGAACAAGCTCAAACAAACACAGCGGACAGAATGACCCTCGCCATCTGTTGGCAATGTATCTAACTGCACTACCCCAAGTCTACATAGCGGGTTAAAAAAACAAATTTTAGCTCAATATTGCTGCCTGTGTGGCAAAGTTGGCAGCACACACGGGTCTCGCAGGGATCAAATTGCACAACCCTAGTTCTTCCTTTTACTAATGATTGCCCTTCTGTGTTCCAGTCTGTTCACAGAAGTTTGCGTGTTCGGCTTAGAATCTTTCTGAATAAAAGCAGCCGTAGCGGCTAGGTCAAGTCTTTTAGTTTTTTATGGTAATGCCTTTGATGGATTTGGTGCGGTTCTCGACCGCTTTTAAACTTTTAACACATAATGTGTTTCATCAGCTGATTTTCATGGAGTTCTGTAACGTTTGGCTGTAACAGCTTGCTGCAACTGCCGGCAGTAGTGGCCGGCTGTAACGGCCAGTTGTAGCGAAAAGCCGACACTGGAAGTCATTGCTCCCATAGGGAACCACATAAAAACACTTTGGTTCCTCGGCAGGATTTGAACTTTCCACCTCAAGATTTTGAGCCCAGTGCTTTGCCGACTAAGCTATCCAGGCTCGGTGGTACGGACCACGCAAGAGTGAGCTCATTCGCGCGCCACGTGAATGAGCTCGTGCGCTTCGCGGCCTTTCCAGTCGTGTAGCGCCATCTGATGGCGCATGTCAGAAATTAAAGCAAATCTTCGGTAGGCGGTGCCGATTAGGCACCCTTCTCTTTCCTGGAAGGCCTATCGCACATTTTGTGCTTACCAGTCTTTGTCAGCATGATCAAGCTTGTATAATTTTTGGGTTGGCAACCTCTTGCACATGCAAGTACATGTAAGCATTTACCGCTCTAAAGGCACGCCCATGGAGTGCTTTTGCATCGCTCCAAACCCACCAAGGAAATTCCTTATTAGTTTCAGGCTTTCATCCCTCTACCATCTTTTATTTATGAGAATGTTTACAAGACTCATTTTCAGTTGGGAGTGATTCTGAAACAAGCTCCTGTTTCAAGACATTAACCCTGAAATAGGGACGTGTTTCAGAATTTGCTTCAATGTGTCTCGCAACATAGTAAAAAGATATTTGGGGGGGGGAGGGGGGGGTCTGGTCTGAGGTGAGGTTTTTTTTGTGACATGTTCTTCTCTAAGCACTTAAAAAAAATTGATTTTAAGAGTTCATTTTTTTTTTTTTTAAGGCAGTGAAGACCAGGGGTTCTTCCTTTATTGCCTGGGAAGGCTGAAGTTTGTTTTGAGGCATAGCAGAAATCCTTAGCAAACCACCTGCAGGAATGCCCATTCAAAATTTGCTGGGTTTGAATGCTTGCGAGTTTTCCACATTGCAGGATGCCACGAAAAAAAAAAAAAAAAAGATTTCACATACTTGCCAGTGGATGCATTACCCTTATTCTATTCCTCTCCTAAACTCCGGTGACCAATAAGTTCTAAAGTTAAGAGTTTGAGATGTAAAAACAGAAGGAATAGGTATGTAGGACGAAAAGACACACATCTCTCAATTATTGTGTCTAGTTGAAGATGACTCCTTCAACTAGACACAATAATTGAGAGATGTGTGTGTCTTTTCGTCCTACATACCTATTCCTTCTGTTTTTACAGAAGTTTGTTCTTTGTGCGTTTGTTCTTTGTGCCCTTGCGCTTATTCTTTCTGTTTATTCCATGAGCTCAACCCGTGAAAGGTTCAAACTGGGAAGTATGGTTGTATGGTTGAGCAATGTGTTGCCCAAGCAACAGTCTTTTGCTCACCAAAGACCTATTTCCTTCATACCGTCAGGTGATGGATGCAAAGAGCTCGTTGTCGGACCGCTTCTACGGAGCACTCTACCGCAAGTCTCTTGACCCCGCACTGGAACATTCGACTCAGCAGACGCTGTTCCTCAACCTCCTCTACCGAGCGCTGAAGAGGGACGAAGAAGATCGGCGGGTGAAGGCGTTCCTGAAACGTGTGCTTCAGGTACTGTCAGCCAGCATGACATTATCGTCTCTATTCTCACGAAACCCAAGGGTCAAGGAAGCCTATGTTCGCATGCTTCAATGTGAGTTTGGTGTTCTGAATTTATCTGTATGATTCTTTGCTGAATAATGTAAAGGGGCATGTATTAGTGTGTGTGAACCATGCGGAAATGGGCAGAAATATTTAGGCTCTGGGGCTTGGGAGGAGACTGGTAGACACAGCACAAATATCCAATGCTGAGAATGGAGGTCCATGATGTGTTGTCTACATGGATTCAGTTCACTTGCTTCCTTGCTTTAACATCAGATGTATCAACAAATTCTGGCTCCAAATGAACTTATACGAGTTTAATCAAGCGATACCAAACACAAAGTGGCCAGGGCCCGTTTGCTCGAAGCACTAACCGCGGCTAAAGTTAGCCGCAGTACCTAGGAGAGGGATTTTGAGGTCACGTGACTGGCTCGGTAGGGATGCGGGGAAACATGGCGGTGCCCCAGTGAGTAAGTGCCGCTCGCTTTGGAACTAATATGTCGTTGTGGTTGCAATATCGGGTGCGTTAGTCAGCAACGAATGGTGCAGGAGGCTTTCGCTTTGCCTTACCTCACTTAAACCGCAAAGCATGGGCAATGACATCGCCACATTTTTTAGATAGCGTTTCGATTCTGGGCATTCCTGAACCTAAATGAATGCGATAATTGTCGGCATAGCAACGTCTTTGGAAAGCGGATTGTTGATAGCACACAAAAGCAGACGGCGTCCCAACAGACCTTTTTTCTAAATTATCCAAGCACCGAGGTGCATGCTACGACTGTAGTTGCACGCGTCGCACGTGCTGGCGTCTGCAGTAGTAACCGTTCTAAAGCAAAGAGTATAAAACAAATTTTGCCTTGCACGCGCGTTCGTTAAAGCCTTATTATGATTATTTACTTCAAATCTTTTATAAGAGGAAGGCCAGCGCGCGTGGACCGTAGAATTACACTTCCAGCGTTCTCCTCGCGATGCTTGGATAATTTAAAAAAAAGTCTGGGGACGCTGTCTGCTTTTGTGTGCTACCAACAATCTGCTTTCCAAAGATGTTGCCATGCCGACAATTATTGTGTTCATTTAGGCTTAGAGATGCCCAGAATCGAAACACTATCTAAAAAATGCGGTGATTTCATTGCCCATGCTTTGCGGTTTAAGTGAGGTAAGGCAAAGCGAAAGCCTCCTGCATTATTCGTTGCTGACTAATGCGCCCGATATTGCAGCTACAACGACGTATTAGTTCCAAAGCGAGCGGCGCTCACTCACTGTGGCACCGCCATGTTTCCCCGCATCCCTACCGAGCCAGTCACGTGATCTCAAAATCCCTCTCCTAGGTACTGCGGCTAACTTCAGCCGCGGTTAGCGCTTCGAGCAAACGGGTCCAGATGTCCTGATTCAGGCAAGACAGGTCCCTTTTTTTCCGGCCGTGGTCCCAGTGTCCTGCCAGCGTGCTAGTGGAACAATGCTTTGTCCCACTTCGGCTCCCCTGATCCCCGGATAGATAAAGTATGCGGTTAAACGAAAGGCTGCATCAGTAGAGAGGTATGCTTTCTCTGATCAATGAACAAATATACTTTAGAGCAATGCTGATGCTGAAGTTTAATTTGCGTACGACATGTGAACAGCACTATTGACATAGTACCTACAAAAATAAATACATGAATACTAAAGAAATATTCCAACCAATTGTATTACATGTGCAGGCCAAAGAGTATGCGAATTGCAAGGAAAAGAAATGCACATGGTGTGTATGAAATAGTAATAAAAAGGTGTTATTTGCTACCCAAATTTAAAGGTTTTGAGTTTCACAACAAAGTCCACTTCCCCCCTGATACACGTCCTGCATTGGGGCACCATGAACATGAAGAAATGTTTTTCAAAACATGATTGGTTTGGATTATGTTTTCTTTGGCTTACCTCGCTGCTGTGGGTAAGAAAAGCTCACATTGGATGGTTACTATGGACTACTTCCAGTTTTTCTTATCTTTGTATTGGCAGGTCAACTCGGCCACCCCAAAAATAGTGCCAACGGCAACACATTCTTCTTTTTTTTTTTTTCAATTTATCTTTTAATTTTTAGGATTCAAAATGTAGACAAGCATGTTATTGGTGCACTTTTTTCTAATTTCTTAGAGTAACATAGGTAAGGTCTCCTGTACTATAGGGTTGTTTGTTTTAAAACAAAAAAATACCTACTCAGAAGGACCACCCCCAAAAGATGCCCCACCCCCAAAAGATAACCCACCCCTATTTTTGGCTTGATTTGCTATATTCTTTTAAACACCGAAAGCTAGCCCACCCCTAGTAATCATAGTGCTCGGATCAAAGATGACCTCGTTGTAAATGCGGCTAGGTAGCTATGGCAAGATATACTAAACAAACGTTGCCGACTCAGGAGTACAGTCATTTTTGCTTCATTGTTCCTCGCCGTTATAACAAGTTCAGCAGGAAAGCACAATCTAAAAATAGTGTTTTTCAGCTTTTCCAGGTCGTGCACCAAAAGCTAGCGCACTCCTTATTTTCACCCGATTTGTTCTTGAATTTAGCCGGGCTATTCTCGGAATATTACAATAAATGTAAAAAGTGCCACGCAAAAATAAAAAAAAAAAAACAGAAATCAATTAGAAAACAGGGGATACACTTGCGTTCACACCTGTTCAGACATGTTGCGAGGTGCCTATGCAAGGTAGCTGAAACTTTTGGAATAAAGTGCTCTCGCTGCAAATCATTACAGTAAGATTGGAAAAAATACTGCTAGAAAAAGCAGCAGACCCCAGTTTCCTTCCAAGTGGGCAACTCCGCTTCATTTTTGATTCAAAAGCGCAAACACCAAGGAAATGTGTAGCCAACTAGCCCAACAATGTGTAGCCAACTAGCCCAACAGTTAATTTTGATTAATTTAGATATTTAGAAAACTATGTAGCCCTCTTCAGTATCATATAGGAAGACCCCATGTCAAATATTACGATCTAATTCCGTTTATATATTTAATCAACTGGCCAGCAAACCTTCAAGCGAGCCAAGTCGCCGAAATCTGCCAACTCTAGCGTGCGGCGCGAGGCGCAATCGTCAGCGCAGTCAATGCGACGGAGTTGGAGTGGCCAACGTTGAACCGCTATGTCAGAGGCATGACTACGTCATTCTCACGTTTTGCTTGTTTTTACTTCTCAGAGCGAAATTGAACGATGACGTCATGAGTTTCTCCTCCCGGTGTTGGCTGACCGGGTGTTCACGTGATTACCGTAACACGGATGCGCTAGTTTGCACTGCCCTGCACGCTTATCGGTCTGTTTCTCCGCTCCCCTTCTCCTCTTTTGTCTTCTCCCCTTCCCCCTCTCCCCCGGGCCATCACTGTCCACGCCATGCAAAGCAACCTGCCCGCGTCCAATAAAAAAAAGAAAAAAAATAAGACCTGCTTGCGTCGCGTGTCCTGTTTCTCGCTCCCTTCCGAACGTCACAAGACCACGTGGTTCGATGTGACGTGGCCATGACTCTGACGACCCGAGACCAATGTTGCCTGACGCAACCGAAGTTTCGGTTTCGGTATCTGCTGATGTTTAAATTAGGATTACACAAATAATGTTCCACATTTCGCGAATCCGAAGACGTAGAGTTGTTTAGTAGTGCTTTGTGAATTTGAATCACATGGAAGCCTAAATTTTTCGGAATTGAGCGGAGTTGCCCTTTAAGGTTGTGCAGTGAAAAGCAGGCAACACCATAGGGTGGTTTCGTAAAACATCTTTTCCCTTCCGGTAAGCCGCATTCCACTACATTGATAAACAGGATCCGTCGCCATCTGCATTGGTTTGCACGTAGGCACTTAGTTGTTGGCGTTGCCTTTCGTGTTAGTGAAATGCCAAAGCATGGCGAATGCTCCGTCAATGACAGAACTCAATGAGTATAATAGGAGACGGGCCGCTTGTCGCCCCGGGTGGCATCTACTGGGGCCACCTTGGCCGCCGACTTCTCGTTCGGCGGCTGGTGTCAGTCCAAATAAAGACCACTATGCATAAAGATATAGTGCCTGACGATTCTCAGATTCTCCTTTGTATCGCTGACTACTCCGACGAACACGGACCTCAAAAGAACTCGACTAAGCTGGAAAACTTTGCCCCTGCATATAAAAAGGCTTACTAAGAGAGTTTGTCGATGCGGCTTCCGGCAAACTTCCGAGCCGGAAGTGCATCGCATAAAACTGCCTCGTTCCTGTATTTGATTTGTCGAAGCAACGGCGAGAGGGTGAACCACATTGGACAAATCTTCTGATGCAGGCCTGTCTCTACCAGACACCGCATCTCGCCTGCGGTATGTTGGTCTTGGTGTCGGAAGTGCTCAAGATTAGGCCCAAGCTACTGGAGACTCGGTCGTTCGACGCCACTGCCCAGGACGCTCCATCGACCAATGGCATTGCGGGCGACGCCGACGACGACAGCGAGGACGAACACTACGAGGACGCTCCAGATGACAGCGTGAGACTCATTTTAATACGTGATGTGTTTATGGGCTGGATTTCGTGTGAAAAGCGTTTGTGCTCAAGCGTGACAAAAAGCCGTTGCATGCGGGCCAAGGCACCATAAAGCATTTCATAATGATTAGTTACTCAATTTTAAATCGCATATATGTGTAAAAATTTATATTCAATGTTTCAATTTTTTTTGTTTTTCGTTTTTTCTTTTTATTTCGCTGTGCTGTTGAACTGCCCAGGGGATGAGGCTTAGTGAGACGATATAAGTCTCCTTTCCCCTGTCTTCCTAAACGTTTATCTGCATAAAAAAAAAAATTATTTTTATTTGATGCATATTTTGAGTTATACTGATAATTCAAACTCAGATATTTCATACTTCTGGTTAATTCAAACAAATTAAAAAAAATTAGTTGTCCCACTATGTTTTTAATGCATTTATAAGCTGCTTAACTGGAAGGGTTTCCATATTATTCATACACCCCCTTTGAGCTCACTTCTTGCCGATCACTGGTGCACTGCAAAGAAGGAACACCCGCGGAGCTCGCTTCCACGGGTCTTGTTTTTTTTTCAGTGCACCTGTGCTTGCTAAAGGCTCTGTTATACTCCGACGTAACGCGTGCGCGCGTGCGAGCGCGTCACAGCGACGTCACGTCGGCGAAAGCCCGACGCTCTACACTCCGGCGTCGTGGCGTAACCAACGCGACCGACGTCGTTCGACGCAGCCTGACCGCCTCGACGCCAAAATGGAGCATTCCGTATTCCGCGCCGGCCGCGCCGGCGACGCCGGACCAGGATGGATCACGCGCTGGTTCCCGGCAGCCCTCGCGCGGAAGCGCGGCGAATACGAGCAATAGCAGACGAGAGGAGCACCACTCCGTGTGGCGTCATGTTTGAAGAATCGGACTCGGTCAGTCGAGAAGCTGATCGAGGGAATTTGTCCTCACCCGTGTGTCTACGACACGAGGAAGCTTGAGTACCGTAGACTGGGCGCTTGTCAAAGATGTACCGTATGTGCATTGACCGCCTGCGCTGGCAGCGCAGGCGGTGCACCAACAGTGCAAGGGAAAGTTTTCGTCGTGCAAGGTACGTTCACGCCATCGCTCAAACTTGGCGCTCAAGAAGCGCGAAAATTTTCGTCTGCTATTATAAACGAAAAGGAACCGGAAGTGGTGCACTCGCAGGAAATGTGCCCTCGTAGTCAGATTTTGCGCATGCGCCGCGCCAGCGGCCCACCGATGCAAGCCGCGGGAGCCGCCAGGGCCGCCGGAGTATAAAGAGGGCGAATTTTTGACGCATGCGGCGTGACTGACGTGACGTAGCCGACTTCGATCAGCGTTCGCTTGCGCGCGCGTTACGTCGGAGTATAACAGAGCCTTAAGAAGTGTGCATAACGGGGCCAGTTGACAATAGACAACATTTTTTTCTGGATGAACAAATTTAATTTTGTATTGAGGTTTCATGTGCTGTCTAAACACTCCTTGGATATAATCAGCGTTTTTGAGGGATGAATAAACTTACCTCATACATTTCACCAATGTTTCGTGTGTGGCATACCTGGTTATAATTAGTAGATCTGTGTAGAGCAAATCATCAGATATATGTGTTGTATGTGTAGCCACCCATATAACCCATGTAGCCACCCTTAGAACAAAATCGGATGAATTTATGTCCAATCTGCTAGGTACCGATTACGATATTGTCATATTGTCAGAAACATGGCTTCATGACGGCATTGCGAATAGTGAATATTTTACACCTGCCTTTACTGTGTTTCGTAGAGATCGTGATTATACTTCCGGGATAAAATATGGAGGTGGTGTATTGATAGCTTGCAAACAATCACTGAATGCACATAGGCGAAATGATTTGGAAACCTATCAAGAATGCGTCTGGGTCGAGATACCGTCTGGTGACGGGTTCAACTTTCTAATTGGAGCATATTATTTCCCTCCCGCTTCAGATGCGGCTCTCTTTGTAAGCCACTTTAATTTTCTTGAAAATAAAATAGACGTTACTAAATATTGCGTGCAACTATACGGGGATTTTAATCTACCGAAAGTTGACTGGATTAATGGTCGTATTAACAGTGAAAGCTCCTGCACACGTCAAAAAGTGTCTTGTTTGTTTAACTTCATAAATTTTAATGATTTTACACAACACAACATGTTCGTGAACTGTTCCGGTAACATTCTTGATCTGGTTTTATCTAACATTCCTACTTCGAAAGTGGCTCGTGTAGACGATCCGCTGGTCACCCCTGATGCGTATCATCCTCCCCTTACGGTTTCGTTTTCTATGTTTCTCAGGTCAAGGGTTTCGTCTGGTGCACTACGGTACGCGTACAGCGCTGGCGATTACTTTAGTTTATACAAATATTTTGAACAATATGATTGGACTGATGTCTTACAATGCTCTGACGTAGATTCGATGGTGGATAGTTTCACAGCGGTAGTCAATGATGCCATGAACTTGTTTGTTCCCCAGCGCACCAACCGCCCAGAGAAGTACCCGAAGTGGTTTTCCAAAGATTTGCGATACTACTTGAGATTAAAATTACGTTACCACAGATTATATAAAAAAACGAGGCTCGGCTTGTGGTATGAAAAATTTAGCATCTGTCGTGAATTAACAAAAAAGCTTCTTGCTAACGACCAATATCACTACCGCAGGCAGATGGAGCGTAACCTGAACAAGCGACCAGAAGAATTCTGGCGCTATGTGAAAAAGCATACCACGAAGAACTTTAACGATATAACGCTGAGCAACGGGTCAGTTATTGAAACGTCCCCAAAATCTGTTTGTGAGTTGTTTTCGCATCATTTCAGTTCATGCTTTTCCAATGTCAACACCCCTTTACCCATGACATGTAATACTACTTTTGATGACTATTTACCTTTTACTAGATGTACTGTTCACGAAGTGCTTTTAGCTATTGGAAAGCTGAATTCTAAACTGTCCACAGGTTCAGATGGTATTCCCAACTTCGTTCTAAAAGGATGTGCCGAATGTTTTGCTCCTGTTCTTGAAAAAGTGTTTAACTTGTCTATACAGAGTGGTGTCTTTCCAGAAAAATGGAAATATTCAATAGTAGTCCCGATTTTTAAGTCAGGTAATTCTTGTGATGTTAGTAACTATCGTCCTGTTTCCCTTCTCAATGCATTTTCAAAGGTTTTTGAGAAGCTGGTGTACAATCGTTTGTATAATTATTTTAAAAGAAAGTTTGTTCTTGCACAGCACGGTTTCGTCAAAGGCAGATCCGTCGAGACAAATCTGTGCACATTTTTAAATTTTGCTTTTCCAATTATTCAGTCTCGGGGCCAAGTAGACGCAATATATCTGGATATGTCCAAAGCCTTCGATAAGGTCAATCGTGAGCTGTTATTGCTGAAACTTAGGGACTATGGCCTGAGCCCTGAGTACAATACCTGGTTTACGAGTTATCTTCATAAAAGGCAGAACTGTGTAAGGGTATCTGGCTTCTTGTCTCGTCCATTCATTTCTATATCAGGAGTGCCCCAAGGCTTAAACCTTGGACCTTTGTTGTTTCTTATTTTTATAAATGATTTGGTGTCGTCCGTAAAACACTTTCAATTACTTATGTTCGCAGATGACGTGAAGTTGTTTCGGGAGGTCACCTCAGTCAATGACTGTACTTTGCTGCAGGACGATCTTCGTTCAGTGGTAGAATGGTGCAGTTCTAACAATCTTTTCTTAAATCCGCGCAAAACAAAAGTCATGTCGCTGTCAAGAAAGCGTCACAATTTATTCTATGCATATGTTCTGGAAAATGAAACGATCTGTCGGACCATGCAGATGCGAGACCTAGGTGTTCTTGTGGACGACCATCTTTTTTTCCTTTCTCATGTAAACTCCATTATCAGCCAGTCATTGCGCACGCTAGGAATAATGTCTCGCTTAACTAGACCATCTATCACTCATCACTGTCTCTTGAAATTATATAGTACCCATGTGCGTTCGAAACTAGAATTTGCATCTGTAGTCTGGAACTGCATATCTATAACAGCAAGTGAAAGTATAGAACATGTACAAAAGCGATTTGTGCGCATCATTTACGACCGATATTTTGTAAGAAAGTGTTTTTATGAATATAATTCGATTTTAGCAAAATTAACATTGGGCACCTTAGGTAAAAGAAGGTCCATTCGGGATGTTCAGTTTTTACATAGGCTAATTCATAATGCAATAGACAGCCCTACTCTCCTCACCTGTGTTCACTTTCGCATACCACTTAGAACAAACTCTAGAAATCCTAGAGTCTTTTACCCAGACCTCATTCGAAACGCATCACCGGTTTCGCGTATCCAACATGTTTTAAACACGCAATTTAGTGACGTCGATATTTTTAGTACAAACCTGTCTTTTGGAGAACGATCATTTTGATGCATGTGTTTTTAATTGGCATATATACACGTTTGTGTGCTTGCATGTTTTTTTTTTTTTTTTTTTCACAACTCTTTATTTTGTCTACTCTGTATTTTGGGTGTATTTCAATTGTGTGTGCTTAACCCAGTAGGCTTTCGAGCTGTTGGTTAGCACAAGAGAAAAATAAACATTGATTGATTGATTGATTGATTGATAACAAATCATAATTTTTTTTGCATCATATTTAGATAAATATTTGATAAATCAAACAAAATTCGTGGCTTCCTGGAGTATAAATTAATGAGTGTCTACTATAATTAAACAGACTTAATAATAACTAAGGGGCGAGCAGGTCTTAATAGTCCTTTTGCCAAATTACCCGAGCATCAAGGAGAATGCTAGAAATGTAGATACACGCGCCGCCTGTGCTCGTCTTATCTGTAGAAAAGGTTTGAAGTAAGTGGCCGAAAGAAGGCATTGATGAACGCATCGTATGGAGTGCCATTTGTTTTGGGTGTTTGCTCTAGGACTTCTGCAGGAGGCTGCATGTGCGGCGTGTGTAACTACACTCATACATGCTCCTCGTTGCTCAGGTAATGGACCTCTCTCCTCTGTGCATACGTACACCCTCTCCCATTGTCTTGCTTCCCAGTGTTGCCATTTCAGGAGGGCACAGTCCCTCATGACCAACAATGTCAGGCACCTGCCTTTGTGCAAATTTAGTTTCTTCTAGGGACTCTTTTTCTGAGTAGCGGCAGCCTTCCTATACTAGGTTTCAACTTGAGTCAGAGTGCAATCGAAACCTAAAGGACACATAAACACATACACACAGACTGAAAGCGCACTGTCTCAGCATACCTTCTGCTGCATTCGATTGGATGAGCTGCAGCGAATATGCTCAAAGAAAGACGGCGAAAGCCACAATGTTGCGTTTTCGGCGTTACTTGATTGGTGACATGGGCTTCTGGCGTCCACTGCGCTCTGACAGCATCGGCATATCTTCTTCCTCCTCCTACTCCGTGCAAACTCCTTATCTTTGCTCTTTTGCACCCTCGTGTTGACGGCAGCACTGCCCTGGTCGCTTCAAGATGGTAGGGGGCAGTCTTCAGAGGATGTCGTTGCTTTTTACAGCGAAGCTGTATACCTCTACCAGTCAAGAAAATTTTCGCGTCGTTGGCGTTGTAAGCCAAAAACTCCCGGCAAACAACTGAAAGCAAAGCAGCATATCTCCTTTGAAATCAGGCATACAGCATACAGCTCAGTATCCGTTTCAATAAAGAAAATCACAAAACAAGCATCAACAAAACAAGCATCAAAACCACATAGTGGATGATAAGGCGCGTGTGAACAATAAGAACACCCTCCCATGCGTTCCGGTAAAGATTAGGTTTGCAGCTGCTTCGAAAGAGGTTGACGTCATTCGAAGCACTCGTGTGTAGTGCAGATCGCATGATGGATGATAACGGCGCCTGCGAACAATGCGATGCACGTAGTGACGTCACTAGCCTTTCATATATAAAAGAAAAACCTGCCTATGTCCCGTTTCACCTTACGTCCGGACGCTGCGGATGCTACGAGCTATCTAAGCCAATCCCGTTCTGTGAACGTATCCTGTGATATGCTTTCCGCGCGTCGCTGTGCCCCCTCTCTAAGGTCACGTGACACTCACACGGCCTCCGATTGGCTCCGATGGCTCGTAACATCCGCTGCGCTTAAACGTAAGATGCAACGGAGTATAGCAACTGATTTCATTGTTGCTGCATCACTGCGATAGATAGGCCATGTATAGTTGGGACTCCCTAGGAGCAGCGTGAATACTAGGAGTGGCAAAGGGAAAAAAAAGGGCAGTACGACCAGCGGCAGCATGCTGCGACTGGCGGCGGCATTTTGTATAGTGTAGTAGGCAATCGTTGCAGGTGATAACCACAGCTTCGCTGACCAACCACCTTCACAGCGTGGACTGGAGCCCCAATTCTTTGTATACAGGGCTTTAAAAAGTAGACTTGTGATGGGACTGCCACGCTGGGGAAGGAAGGGAACTAGACACGCGAGTGCTTGGAACGACAACAAAAAGAGAGGGCAGAGACATTGCCTGCGTTTTTGTTGACGCACATTAAAAATGCACGGAACCCTAGCCATAAACAGCTTCGCTGTAAAGGGTCCCCTTAGCAAAAGGTCTATTTTGTGCTTGCAGGACGACGACAATTCTTTGGCTCTGAAGCCAGCAAGCAAAGAGGCTCCTGCCACCACCGCGCCCAAGAGCTCCTGGGTTCACACGGTGTCGGCCTCGACGTCTCGCAGCCCCGAGGGAAAGCCCAGGGCCCCGAGAGGCTACGAGCCCCTGGCACGAAACCCGCTCTACTGCGGGGCGGAGCACAGCGCCGCCTGGGAGCTGCGCCACCTCAGCCAGCACCACCACCCGACCGTGGCGCTGTTCGCCAGTCGAGTGCTCTCGGGAAGGCCGGTGGCTTATCCTGGGGACCCCTTGCAGGATTTCACGCTCTCCCGCTTTCTCGACAGGTGCGTTTTCTTTATCCCAGCTGACTCCGAGGAACTTCTTTCTCGGAAGCCCGCCGTTACTTAATATCACTTTGGATGAACACTGGATTGATTTTTCGCATTGCATAAATGAGGCAAGCATCTCAGAGCTGAAGCTTCACCCGATGGTGACATAAGTAGCGATAATAGCTTGCGACAGTTTCAGAGCATGGCTTAACTTTTCTCCTATGTACACTGCGTGACACTGTTAGCAAAAGCAAACCATTGTTGGTTTTTTTAGTTTTCTTTTTAGTATTGAAGGGCTGTCATCAGTATTACTACAGCGTGTAGACAAACGTTTTTAAGGCTCTTTAAACGTCTTGCAAAAATAGATTTCTCAATGTATCGCGCTGCAATTTAGTACTCAGGTGCAAGCAGGCATATGAAATTTACAGTGGAAAAAATCAAGGAATTAACTTACCTCGTTCAAAAAGGAAAAAAAACAAACAGAAACCTGTTCAGGCCAATCTATGTGGCCACTTCGCAAACGATTCACTCATAGCGAGAAGTGCTGATGGCAGATGGCGTACACCGCATCGTGGGTGCGCCAGTCGATTTGGGTGGGTCAATAGGAGGCGATCCCGCAAAAGAACCCGAATCGGCCGACGCATCCTTGATGTGGCATATCCCCACCCGGTGGCAGCACTTCTCGCTACTTGTGCATCGTCTGTGAAGTGACTGCGTAAATTGCCTAAACAAGTTTTTTTTTGTTTTAACAAAGTATTGTTTATTTTTTTTTTTTTTTTGCACTGTACATTTTCATCACCTGCTTGCACCTCTGCTTGCCACTCCTTAGAAATCACCACTTTTCCCATGGTAAAGAAAGAGTTAAAGAGACACTGAAGTGGAAAAAAAAGTTTTTTTTAAGTGGCCCAACTTGGGCACATTTTTTTCCATAAATATTGAATTGATCAGTTGAGGAGATCTTCGTCTAAACACTTTAGTAACTGCAGAACGACTCGTTCTTATTAAAATAGAAGAGCTCAATGAGCTGCTCTCAATGACCTCTCTGCAGACATTGGCAGCCATGTTTTTTATCGTTTGGAACCAAAGCGGAGAGGCAACCTCGGGATATATTGTCACGAATGACAATGGATGAGGCGGTGATAACTGAAGAAACTAAACGTTTAATGGGGCGAACTTGTGCCCAAAAAAATAAAAAGGAAACAGAAGATAACAGCAGAGCGTCGTGGGCGTTGAAGTCGGTGTAAGAGCAGAGTCGAACGCTGGGGCAAGACTGACTGCGGCTTGCCACACGGAGCCCTTTTTGTACACGCGTGAGCTTCTCGAACAATCGGCCGTAGAAGGTTCGCGCATAGAACATTCTAACCTCGAACATGCAACAGAGTTCTCGAATTTCCGAGAACAGTAAATTGCAAGAATAAATAGAAGGGGTGTCGCGACCAGGAATCGAACCCTGGCCTTCTGCGTAGAAGGCAAGCGCGATAAGCGTTAGGCCACGGACGCACCGCCTACTTGGTCAGCTGTGCTCATGGCAATCTAGATTATTTTTCTCAAACATGAAAATATTGTCAATTAAGATACTATTTACGGCACGGAGAGACAATTTTACAACCAACATTTAACACGTCAATCATCTCCAGCCAATGAGAGCCGAGAAAAGGTGCTTAGTTTTGTAAGCACTGGGCGGGGCCTAGAGCAGGGCAACCCCCCCCCCCCCTTAATTGCATCTAACGGCAAAATTTCGCTCCAAAAATATTTTTTGAGGGGAAAAATTTACTAATAGTTGTTAAACCCATTAAGCAATTGTAAATTCTTCCACTTCACGTTTATTGAAACGGATACTGAGCTGTATGCTGTATGCCTGATTTCAAAGGAGATAGCTATTTTGCCTTCAATTGTTTGCCGGGAGTTTTTTTGCTTACAACGCCAATGGCACAATGGCAACAAAATTAAGTTTTACAGCTTCGCTGTAAAACTTAATTTTGTTGCCATTGTGCCATTAAAAATGGCTTAAAAAATTAAGTTTTACAGCTTCGCTGTAAAACTTAATTTTTTCACTTCAGTGTCCCTTTAAAAGCGTTAGTAAAGAAGTGTCCAAATAAAATACTTCAGGCTGCGTCAAGCAACACTTCACCGCCAAATGAAGTTAAAAAGTTGAAGACCGGCCGTCCGTCTTCTATTTGGATGTCCCTTAGATCTTCCCCTCTCCCATCTTTGGGATTAGACTTGAACAGCGGCGGAGGCCTTGAACAGCGGTGGAGGCCTTGAACAGCGGCGGAGGATGGACTGACAGCCAACAGAGCCTGTGAATGACTGTTTGGACCCACATGATAAGATGTTCTGGGCCTCTGTGAAGGACGTAAGCTGTCTTCAATAGAGGGAAGCTTTTCCCGTGGCAAAACAACCGGACAGAAGCGGATTGCCACACTTCATACGGCGGAGAAGTGTTGCTTCACGTGTTCTTGAAGTGCCCTGTTTGAAGAGCCCTTCACATGCTGTATAGTGGTGAAAAGTGCTCAGTTGTAGTACTAACCAAAGTGGTCAATTTTGATGCCCACCATAATCTTTTTAAACTAAGTTGGGAAAAAGTGACGAAGTCATGTTCATGCATGCAGTGTCGCTTAGTGTACATGCTATAAACTACACCTAGGATAACTGAATTATACTCAAAATCAGATGCAGTGAAGCAAAGGTTACTCTGACCTTTTTTTTTCTCTTGGAACAGTGTGGCTGACTGCAATTATAAAGAATTTTCGTTACGTCACCAAAACGTTTCGAATAACTATGCATTTGCGTTTTCACTGTAAGCTTAAAACAGAGCGTATGAGCTTGTGAATGTGCCATGGTCGAGTTTTCATTTCGCTCATGCTTGGTCCTAGGGTTTATGTGGTCAATAGTGCAGGCATTAGTGTTTTCTACCACTAATTTTGGCTTCGAGTATAACTGTCTTATCACTTTAATAAGAAGAGTAATTTGCAAGAATGGATGTGCACAGCATGTCACTTTTCACTAAACTGGTTTCTACTGTTTTAAGAGCACTACTTAAGGTCTACGCATTCTTACATTCTGTGCATTGCACCGCAATGTTTCAATACTTCTAATCCCTATTTCTTACATAATGGATAAGAAAGCAGAATTTCGGCCATGTAAGAATAGCGATAGAGCGTTTGGATCATGCACCGCATACTGCAGGATGCACAGGTACGACGAAGCCTCGCTCGACACCCAGAAGCTTTTTTATTTGAAATTCTTGCGCCTCAATGCCTCCAGGTTTGTGTACCGCAACCCCAAGAAGGTGGCGCCGCCCGACGAGTACAAGGAGAAGGACCTGGCCGGCAACGTCTTTGGCAAGAGGCGGCAGTATGTGCCGACGGGTGTCCACAAAATGCACGTGCTCAGCCGCGAGTACATGGGGCAGGACGTCAGCCGGATCCCTCCTGAGGAGCAGTACCTCTACAGGTATCGTAGTTTGCATAACAAATCTAGGGGGAACTCTATGCCCCGTTGTATTCGGACGCCTCGAAACGCCAGGGCATAGCAGATAGAGCAATACTCCCTAGATGAGGCCTGTGTGCGATGTGCTGACCAACCAAGACGTGCTGACCAATGATGTCGACGCAAACTAGGCGGCGCTGTATAGATCCACTAGTGATGACATTTGAGGTGTGAAAGGCACAGGTTTTGCCTTCTAGGTACCTTTAAGTACTTAAAATCATCGTTGTTGGTCATCCAAAGCTTTACCTGGAATCTGAGGAGACGCTTTTCCTTGAACGTTGAAACAGTCCGCTTCTGCGGGCACCATTGCCGATCGTTACGATTCGAAACTGCGACTTCTTGAGCCTTACACAAGGTGTAGAGAGTTTCTGGGCGACTTCGTTTTGCTCTCTAACGGACTGTTTCGACATTCAGTACAACGGGCGTGCTTTTGCATAACCACCCTTGTGTCTGTTGCATAATGTAGAAGGTAGAAAAGGCTAGTGTTGGGGGAAGGTTTCTATTCGAAATCTTGCGTTGGAACAGATTATGGTGTTAAGATAGATAGCAAGACTGATTTCGCGAGTAGCAAGCTGCGTGGGGCACATTATTGGCAGGTGGCAAGGGCGATTGCCTTATTGCTTTTGACATCATCTTCAACATTCGGTTTGTCATGAGGTTAGGTCAAATGAACCCTCGAATGGCAAGTTTCTATTTTAATAGGAGTGCATACTCAATCCACAGGTCAAATTGAATATGTGCCATTATTTGAACTGACAGTTGAAAATTTTTAATATACTTGTAGATGCTGAGGAAAATCAATATAATATTGTAATTAGAAAGGCTGCACTGTTGTCTGTTTTACAACATAACACGTGTGAGCTGCATGAAAAAAGTGCTCGCCCCTCCCCCCCTCCCCCCCCCCTAAAGCTTTCATAAATACGTAAAAAACATTGATACCAGTTCTCTAACAATTTATACACATAGCATCTGTAGTTTTCTAACGTAAAACTTTCCTTGGCTAGGTGTTCGGCATTTCGTGAAGCCCAGATGAAAGCGTGGCGGCGAAGCTCGACACTGATTGGTTGACAGGTGGGAGAGGAGGAGTGAGGTGCTCGACGCTGATTGTTTAATGGGGAGGTCACCTGACCTGAGGGAAAGGTGAGGAGGAGCTCGACCACCTGTGCGCACTGAAGGAGAGGAGCTCGAGACTATGGAAGGCTCTGGAAGATTGCCAGGTTAATCGGCCCTGTTAGCGATAGTATCGCTTCATTCTTCGAACAACTGTCAAGTGTACACATAGTACGCATTAAACTATCTCATGAAGAGCGCCATGAACATAGGCGTCTGGCATCTGGAAACTCGAAAGATCACTACACATTTTCAATGCTAGAACGTTTCACGTATCCAACACAATTGCCTAGCAATTTGTCATATTGGAAGTTTAGAATATTCGCACACCTCATTGCCAGTGTTGTGCAGCTGCTAATTTACGGTTGTTATCTTTCAAAAACAAGAATTGAATCATTAGATGTTTAGTTAGCATGAGGTTATAGCAACATTGTTACACTCTGCAGATGAGATATTTAGTCAGTGAAGTACCGCTGCTATCCTAGTGTCTTCAACGTGCACCAAACAGTAACGACGTGGGACTGCACGCCGGTACAGTGCTCAGCTAGATCGAAACTGGCAAGGGTGGGGTTGAGCCCAGGATCCCTGGGTTCTGCAGCATATGCTTTTGCCTTACGTGCTCCTAGCTGCGACGTTTCAATCCACTCGGCCTCCAATTTTTCTCCCACCCGTCAGTGACTTGCAAAAAGAACTACCGTATTTACTTGCGTAATTAACATACTTTTTTTTTCCCGAAAAAGTTACGCATATTTGTTCATTACACTGGGTAAAATTTTTGCATTTGCGCACCTTGCACAAATGTCATTGTAGGTACCAGTATGACACGGTAGGGTACTGTGGCACGTCCACACCCATGGATGCGCACCCACGGCTGGTCGTGGGCATGCCACAGTAACCATGCTGTATAAATTGTGAGCCTTTTTTAGGGCGCTTTCGGCGTGCCTTTTGCCAAATGAAAAGCGCCCTATGAAGTTCATTCAGCACGGAAACCGACGCGACCATTTTTAGGCCTAACCACTTTCACGATTTCTGTTAGAAAGCGGACCACAGACGACGGCATGTTTGTTGACATCAATGCATTTAATGGGCGAAGCATGTCCGGGACTGGTGAATTCCTCGACCCCAGCTTCGTTAGGTGTGCGCGCCGCTCAGTTCTACTGTTGATCACTTCTGCGACTACGCACTTGCAGCCATTACGAGAGCTGCTTGGCTTGGCTTGACTTGGCCTGGCCTGGCCGCTTTGTGGCAAAAGAAAATTCGGTTGGTGGGCTTGGTGGCTAGCTAAGTTGGATGCAGTTTGAAACTCGCGGGGGGAAAAAAGAACTCCAAATATTGATGCCCGTTGCAGGGGGTGTGTTCATTATGCGAGTAAATGCGGTAATTAGTTATTAGATGTTAAGACATTGAGAATTCAACCAACCAAAGTATTTGACAACATTGTTACACACTGTTGAGGAGAAACTTAGCCAGTGCAGTACAACTGCTAGCCTGGGTCTTTGACGTGCACCACACAGTAGTGATACACGACCGTTTGCCGGTACGATGCTCGGTCCAGATTGAAACAGGCAGGGTCGGGAACTGAATCCAGGATCCCTGGGTTCTGCAGCGCTAGCTTTCGCTAGGTATGTGCTCTGAGCTCGTGTGCACTAGCCCACTCGGCCACCAATCCCCTTTCGCTGACTTGCACTGCGCAGGTACTTCCAGCAGACTGGTGGCTTGAAAGAGAAGAAGAAGAAGAAGAAGGTGGAGGAGGAAGATGAATCCGAGGCGGAGAGTGTGGCCAGCGACGACGTCGAAGCGGTCCTTAACCTTTGCGAACCAGGAGTGGACGGAGAGCTCGATTTTGCGGGCGACTTTGTCGCAACCAAGGTTAGACGGAGTTTTGTTCGTGCAGCGTGTCCAAAGGAAGGATTATGCAACGCGAAACGCTCAGAAATTTCGACAACAGAACATCGTATGCTGAAACTTCCATCGCCGAATTTGTGTTTTGTTGGTCCAAGCGTCGTGTTTGAATTTGAGATCTCGGCTTCATTCGTGCCGCACTACAACGCGGATCTAGGAAGAAAAGGGGCAAAGTTGTTGGGGTGTCTTTGTCATTATCACTTTATGTTCTGCAGACAAGAAAATTTAAGAGGCATCAACCTGCATAGTCCCACAATAAATGTATTGAACTTTAAAAGGGCACTAAACAAGGTTATGAGCTCGATTTTTGTCGATGATTGTTGTTATGGAAGATGGGAACTCTTTTTTTTTGGGAGATGCTAAGGAACAAAACAGAAGGTACGTTGCTTGGCATGCATGACAAACTGTTTTTTAAAGCATAAAATGCTTTCTAACGCTTCCCCCAATCCCAAAATTTTACATCTCTATCTCTCTGTGCATTCTTTTGCTAAATTTAGCAAGAAAATAGAGGTCACTTGATTTATGCACCAAGTGGAAAAGTTGACGGCACATGACCTATACGTCAGTTCAGTTTTCCTGCTAAATTTGACGGAAAACTTTACGACTTGCGACCTAAACACCAATCCAGTTTCCTGGATAAATTTAGCCGGCGAAATTGACGTCATACGACCTGATGTCACAGGATCTATGCAGCAATTCACTTTCCCCACTAAATTTAGCAGGGAAATATATGTCACGCAACACACCAATTCCCCCTCCCTCTCTCTTCCTCTCTCCTCCTTCATTTCTCCACCTCTATCCCCTTTCCTTCCTCCCTGCCTCTCCCCTATCTTTTCTCATCTGCCCCTCGCTCTCCCTCCTTCTCCCCCTCCCTGCCCCCTGCTGCAATGCCCTCCATCGCCCCTGCATTGCCTGTCCCTTTCCCCTTTCCTCCCTTCTCCCTCCCCCTCCTCCTTGATCACGAGACAAACAATTCAGTTTCCCCAAAATTGATAAAAGTAGGTGTTCTTCACTCCCAGAATGACTGTTTAAAGGGATACTGAAATGAAAATTGAAAAATGCCTCTCTTGTTTAAAGACGAGGTTAGCACAATCAACGAAACCTGCTAATAGCAATTGCACGTTTGTATTTTGAACGGATGGCTATATTTTTTGTTCCAAACAACCGATTCCAACAAGCGCTCAAAAGAACAGCCATAAGAGAGCACGATGCGTCCCGGGAGATCCGGCGCCTCCAGCGCGTTCGTGAGGTCATGTTTTCTTTCACGGGCAAGGCTACAGGGGGGCTGGCATGGTGGCAAGCTTCGCCACTTGGTGGCGTCAGCGCTTTACAACCTGGCCATTTGAGAAGCCCTCTCCCCGCAGGAATAGGCGTGGGAGTGAAGGAAAATCCAATTCGGCCAAGTTCGACAGGGCTTGCGCGTGCGCAGCTCGCCGCCATATTTTTGCGAGCGGCGCTGCTTTTATGAAAGCTGTATGTTGGGCTAGTTTTTATGGGGAGTTTGATGCAACATTATTCGGTTTATTTGTTTTAAATAATGTTTCGATGTCTTTTCAAGGATTGGTGTCCCCGTGGTGTGGCCAGATTGTGGTTGACATTTAGACAACAAAATAGGGGCTGTTATCTCATCACAGGACATCTCTGATGTCTCCGAAACAGTTGAAATGATTGCTCCTAAATACAGTATGCATTAGAGGACCTTAAAAATAAAAGTCACTCTCGATCTTTTTTTCTGTGTTTTTTAGAGGAAGAAGAAACATATGAAGTCGGGCGATGGTTCTGACGAATCGGACGACGATGGAGACCTGGACGAAGATGAGGACGAAGACGTAGACCTGGCGGGTCTCGAGGATGACGAGGAATACAAACAGGCCCTGGAGGAACTCAACATCGGGAAAGGGAAAACCATCAGGGAGGAAGACATTGAGTTCTCTGACGAGGGTAAGGACGCTTTCGCTCGAACTGATACCAGCCAATCCAGGAGGGGTCTCCTGGATTGGCGGCAGTGATGGTGGACCCGATCCACCGATGGGGAGGGGGGAAGTGTCGGATGATTGCAGTGACAAAAGTTATCTTTGGAGCAACTTCGAAGCTTTGAAACGAAGAATAATCGGCCCTACTCACTTGGTGCACAAGATTTGGTCCGTTTAGCTTTGTAAAAAAAAAAGCAGCATCAATGAAAAAAAAGTTTCATTGCTCAGCTTGACTTACGGTCGAGGGGGGTAAGAAGGTATTCACAAACTCCAAAGGATCCACAGACCTCCATTTGACAACCAATGAGTCTGAGCTTCAAAGAGGGGTTTTATTTCCTTTCGATATTGATGTCCACGTGGAAGTGCAAAGCTGAAGTTAAAGTTGGATTTAGTGTGTTTCTTTTGCGTTTACAAATTAGTTCAGAGCCATAGTTTGACAGCACCAGTGCGAGTGTGCTGCCCCTAACAGTGCATGTGCATGAACTGCACAAGCGTGGGTGCTTGACAAGAATGTTAGAAGTCTGGAGCCCGCCCTCGTAGCTTCTGCTACCCTTGCTTAGTTTTGAGTACTAATTTTTGCATTTTACTTCTGAACAGATAAGTTGGTTTTTGTAACCATTTTCGTATCATTAAACTGCTTACTAGATGCAGAATGAGAGAGGTGTAACAGTAGCTGTCATGTAGAAGTAGTTACCATAGAATACCGAGCATTCATCGAGGTTGCTCTAAGCATACTTTCGACACGCTTTAAAACTAAGCAAAAGACATACAGTCGCCGGCCAAGTTTTTAGACTTTAGAGGGACAGAAAAAATGCCACAATAATAGAGCAGTCCAAAAAATTTGAAGATTAAAAAACTTTCCTTTATTACGTCTAAGTAGGCTTAAAAAATCCGTCAATAGTGCCTTGCATCAGGTTACCCCTCCACTTGCATTTGGCCACCTTCTTCTAGCTTGAGAATCGCTGCCTTTTTTTTTTTAGCGTTTTGGTCGAGCACTTTGCGGCAGGAGAAGAACAGATGGGGCCATGACGTCCAAGCCAGCGTTGTCCGAAAACACGATTTGCCGAGACGAGATGAGAGGCGCAAGTCCACGATTGCAGAATGGCGAATGAGAAAAATGCCAACAAAGATTATGATAATGACGTGCAGCTAGAGAAAACAAAAGCCATAGCATAGGGTCACCTAGCAGTAGAACTTAGCAGTACTAAAGTGGCGCTGCAAAACCAAGCCAATCCATGCGCTGCCAACATAGAATCTAAAATGGCGGCTTCTCAGTGGTGTTTCCCGCTAATTGCTTGTGACGATTTTTGTCCGAAAAATTTAACTTTCGGACATCAAGCTGTCCGAAACATTGGTCGTGAATATGCGCTATTTTTAACGGGTAGGTCACGGTTCCTCCTCTAGGTTCGAAATATTGAACAAGTCCGAATTATTGGCATCCGAAAAATCGGTTGCCGACTGTGTTGAGTGCCCACCCTAGATTTGCTTACCTAGCTAGCCGAGGTGCTCCTCTTCGTCGGACGCTTCTCCGGGCACGCTTATTATGGCAGGGCAGTCTTGCCCTTCAGTGCCCCCATTTTATATGCGTTAGCATTTCTTGCCCCAGCGCAACCAGCCATCTCAGGTTTGGACCGACTGGACCGGTTTTGTGAGGCCATTGCGCGGTTCTCGCCGTGCTCTTTTGCTCCGTTGGTTCGCTCGTTCCGTCCACTTTCTCTCTTACGTGAGAGGGCAAAAGTCTTCTCGCACTCACCCAATGACGCTCTGCTGTTGACGCGCGCTCTTACGACGTCACCAGGGCGTAGGCCCATGGTTCCGCATCCCCAGTATGCACAATGTACGCGACGATGTGAAACCGAGGCGCAGCGACGACGCCGTTTGCGCGAAACCGCCGATGAAAACAATAGTATGCGGACAGTGGGCAGCGATTGAGGAAGGTGTGGCTGCATCCGAAACTGCCGGCGCTTGGAAGAACAGGCTGTCTCTCTGAAGACAACAAATCCTTGGCTAAATGCCGACGCATTTCGTTGAGAATCGGCGTAGCAACAGCGGCGATTTCGGGATCATTTTGTTTTTCACCTAAAAAGCATTTATTTCCTACTTTTTTGAGATTATCTCCAATGTTGGGTGGGTACTTGCCCGGTATTTTACGGTTATCACTGCAGTGATGGGATTGCTGCGCCAATTGCGCCAAACTGCGCCAAGGGCCTAACCCTGCTACATCCTGCTACATTTTCCCAAAATATGGGTAATCTGCGCCAAGCCTGCGCCAAAGGACCAATTTTGGTCGCCTTTCAAAATCAAAACTAAACTGAGTACCGTAATTGAGCATGCGTGAGCTAGCTGGCGCAAGCGGCCGCCTGGCAGGAAGTACCCTATATTAATCGTCCATCTGGTCCCTTGTATGGTTTTTCCCACCGTCTCTCGTTTCGCGCTCTCGTCGTCTCAAATGTCTCGTCTTGCGTCTTTTAACATTTTTTTTAACGATACGGTATTCGCGGGCGTGTGCTTTTGCTCCGACACAAGGGTACCGGGTACCAGCCATGCCGTCATGCTGTGAAACGAAACCCCTTTTTTGCATGGCGGGAGTTACTTTATGAGCTGAAGCACTCGCTTCTGAAAGCAACGGCCGTGAGAAAACTATATTTGGTCCCTACCTGCCACTCACTGGGAGGCAGGGACCACAACGACAGTGGTCGTGCACAACCATAGTGACCGTGGTCATGCAACGTCGGGTGTTGGCATCCCCGCGTCGCTGCAGATATGGCGCTTTCTAAACTGTATCATAAGGACCGCCGCATGTTAATCAACATTCCTTTTCTTGTTTAAATCATACGCTACTACAAAAATCCCTCTTTCGCTCAAAGACTGCTGTGTCAAAGTTTTGATTACCTAGGTTTCTCTCGGTGGGCTTTCTTTCGAGAGGAACTCCGGCATGTGAAAAATCTGCCGTGAAAGAAAGTTGGTGGCGAGGAGTGAACTAAAGAAAATAATGCAATGTCTGCTCGCTGAACCCGCACAGTGTGTTTGTTTGTCTTGAGTTCAGCTGTTGCACAAAGCGCTCCAAGAACTTTTTGACCCTGGCTTACGATGTCTTGCATCCATGCGCTCAGGTTCTTTTTTTTTCTGTGTTTAGTTTGTACCTTGCCTGCCAACCGGGCAAGCACAGGCCGCTGGACTGCTTTTTGTCATATGCTGGACGGTTACATTTTGCATACGTTTCTGGTAACCAGTTGGCGGCGGATTGGAGTGGCATGGTTTCCGTTTCAATCGAATAGCCATGTCTGCTCGCGCAACTAAGCACGTGCAACTGCAAACCGGCCGAAGTTGTCCTCATGTGCATGCCAACATGAAGGCACGACAGAGCCACCAACCGGGACGCTTGCAATTCATTGTCTTATGTTTGCTTACCTTTGACGAAAATCTGGCACATTGGGAATTAGTAAAACGGTGGCAAGTCGTTCTTTGCAAATCGCTCGGCAACGCCTACAGCAATGTATGTGCACTTGTGGGATGTCTCAATGTCTCTTTGGAGGCATTAAGAGTGGACATTCATTACTAGCCGAAGGCAAAGCAAGGCTTGCAGCAGCCTTGCAGAAAGTTTCGAAAAGCAAAAAGGAAAGCACCCGCTAGTCGTAATGCACCTTAGTCTTGTGTACAATTTCGAATTGCACTGCAGTAGTTGCGTGTTTCATCAGCCGGAGACTGCCTTTATTTATTATATAACTAGTCAACCTATGTGATATTTACTACTAAGCTGATCATTTTGAAATATAGTTTAATATGTGCAGTTTGGTTCATATTTATCTGTAACGGGTACAGATATATGTATCATTTATCTGAAGCATTGCAAAATGTGTCATGTCATTGGCATTTCAGTTACATGCTGAAAGTCGTCTAACTTGACCATAATTTGTTTTTTGCAGCGAGCAAAGTGCCCTTCGTTTGTCCAGCATTTAAAACGAATATGTTTATTTTTCTAAGAATATCTGCTCCAAAAACCACTTTTGCTGCTTTGGAGCACTGTTTTGGCTGCTTCAAAAGCCACTTTTTCTGCTCCAAAACACTGTTTTGGCTGCCCCAAAGGTGACTTTTGCTGCTTTAAAACACTGTTTTGGCTGCTCCGAAAGGTGCTCCAAAACGGCTTAGGCCAATCACATCACTGTCACTGATACGGTACCAGCTCCCTAGGGTCGTCAGCTCTGTTTTCACTATCACTTCTCACAGTTCCTTCCCGAGTTTGCTTTAATAACAAAGAAAGCAGACCACAGCAGTGCATATTGTTTGATTGCAGACGAGTTTGGCGATGCTGGTCCCTCTAAACGCAAGGGAAAGCCAGGGAGACCAAAGGACAAGTCGTGAGTCGTCCTTCGTCTTCTAACTTTTTGCTTAACTCTCGTTTGAACATGTTTGCTCCACCTCATGATATTCACTACTGTATACAGTAAAACCCGTTTAGAACGAACCCATGTACAGCGAATTATTGTCGATATCGAACTAATGGAAAATTTAAATAAAAATGCATGTAAAAAGTACTTTTTATATAAAACAACATTGGCTACTGTAAACGACTTAATTTTCGCGAGGACCTAATTTTTGCGAATCTTGCGAATCGCCTACTATTTGCGAAAAATAGGTCCCACAAACAATTCCTATAAAATGTAAACACGTTGGAATCTGTATTGAGATCCCACCGTGTCACGAAAAATAGAACCCGCAAATTTTTCTAAAACTTCACCTTTTACTTAAATCGCAAGATTTTGAGCCTGCGAAAAATAAGACGTTTACAGTACTATATCAAACTTTTTCCCCCCGGGAAGGCTTTTAAAAACGCGCAAACAATCGTCGTCTAGCCTGTCCCTTCCCCCAAAAAAGAAGTAGGAAAGAAAGAAAATTCCAAAAGCTCCAGTTGCGAGCAAAATTGAGCGAAGAGAAGCGATTCAGAAGGGGAGATAAGCTAAAAAAACAAACTGCACGCTTGCAAAAAAACAAAAAAACAAAAAAAAACTTTTCAGCGCGTTGTTACAAGGCAGAAGTGAAGAGATCAGAAAGGAAGAGAAGCTCTTGCTTTACAACGAACTCATCTTCGAAGTTCGTTGTAAATGTTTTTTGCTATATTGAACTACTTGCTATATTGAACTGATCGTAGCATTTCCTGCTGTTCGTTATAAACGGGTTTGACTGTATGGGTAGTGTGTGCGGATAAACTCTTTTCTTTTCTCTTTTTTCTGCAAATTAAGGTCTTATAATCACTCAAAATCGATCAGACTTGTTTGACTGTTTCCCTCGGTGCAATGCTTTCCTTTCCTGAAATTCTGATTATGTTTTTCAAGTACAGTGTAGACCGCATATAACGTATGTCGCGGGAGTCGCGAAAATCCGCACTATAAGCGGTACCGCGTTATAACCAAAACATCAATTTTTCAGGCCAAAATACATGCCATGAGACAACTTACCTTTGTAAAAGAATTTATTTTATGTTAGATGAAAAATAAAGCTTAGTTTGAGGAAAGTCTTTATTTCACCAGACTAGTACAGTTCTGTCTCAAGTGTGTCACACATTTTGAAAGAAATTAGCGGCTTTTGCCTGGCGCAGCCTTTTAACCCGCGGACGTCCGTCCGCGGGTTGCGGACGGACGTTGCGAGCGTTCAGGATTGCTAACCCTAATCACTTTTCTCCGGAGATGAAAACCAGTGAAAAATCGCATCCTTCATACGGTACGCGCCAGTAATACCTTGAACTTCAGCACACGCATGAAATGCGCCAAAGTAAGAAATCCGGGCGATGTACTGTAGTCGAAGTAAACAAACACGACGACACGGGCGTTTCTGCCGTCTTGAGAGCGCCGCCACGACATCGCCGCACGAGTAGGTGAATCTTCCCTTCTAGTACATGCTGGGTTATCATAGCGACACACAACGAAAATTCACAGTCAAGGATAGCGCTTTTACGCAGAACGATGAGATGAACTCCGTCTACGACGACGATCACAACCGACACCATGTTTGCGGAGCAGCAGCCGGCCCGTGGCCGGCACGCAACGCGCGCGAACACTTCTCCTCGATTTGCGATTGGTCTGTCGGTGCGGTTGTTTGTTACGCAGCGGAGGGACGCACGCACGTGAACGACACGTGCGTGCGTCCCTCTGTCGCTACGGCGACTGAAGCCTCTCTCTTCGCTTTCCCCACTTCTTCGAGCAACATCCTCGCCCCGCGCCGTCAGCGCCGTTATCTAGTGTCGCACAGGGAAGCGTGCCCGCTGCTCCGGTCGTCGGCGCGGTCGGCGGGCTGTGCCAAAAACCGCACCATAGCCGGTATTTCCCTTCGCGCGCCTGCATTTTAAGCGGTATGTAAATACATGGAGTTCTATGGGAGGCGAACCGGTGGTTTAAAAAACCGCGTTATACACGGTCCTGCACTATAAGCGGTTACGTTGTAAGTGGTCTATACTGTACTGAGAAAATCAATGACATACCTAAAGCTGTCTTAGATATGAAAACTGGGGAACGTTGTAGGTCTCTCTCTGATTCTTTTGAGAAGAAATCACAACAAAAATTGCAATTACTATATATACTATGCTGATTTGCCCTGGCACAAAGCAAAGCTCCTGGATGATGCCCCTTCATAATCTCCAAAATGAAACATTGAGAGGTCTTTTTAAAAGTTGAGAGGTCAAACCACTCCGGATTTTTGCAAAAGGGATAAATGGTAGCTGCTATTCAATCTTTGTTTACTGTTTTTGCATACTAGCTACTTGATGGCATTTTGCGCTTGGGTTCCGGCCTTTGTACACGGCGGTAACAAATAAGTATACGGGAAGCAAAATTAAGTTAGCTTTGTGCAACTTTGTACAAGGTGTTTCACGAAATGCGGGCCAAATCGCTCCTGCTGAAAGTATGCATCGCGCATATTGGCCTCTGCCAAAGGGCCTATTTAGGAAAGTTAATGTATAGTATATTTAAGTTCTCAATCACTTCTAAATAACTTTTTAATTTGTTAGTTCAGAAGTAGGGCTTCAATTTGAAACTTTCTGTGCATCATTGAAACCACTACTAAATAGGAGCATTTTACAAAACATGAGGAATGCCCGTCATTTTACGGCGTTCCAAAAAAAAACGCTTAATTTGGATGTGTTTTACAGTTTCGGTTTCTTATCAAAGCGCAGCTCCACGCCACCGATCCTGCTCCGGGTCGCTAAAGCGCGCAGCTACTACTGCCTGGCTTCTCTCGTAGGAGAGAAAAAAATGTTGCGCGAGCCGGTGAAACAAAAAGCTCTACTATTTACTGTAGTGCTGTTCGAGTGACGTTGCAAAAATTAGCTTCGATTATGGGAGTCACTTGTTCCAGGCGAAGAATGCGTAAGGGTGCAAATTAGTTGCATTCTTGGGCCACTGGAGGGCAGCAGCGCAGGCACGGAGGTGCGTTTTGGAAGGAAACCGAACCTTCAAAACGTGTCTAAATTGGGCGATTTTCTGAACGACGTAAATGCTGCTTGTGTCTTCCATTTTTGTAGTGTGCTGACATGGGGATTTTGATAATGCCTAGAAAGTTTCTAATTAAAACATACATATTTAAATTTATTAGTTAAAAAATAAATTGCTCATAAGTAATTAAGAACCTCATTTACCAAAAAATAATTTTCCTAATAGGCCCTTTGGCATAGACCAATATGTCATCAACGTTTTTTCTGCTCAATTCATACTTTCTGCAGCAGTGATTTGGCCCGCATTTTATGAAACATTCTGTCGAGTGTTTTGACTTTCTTCATTGAAGGCATGCAGTGTCTGAGGAATGAAATATCTATGGTAGTCCTACTTTATACTAAATTTTAGTCTAGAGTAACCAAGAACAATTATACATTCACATGATTGACAGAACAGTCACAATATTGTGCAACAAGCACATTAAAATAAAACATGAAAACATTGAGCAACAAAGACTAATATGCCTCAAATGTGGACAGTCTCTTTGTCTTGTTGATGGCACTTTAAAGACTGTATACCAAGCTCCCAGTGCCCAATGCCAAAAGCCTTGCACAATACAATGGCACTTTTGGCAATGTTCACTGTACTAGAGACTGTCATGTGATGCCAAAACTCCCCTGACCGGGAAGTGCATGATGGGGCTCACTCTTTACATTTTGATTTCTACAGGTTCAGCATGTCCGGACTACTTGCCTCTGCCGAACAGGTGAGTCTCTTTTTCTTGTCTTCTTCGCAAATTAACCATTGATGGGAATGTACCTCAAGGCTGTGCCACTTGGCACAATTTGGCACAAACAAGGAATGTCTATTTCACCAAAATGTAATGAGCTTTGAGTAGTATCAATTTCATATGGGCACAGCTTCGGTGCATAGAGCCGGTAAAAACAATATATAAAGAGGCACAGAGCAGCGTACAAAAGCATGTGAGATTGTGGTCTTTCTGTAAATATTGTATCGTCTCTTGTTTTGTTGCTTTACTTTTAGTATGTATTCCCAGAAAGGTTGCATTGTTGTGAGTGGTATCTGTTTAATGCTAGCTCAAAATTACTGATAAATATAAAATACCAACTAGGGCAGAAAAGAATCCTGAGTGGTTGATAAACACAAGCAAAACAAGGACATTGACTCGTGCACGAAGAAATGCAAGACGCAACACCAAGGGCTCGAGTGAATTGGCTAAAACCTTAGCCATTGTGTAGAAATAGTTTCACCTCGTCTCGAAAGGAACATGCAAAGACTGTTCTCTTAGAGAAGCGAGATGTTTAGTGAACAGGTTTTCTTGCACAATACTTGTTGGGTTGAGATATTAGAAAGTTAGGTCTGTGTAGCAGTAACCAGGCTTAGTTTTCTATTATGAAGAACTAGGCTATGAAAAACTAGAAGCCAGTTTTGTACATTATGCAGAACAGATATTTTTAAGTAAGCACACGAAGGCAGGTTATTAAGATTTGATATTTTATTTTTCAGTTTTCGCATCTCCTGGACGAAAATGCAGCAGCTGGCGTGGACACAACGTCAGCGCAAGCTCTGTCCAACAAGGACAAAGCGAGTGAGTAGCCTTTTGTGGCGATGGCCATAGAGGTTACATCATGACTTCGGCGACAATCCTTTGTTCTGGTCTTTGTCTTTTGTCCCCGAAGGCTTTTTAATTTGCCATCTTCTCAGAATTATAGAGCTCGATTCTGTGCTGACTTTACTGAACAACTTAGGGACTCTAGTTTCAAAGTGGTTTTAACTATAAGATGGCTAGTGAGGCATGTCATCAGCGACGCAATGGGGTGGTTAAATGTCTGCACTTTATTCGGCCGGCAAACAGCCACCTTCAAGATCGTACGAGTCACACAAGCTACTGCTTCTTTTTTATATTTTCATGATCAAATCATTGTTGTTCATCATGCTGAGGTGAAATTGCAAAGAAAACTTGATGGTTTGGTTTGTTATCTTCAGGTGCCAAACAACTGAAATGGGAGATGAACCGAGACGCCTGGGTTCGCGGACACGACTGGCGAAGCCGCAAGAGGAAGTTCGGCGGCTCCGGGAAACGTGGCGGAAAGGCGTTTGGGAAGAAGAAAGCGCGTTCATAAACTGCACAAGCGACCGCTGCTCATGTGGTGCTCCCACCTTCACAGTTATACTCTATTGATCATCTTTTGGCTGTATTCATTACGAGCTGCTCAGGGCACATGGGATCCCAGGACAATGAAACGAGCTGCATTGTATACAAAATAGATTCCTAAGAAAAAGGCTCGTCTAAAAGCACTGCGAGGGTTTCTGGAACATACGGAGACACGAAGGCTGCGCATCCTGGGAATGTTTGACTCCCTGGTGATGGATTCTACATACAAACCGTGGACTGTGGCTTTACTCCTAATGTAGAATTGCATTCTTACTGAAGCTAACTTTGATTTAGCCTTGAAAGTCAAGGTGTGTCACGGTCAAAGATAGTTAGCTTAGTTGGCCGATTGTCAGCCGCAAGATTTGCGCTGGCCATGCAATGCATCTGTGAAAAAGAAAAAAAAATAGCAACAACCTTTTCTTTGAAAAGATTTTGCCAGCTGCAAATAGTTAAAAAATACACGAAAAAAAAAATGAAAAAAAAAGGAGGACGTGGCAACGCTAGACACAGCATCGAGTGTCTGGAAGGCAAAGACTGGAGTTAGCACCCACTGCTCTCTCTTAAAGTGCAATTTTGCGTAGATCAAAATAGAACTGCACTTTTTATTTTCTGCATTTAGGTTCACATGCTCTTGGGGCTCAGTCACAACATTCCTCTAATATTTGAGTACCTTCTTCCCACCTGAACTTGTGGAAAGTAATAAGCAGAGCAACTGTGAGGCAGCTGCCGATCTAATGACATCGGGTAAGCGACAAAACGTTCTGCGACAAGGAACTGCTGAGCTTCCTATTGGGACAAAGCAGTGACACGTCATCCCATGTGGTTCGACAAGCTTTCTGGGATCTTCTCGGTGGGCTCATTGACAAGGGTTGCACTATTGCCACGAGGCATTTGAAAGCGCGACTCTCATTTCACTTTCTGGAGTAAGCTGTTATCACTTCACCACGAGGAAAAGCATTGGGTTGTTGGCAATTTGTTTTCCTTTATGAACACACGAGTCGGCAAGATTCAAATGAGCATGCCACGCATGCTGTGACACTGATTTTTAACGGACCACTGGTAAAGTAGTTATTCATTCCTAGACTTTTACTAAAATGTGATCTACAAGAAAAAAACAAAACAAAAATTGCGTATCAAAGTACCAAGGCCTTTTTTTTTTTTTTCCCACGGGAACTGCCAGTTGAGAATAGGCTGCTCATGGTTGTCCGATCTCTTTTCCCCAGTCACGTGCGTAGGCAGAGATTAAAAATAATACAATTCGCAAGCCATTATATTTATCGCTATCAAAACGCTAAAGTATGTTGGTTAAGAACGCTTGGGACATTTGTGAGCAGTGGAACTGCGCTGCCAGGAACGTGTCTCCGGCCGGTGCGTTTAGCCAAGTTTAGCGTCCCGTTCCACCCATGCCTCGAAAGCGGTCCCAAAGTGGCGACAAACGACGTCGCAGAAGCCGGAGCGTCACGCTACAGTGTTCTAGGGTCACGCTGTTGGATGTCGCAATCTTGGTGATTGGCCGTAAAAATGCTGGCAAAACCCACAACCGAACGTGAGTGTCGCCGTCGTCGCGCCGTCCCAACTTACGGCTGCTGAAGGTTCCGTAGCATGGAGAATAGAAGGGTAGGAGAGGGCATGACGTCGGCCGCGTAGCCTCCACAAGCCATGCTCCCTTGTAGGAATCCTCCTACAATCAACCATCCATCTCGCACGTGACATGTCAAGCGCACCAATAGCCAGACAGATCTGCGGTCACGTTGGCCACAACATCGTTTAAACTTTCTATGACTAGGCTTCACCGATATTGCAACGTGCCCTTTCCTTGTTCCGTAGACTGCCAAACTGGGGAGTAACCAGAGTAACCTTCTGCAGAATAGGCGTCTGCCACATCCACCCCAGCTGTCGTAACGCCGACAAGATCGCGGTCGGCGACAACGCGGCACCCTTGTGATTTCATCAGGTGGAAATCGGAAAACCAATTTCTTGGTCGCGGTAAATGCACCAGTTTGAAACGCGTTTCCGGCACCATGTTGAAACAAACCCTCAAGTACAGGGTGTCACAAAAGAAAATTTACACGGTCTTTTTTACCGCAAAAATAAACATAGGCATTGCCTAACGCTCATTCCCTGCCCAAAGGTAGAGCTAGAGCTCACAACCAGATGCAAAAGTTTCAGCCCGATCCGATTACTTAATCAAAAGTTATAAGTGATTTTCTGACAATTTCAATGGGGAAATGGAGCCCATTTTTGCCAGTTTTCGGTTTCTGGTGCCATAGAGCCCCACGTGTTTGAAAACTGCGTCGGCCGCCATTTTCCCATTGAAATTTTCGGAAAATCACTTATAACTTTTGATTAAGTTATCGGATCGGGCTGAAACTTTGGCATCTGGTTGTGACCTCTTTGGACGGAGGATGATCGTTCGGCGATGCCTATTATTTTTGCGGTAAAAAAGACCGTGTAAATTTTCTTTTGTGACACCCTGCACTTCTGGAGTCTCCGAAGTGACGTTCCTCCTTGCTGGTCTTCTAGTATGGGTTTCACTGTTTTTCTCGGCAAGTACTATGTGACTTCGTAGAGTCAAAGAAATCGATTAAAATACTATTACGGCACGGATAGACAAATTTACAACCAGCATGTTACACATCAATGATCACTTGTGATGGGACGAATCTTTATTCGAATCGAGAGTCGGAGCCCAATCTGAAGATTCGGAAGAGTAGCCGAATCTCATCGATTTGGAAAAGTTTGGAACGATTCGGAGCATTGCCATGGTCCCCAGATCACGTTAGTTGTGTTTCAATATTTCGTGATATTAAGTTCACTAAATTCTACAAAGTGCACAAAATGACGTCATATAATATCATAGTAATAAATGAAATGTTCCGCTTTGTTTATATTATTTTGGATGTTTGTCGAGAACTGTAGCCAGACATGGCGGGGAAATTGGTTTCGGTTCCGGATTACGACCAAAATAGGCATGCTTGGTGCACGTGGAAATACAAGCGCATGTTTTCATCGCCGATGAAGATCGATGCCGTACGTGCTGTTCGGTACGGACCCATTTCGTGCCCATAATTACGGTCATAGTGGCACACACCACACAAGCGAGTATGTTCGATTCGATTATCTCGAACGTGTGTCCACTGAGGTATTGTTGTCGGAACACGGGAAACAATCTGAAACTCCTTGCGCCATACTATTACAGTCTCCTGTACTGCATTTGTACCTTTCTGGTTAATGATATCTGGTTTAGTTACAGTAACGCTTCACGGCCGGCTTGCTGCTGAGAACGGAGAAACGACAATGTAAATTAGCGATTTTTTTTTGGTTACCGGTTTTGGTACGTGGTCGAAGTTGTGACGAGCAACATTCATCTCAGACATACGCAGCTCTAGAGAAGGAGACAAATTATTTCCTTGCCTGAATATACTTATTGTGCGTTGCGCCACAATATGTATAATACACAGCGTTTCGCTACATGTTACCGATAACCACAAAACCGCACAGAAACCGAGACTGCATTGGTTAGGCCTATGCCAACCACACCCGTTTTTAAACAGGCCCTGTTCAAAAACGGGCCACGGTTTAGAATGACAGTACAGTGCATACCATACTTTGAAATATACAAAACAAAATCTGGTTAAATGCAGTAACAGTGAAGAACGAAGTGGAAGCTCTTCCCACCTCTTTCCACTTTAGTCGTGCGAACGGTGGAAAGGAGGTGTTGGTTTGCTCCGCTGAAGTGGAAAGGGGCGGGAGGAGTTTCCACTTCGTTCTTGACCTGTTACCGACTATATATATATATATTTACATACACACATATACATATACAGGGTGATTCAAGGAGACGCCAGGCTCTTTAAATCGACCGCAAAATTCGGTTTCTTAATCGAATTTTGCGGTCAGCTATGTGCAGCGTTGCCCACAGATGGTGCATTTTTTTTTGTGAAATTTGCAAAGAGCGAACTTACCCGAGGAAAAAGTAAAGAAAGAAAAAGGCTTAGCTCGTAAGATAGACAGGTGGGGAAACGGCCCATAAAAACCTACCGCAGCGCCGTGACCGGATTGTGTACTCGTCTGCTTGCGGGTGGCTTGCGGGTACCCCCGATTTGCGACAGATGGCGCTGCGGCGAGAAGAAAAAAAAAAAAAAAAAGAGGACTGGGGCCCTAAACTCGTGAAACACAAAGTTCGGGCCGAAGTTGACGGAGCGCACCGATTGGACAACCACGACGATGACTTCGCGTTTTTGTCGCCGACGTCCAATCAGCGCGCCCCGCGAACTTTCGGCTCCAACTTTGTGTTTGACGAGTTTAGGGCTCCTGGTGGAGAAAGATCTACCTTAGGGGGCAATAACACGCAAATGCCCCCAGGCTTGGGCATGAATATTGTTCGAGCCCGCCCGATCTAAAGGGAACAGCCGCATCATCATCATCATCATCAAAAAATTGTAATCGAATTTGCATGGAACTCTATGGGAGAGTGCGCAAAATAAACTGAGAGCACGACAGTCCTCCATTGAAAACCCACGAGAAACCTTCTCCGTCAGTTTAAAGGCCGACGACCAGACTCGAGATTCTGCAAGGCAGAAGACCCTCCTCTCCACGCCTTTGGGCGAGGGAAGCGAAGGATGGAAAGAAGGGACCAAGAGGGGCGGGCGTGGGTGGAAAGGGTAGGAGGGAGAGGAGGAAGCGGGCGAAAAGTGGAAAGCGCGAACTGGTCGTCGGTCTTTAACCGGTCGCCAGCGTTCGCCCACCTGGAGTGAGAGTTCGCGGTGCTCCACATAGATGGCGCCACAGAAAAAGAGAAAACCGAGGGGGACACAATCGGGTCACTCATTTGGCTCTCGTTTCACCACCTGTCTATCTTACACCCTGGATCAGTGCCAGCGACGCCACCGGTCTTCAAACAACACAGCACCGTTTCGCACACAGAGACAAGAGATGGCGCAAACGGTCGCGACGCCAACCGCCGCCAACGAACGCGCATACCGGCGTCTTTAGCAGACAAGGAACTGCAGTTCCTTGTTGTTACCGCGCCTGTTTTTGCTTCTGCGACTGTCGCCGTCTGCGGAACGCGCGCCGCTTTTGATTCGAAAAGATCGTCTACAAAGACGCCGGCTCTCGGCGCCGTATGCTCGTTCGTTGCCTC